GGCGGTGCTAGCCTCATTAGTAGATGCTGTACCTGAGAACTTAGATATACCTGAGGTAGGCCTCATCAGTGTTAAAGTATTAGACAAATTATGAGACTTACACTATATTGAAAATTTATTGACAAAAGTTAGCATTGTGGTTGGCTCTGTACAAAAATTTCAGAAATACAATGCTAGCCTCATTAGTAGATGCCGTGGGTGGAGACAAATAATGAGACTTATGCTCTTTTAGAATATTTAGAAATACAATTTTGTCCAAGATGTTTATTCTGAATGGTGTCGCTGTCGTACATACATGATACACTATAGCTGAGTACTCATAAACAATATGTAATATACAATATGTAATGCTTGAATATTCCAGAATGCCTGCCCAGAGGAGCATTCATCTTTCCTGTCTCGAATCACATTCTGGTGGTTCACAAGGTAAGGGAAACACTCATATTTATTTCCTAAGAAATTTTGATATTGAATCAGAATATTACTTGAAACTTTGTGACATGAGACTAAATACCATAAATTGGGAGAAACTAGGGAAAATAAGTATACTGAGCTATTATATGTTAATACATGCTAATATATGGAGCGGGTATTGACTATTCAGCCCTTATCCTTTCGTTGAAGAGATATTATCTGAATATGTTGTTGGATGTTAAAATATTATTTGAATCATTCATTTTGTTTTTAACATGTTTTGAACATTACCTGAGCAGTTATGCATTAACATATAGAGAAGCACTTTTTATGATGACAACAATTGACAGGTATACAAAATAAGAAGATACCTCCATTTAATAATATGTTTTGTTTTCCGTGTTGTAGACTGGTTGTTAAGGGTTACAAGAAGGCACTAGAGATTGAAGATCTCTGGGGAATCAATAGAGAGGATCTATCAAAGAATGTTGTCAGAAAGTTCCAAGCAGCTTGGATGCAAGAAATGGCAAAAAGTAAAAAGTAAGTTCAAATCTTAAGAATATGTAAAAGGATAATAAGTGTGTATTTACGTAGTATTTATCGATAAAAAGCATATGAAACCAAGTACATATGATCTTTAGGGCACCAGTGTTCAATTCAACATTGAATATGAAGTTTTATCTCTAATAGTGGATGTGTTCATTATGGAATACGAAATGCAAAATTCGAAGGAAGAAATGATCAAGCTCCCCTGATCATTTTTATGTGTGTTTTATGGGTGTGATAACATACATTTATATATCAAACTCTCAATTTATGGTTATCTTCATATTTATGGTAATGTTCATATTTATGGTAATGTTCATATTTATGGTAATGTTCATATTTATTGCTCTAAATGTAATTTCCATGTAAGAAATGATATACACCAGGTTGTTTCATGTATTTATGCTGAATATTGTAGAAGTTATGAAATTCTTGGAGAGATAAAAGAGGAAGGGTAAGAGAGAAGGGAATGATGTAAAATATCCCCAGATTTGTTTATTTTTATATATGGTCATCACCATAAAGGTAGAATCAGACAATCATGCATAGTAAGCTTATTTTTCCAAAATGAATAACTGATACGATATCATTGCTTTTTGACTGTTTTTTGATCTGTTTATCCGAACATTACATTGATCTGAACACCTCTTATTATTATATACATTTGGCACATTGGAACAATTGACTTTCATGTTAAAAAACCTTGATATCTGAACACTTTTGACCAGTCCCTTTTGATGAGGAATTTTGATGAGGCTCGAGTTGGAAATGTTCTTTCCAATTTTTCATCCCCATTATTGCTGATTCTAGTTTAAGGAGATAGACAAAGTTATAAGTACATGTAGTTGCAATATCATGTCACGATATGGATCCCTATAGTAAAAATGCACCAGATTAACATTTATATATTAGATTGCATGATTATGTATACACTTCAATTTCAGTTCATCATTCACTGCACAAAAGTTTCGCTATTTTATTGTTTTTTTGTCACCACCACAGGAAGTGACTATTGTTTTGCCAACTCTTTTGTGGAGGTCAGCATATTTATATGTAACAAATGGCAGGTGGAATGCATGTCGATGGCCCAGTAGCACTTTACATGTTCAGAGAAGAGTGAATAACACTACACATTATTAGCAACCATTTTCCAAGTCCCATTGGCAAGAGGGAAACGTGATTCACTGAGAACTGTTTATTTTGAGCCCTGTTATAAAGTTCCATTATGAAATGCATGAGTTTTTTGCACCATTTTTAAAATGTCTGTTTCGTTTATTCTTGCCTGCTCAATTTATTATCTTTTGCACGGTTATAAGTTACTAATTTGAAACACACATATATCAGTGTTGGTCAAAAAAATATTGACACAATTGTCGTGCACACTTTCCAATACATAGACACACATCATCTACATGTTTGTTGGTGTTTGTCTCCATATATGTTCAGTAGTCATTTTGTCATAGCAACCCATCTGCTCAAGACAACAAAGTCAGAGTGTCAAGCTACATTATTTGATATGAAGAAGTTAAGCACAATCTAAGACATAAAGGATGCAGCTTAGTAAATTAAAAACGTACAATGGGATCTAAGATTTGAAGAAAGATTTTGTTCACTAGTAGTGATTGCTCATAAGATAATAATTGGATTTATTTGTAGTGATGCCCTGTTATGGCCAAACGCACATCCAATAATAAGATATTACAGTTACAGTAAAAATAGTTATTAAGGAAGGAAAATAAAACTCCATTTTTCAATTACAATATTACTTCTCATATAATGGCTTATTCTGTTTCCAGATCAAAGCAGCAGAATGCTTCAAAGGTGCAAGCTGTTTCAAAAGATGGAGATATCGAACTTAAAACACCATTGAAAGGCCAAACAGACTACGATGTCACAGTTAAGACAAAGAGCAAGAAAGGATATGAGCCGTCACTTGTTAAATCAATGGCCAAAGCATTTGGAGGAACATTTCTGATTGGTTCTTTGTTTAAATTAATCAATGATATCCTCATGTTTGTCAGTCCACAGCTTCTTAAGTAAGTTTATTCTCTGTACTTTTCCTACATATACATTACAAGAAGAGAGATCCTACAATACATTGAAATATCAAAAAAATAAATTGAATCGCTGGACAAAACAGAGTGGGACCCCTAGTGCATGTGCATATTTTTTGAATTAGTCTTAAATCTCAGACAGTGACTGTATTTGTATGTAAAGATATTAAATATGGCTGTAAATTGGTTTTTCAAAAACTTTCTGACAGATGTTTGAGTTAAAACATATGAGATGCTAACATTGCTCAAATTTAGTAACAGAGAAACTTTCTTTTTATGTTCCCATTACTTTATGCTGGGATTTGTGAAACATCTGACATCATACATGAATATCTGAATCTTTTATTTCAGGTTATTAATAGGATTCACACGCAACAAGGATGACCCTTTATGGAAGGGCTACATGTATGCAGCCCTCATGTTCATTGTAGCATTGTTCCAGTCTATTATACTCCATCAGTACTTTCACAAATGCTTCGTTGTAGGCATGCGTCTAAGAACTGTCATCATCGCATCAGTTTACTCAAAGGTAGGAAGCTTAATTTCACAAATTTCCTTTTCAATTTTATTTTTTCATTGTAAACAAGGAATTTGATCCATGTTCCTCATGGATCTATAATTAGATTCATCAATAGTTATATAAATAATGTATGTAATAGAAAAAGTGAAGTTCCTAATGTGATTTTATACATGGTGTTTGGCATTCCATGGTTTTTGTGTGGCATTTGGCATCTGTAACAAATGGCAGGTTGTGACATTTTACATGTTTATGCCTTGATTTAATATCTGTTTCATCCAGATATGACAGATATAAATCTTACGCTTTTCTACTTTCAGGCTTTGAATCTCTCAAACAGTGCAAGAAAATCATCAACAGTTGGAGAAATTGTGAATCTCATGTCCGTGGATGCTCAGCGATTCATGGAGCTCACCACATATCTCAACATGTTGTGGTCCGCCCCGTTTCAGATCTCTGTGTCTCTCTATTTCCTTTGGATGACCCTAGGGCCCAGTGTGCTGGCGGGACTGGCTGTCATGGTTCTCCTTATTCCAATTAATGCACTCATTGCCACAAAAGCAAGGAGCCTACAGGTTTGTTTTACCAAATGTGTTACAAATTCGATTTTCAGTAATCGTAAATACAATTTTTGAGGAATTGTTTATTTTTGAATTTGTCAAAGATTTCATTTCCATGTAGTATATGAAAAATTTAATTTTAGTTAATACAAAAATGTTCCTACTTTTTTTAAAAATCATTATTCCCATACATATATTTGACACTTCTGTTGTAGTAACTTGATACATTTTAGAGATTATGATATACTACAAGCTGAAATATCTCAATACATACATATGATGGTGATGTTTTCTTACAGGTGAGGCAAATGAAACAGAAAGATAGTCGAATCAAACTGATGAATGAGGTTTTGAATGGAATCAAGGTTCTAAAGCTTTATGCCTGGGAGCTGTCATTCAAAGAGAAGATATTAGGTTAGTCTAACTAATCTTCACTCCACATTTAATTCTTATCCAAGACTTTTTCTGTTTTCACAGATATGTCTTAGTTGCTGGCATTTTTGGCTTGTATAATTGCCTATTTTGAATGTTTCTTTTAGATTTTTTTCAATAGAGTAAAAATACTGTTTAGTTGTATTGGTTCATAACTGTACATTGAATATGTTTTTCTTATCCTTATGTTATGCGTCAGTATTGCATTGTTCATAAACCATCAGCACAAAGGTCAACGTTGAAATAAATGAATACTGAGGGTAACTGGTCAGCTGGTGGTACATTGCAAACGTAATTGCAATATGATAGTATATTTAAGGTATTCTCACCCATTAGGACTACTCACATGTAACATTTCACTGCAGGTATACGTAATGATGAACTGGATGTCTTAAAGAAGGCTGCATATCTTAATGCTGCATCGTCCTTTACATGGACCTGTGCCCCATTCATGGTGAGTAAAAAATATGGTCAGAAATAATTCAAACCCTTTAACCTGTTAAATGGTGATATACCTGATCAGCATGTCCCATTTCTTATTTGTCTACTTTGTAAATCATTTTACATTTTTATCAATCAACTCAAAACATACTTTTGGATTATTTGGCATTATCTATGCTAGAAAATAAACAGTGATATAATGTTCATGTATTTTCATAAATAGAGATATGTGTATATATTTTAGGTGTCTCTGACGACATTTGCGGTTTATGTGTTATCATCCCCTGAAAATGTATTGGACGCAGAGAAGGCTTTTGTCTCATTGTCTCTGTTCAACATTCTACGATTTCCCCTCTCTATGTTGCCCATGTTGATATCTAACATTGTACAGGTAAGCCAGAGACCTCTGATAAAAATCTATAGACTGGTCAACTATTGTGTACTTCAACTGTAGACCTTGAAAGAGAATCCCAATGTTATAAATGCCTTTCAATCTTTGGACTCACAAAACCTTGTTCAGTGTCAGTCAATTGTACTCTCAACTTTTAGTCTCTGAGTCAACAGTACAGGTTTATCGTTGATGGATGAAATTTTCCAGTTGGTCCAAGTATTATTCATGTTTTGTTTTTATATACGCATTTAATATGATAATGACATTAATGATATTATTTCATCTAATAAATTGTCCATCTCCACTGTTTCAATGATACTGATATGACATCATACTTCACGTTTTTTGTTCGAAAAATAGAAAACTGTCCGCTTTACAATCTCAAAACAATTTGCATTGACATCAGTGGAAATCCTTGATAATTAAGTCATGAACCAATCAAAATTGACCATTTAGACTAATACTCTGTGATGTATTAACAATATAAAATGAAAAAGCTGTCATTTTCGAGCTACAGAGACAATAAAATTCTTCAATATCCTTTAGAAAACATGATGTACATATGTTTTATCTATCAGTAACATGTCTTATTCTCCCCATAGGCGAGTGTGTCAGTGAAGCGTCTCACAAACTTCTTAAAGAATGAAGAGCTAGACCCTGATAATGTACAGCATGATGATGTGCCTGGTAAGTGCTCAGGCTTATGTCATGGGGAGTTGTTTTCTACAGGCTTGCTATAGTCGGGGAATTTTGTCGAATTCCTCTATTTCCTCCTTTGAAAAGTAAGGTAAATCTCAGGGAATTTTAAACTCAAAGATTATGATGGGAAGGCTATTAAAGAAAATGCCAGGTCAAGACTGTACAAGAAATGGCAAATCCACAAAGCATTAACTCATTGAGACAGTAATTTGAAATCATCTGGTGAGGAAAAGTGTTGGAGCTAGTAGTCACCTTCCAACCATCTGAACCATTTGACTATGTTTTATTAGCTACCAAAGAATCAACCAAATAAGATGAAAGGTTATTCTGTATACTTTCAGATTATGCCATCAGTGTTGAAGGGGGTAGTTTCCAGTGGGACAAAGACCTTAAAGAAGATGAACAGACTGGCAGACTAGATAAGTAAAGACACATTCCCATCAGCATACATATTGACATGATAAATAAGATTATTCTTAATACAAATGTATAATTTTCAAAATTGAAGGCTATGAACACTTGGTGGCAAACACTCATACATTGGTTTATAAAGTAATAAAACAGTAAAATATTCATATTCTCAAATGATATGCAAGACAGCATCCATGTTTCATTCAAATGCATTGACCCCATGTCAATGATCTTATGCTCAAAATTAAAATACAACGAGGAGTTGCATTTACATGGTTTTGATACATATTTGTTGCAGTATTGACATGAAGATAAAAGATGGCGCCCTAGTGGCTGTTGTGGGCACTGTTGGTTCGGGGAAGTCATCACTCCTGGCGGCCATGTTAGGAGAGATGGAGAAGAACAATGGCAAAGTTAATGTCAAGGTACATCCCCAAAATCTAATATAAAAAAGACTAGAATGTTACTATTTTCAAAAAGCTCTGCAATTCCTTCAAGGAAGAACCTGTCCTGCATATGACTATATATACAGGATTTGTGAATCTTATTTTTCATATTTTATTTTCATGAAAACACAAATCATTCTAAGAATGATAATAAATGTTCAATTACGTATATAAAACATTGTAATATAACCCTAAACTGGAAATAAATTGATTACAGTTTTACGATTTACTGTTGTATAAGTTTATGCTGGATAAGATTAATTAATTCTACCATTTTAGGCTCAAGTTTCATATTTTGTCACAAATGTCTTGTGCTATTTCAGGGGTCAGTTGCATGTTTTGTCACTATGTTTAAACAATAAAATGATTGTACTATTTCAGGGTTCAGTTGCATATGTTCCTCAACAAGCATGGATACAGAACTGTACATTGAAGGACAATATTCTATTTGGAGCAGAAACCAATCAGGATTCCTATGACAAGGTAAACTTTCACTACTTATAAATCTTATAGGACAGTCCCTGTTTCTCCAGAAAAGTTTTAAATGGAATAAATGAATAATATACTGTATGTTAACACTAAAGATCCAAAACATCTGTAATATGATATGTTAATATGATATGTTAAGATGATACTGTTATGCATTAGTTTGGTGTAATTTGTAATTGTAGATCATTGAAGCATGTGCCTTGACCCAGGACCTACAAATGTTGCCTGGTGGTGACCAGACAGAAATCGGTGAAAAGGTATTACAACCCTTTCTGCCTTTTCCATAATTCAGACATCTATTTGAAACTCTCCACTATCACTTTGAGTAACAGATTTGGCAACTTCAAAATTCTTATTCAGCACCTCAAACTCTATAAAATTCACTATGTTGCCAAGCTGTAACAAAAATTTCCCACAAGATCACTTAACGGATTATTAACTGAATTATTTTAAATTAAATTATTTGATTCAGGGCATCAATCTCTCCGGAGGCCAGAAGCAGCGTGTAAGTCTCGCTAGAGCTGTGTACTCCGACAACGACATCTATCTGTTGGATGACCCTCTTAGTGCAGTTGACTCACATGTGGGCAAACATATCTTTGAGAAAGTCATTGGACCAGAGGGCTACCTTAAGAACAAGGTAAAAGATCTATATATTGAATAAAATTCTCTGCTTAATCTAGTAAAAAGATTCCAATTACATTGTAAATGAAAATTTGTAGTCTTCTCTTCTTTGTCTTGATTCAAGTGGCATAATGTTATATGTAACTTCATCTATTTGTCTATTGAATTCTTTGACTGGTTCAGCAGACACACTAATGATACAAGTCAATTATTTTAAATCTATTGAAACTGACTTCAATGCTTCATGGACATTGTCTGTACCAATGTTCCTCATTGATTCATCCATTTGTAGACACTTGTCTTCATTGACAGGGTCATCACTAGTAAATCGTTACATATTCCAATGAATGATTAATGTACCATGGTCTCGATTCAAGTACAATCAATGTCTTTATTCACAAGGTCAACCCTAAATTGTTACGTATTAACTCATTTATTGTAGACGCGTGTGTTGGTGACTCATGGTATAGGCTTTTTGCCCCAAGTAGACCAAATCATTGTCCTAGAACAAGGTCAGATACGTGAGATGGGCTCATACACTGAACTACTAGACAGCGGGAGAGCATTCGCCGACTTTCTCCGCAATTATCTCACAGACCTGGACAGTGAAGAACTGGAGGAATTGGATCCCGACGGTACCTTTTAGTTTTATCTTCCAAGCTGTTTTCTCCCTAAATCTTCATTCTACTTTATTTTGTATCTTTTTTTGTTTCATGATGCACATGCACACACAGGCATCAATCTTTTGTCTTTGTTCATAACAACAATCTTCATGTCACATGAATTCATGATTATTATCAAGAGTATCATTTGAATTTCTGTTAAAGTAGATTTATTATTTCTTTTTAGCTATGACATTGAAGGATGACATCCTCTCCCATATTGGCAGCTTGGTAGAGGGTGCTGATAAATTACAGAGGTAAATACTGTGAAATATCTTCGTTTTTACGATGTTGCAAATTCATAACTTTGCATATCAGAGTATACAAAATTCTAGTCTATTGAGTCCCTGCTACCCCTACAGAGGTAAAATACAGTCAAAAACATTTTATAGTTATGGCTTTTATACTAGATATTCTATCAGGTGGTAAAATTAATAAAAGTGAATTGCAAATTATTCAAAACTATAGTTCTGTTAACAAAGCAACAGTTGTGATTCTGGTAAAAACAACTGAGGCAAATTACCTGTTGCCTGCAGTCAAGAAAGTAATCACTGTCAGTCATTGTGAATGATAACTCAGGTAAAAACAACTGAGGCAAATCACCTGTTGCCTGCAGCCAAGAAAATAATCCCTGTTAGTCATTTTGAATGATAACTCAGGTAAAAACAACTGAGGCAAATCACCTGTTGCCTGCAGCCAAGAAAATAATCCCTGTTAGTCATTTTGAATGGTAACTCAGGTAAAAACAACTGAGGCAATTGCCTGCAGCCAAGAAAATAATCCCTGTCCAACATTTTGAATATATAACTCTGGTTGATGCCATTTATCATGCACACTCCAGGTCTATATCTAAGCCCAGCAGAACCAGGACCACCAGTGAAATGTCTAAGAAGACTGCCTCTCAGCACAGTCTCAACAAATCCCTATCAGGCTCACATGCCAAACTGAACAAACAGGTAGCCATTGCAAATGATAAAGCAGATCCTGTTGATGTTAATAAATTGAAAGATGGCGATGAGAAAGAGAAACTTATTCAGGCTGAAACTTCTAAGACTGGAAGAGTAAGTATCTTCTTTATGTGTTATTGCCTTTTGTAAAGGCATGTGTTAAGTGACATTCCAAAACTTTGTTTATCAATTTATCAGTTGTGCTATATACTGTAAGTGTAGACTGCACTTTTTGGATAGAAGAGATCAGTTTCGGCGAAAACAGAATAACAAGCTTTTACCCCAATCTTCCCTAAACATGGTGTAACTAGACATAAGGCAAGTGAGGGAACTACATATTATATCTATAGAAACATATGTTTATGATGTCCACATGGATATAACTCAATTTGCCTAGATTTGCCTGATCCATTAATGATTTTAGCCTTGCCTAAAATCCTGGTTATGTCTTAGCATGTGCAAATATATCTTTCGCTGGTTATTTTGACCAAGCCACATCACTAACAAATCTGTTCAAATCAAACTTGCAATAAAACAATTTTATACCTTCCAGGTCAAACTGAAGGTGTTTGCAGCCTATATGAGGTCAGTTGGCATGATTATCTCCGTGTTGATCTGCTTATTGTATATCCTCAACAATGTTGCATCCATTTACTCCAACATTTGGTTGTCTGATTGGAGCAACGATGCCGCTAGACAAACAAATGTAACTTCACAAGAAGAAATGAACAAGCACCGGGACATGCGGTTAGGTGTATATGGAGCCCTGGGATTTGCTCAAGGTAAGACCCCTTGTACTGTTTAAAATGCTATTATTTAGGAATTGCTTCTCCTTGGCCATAGATAATAAGGATTCAAATGATGATTTAAGATTTCAAGATGGAACCAAAGGGCTAAACGGTCACTCATGTTAATACAGGTAAATATTAGCATGAGGAATGGGCTATTGCTGAACAGTACTATGCACAACATACTGTAAAGCTTTATGCTTTTAACTGCTAGAAGGGTAATCTACTCCATACATAATATACTTAATTATATTATATTTCTTAAATTGATAGCATAATAAATTAGATATAATAACAGCTAATCTAAATATTTCAGGTGGCATTTCTCAATTATTTCATGCATTAATGTTCAATATTAGTTGCATAGCATATTCTTGTTTGCAGGCAGTTTAGAAGTGATAAGTGCCTTTACCTTAGCCAGAGGGGGCATCAGGGCCTCTAAAATATTACACAGCAATATGCTCAACAACACACTCCTTGTGCCAATGTTATTCTTTGATAAAACTCCTTTGGGACGTGTTATAAATCGGTGCTCTGAGGATATTGCAGAGATTGATCTAGTCATGCCGTTTACTGTGCGCTCGATGATTAATGCTATAATTGGTGCCATAGCAACACTTATTGTGATCTCATTGTCAACGCCCATTGTTCTAGTCACCATCCCACCCCTGGGGATCATATACTTCTTCATACAGGTTTATACATAAATTCTCCATGTTTAATAACACAACATGGTGGACAGTTGATCCCCAATTCTTTGTGTATATGGTTTATTGAATGCTTGGACGCTTTCAGTAGATTTTCTCTTGTGATCTGCAATTTTTCAAAAAATATTTTTTGGGCTATCAAGTCAGAAGACCACATGGAGGAGGATTGGCACATAGCATTTTATTGCAATCTTCTTTTGGCTTGGCATTGGTCAATTTGGAAATCATGTTACTATAATTTTTATCTTCAGATGAAACATTTAGTCATGAGAAGAACATAATGGTAATTTACCAATTTGCCAATATCAGTCAAAAGAAGATACATGAAATAGGGATCCAATCCTCTTTTACAGAGAAAGTTTAAACTGAGAATTTGTATGAAAGCATCTTCAATCTATAATGAGAAGGGATGTTTAATTTTCCTGCATCCATGCTGTCGTATGACAACTGACCTCCATGATGTGTTATGTAATATGTAAGGTTTGCAGTCACATGGCTTACTTTTTAGTTATCAAACTTTCAAAAGAATTGTAACTTTCAGTATTTGCCAAATACTGTTTCATCAAACATCAGTTCAGATTTTAAATTAATATCACTACAAAACAATATTTTTGCTTGGCTATTACAGAGCACAGAAAACGGATGCTTAATTATCATCAACATATTCACATGATTTGATATTGATCACATGCTGACCAGAGTACTGTGATGTCACTTCCTGTCATGTGACAATTCATATTTCACAACCCACTCTATAAATAATTCCAGGGAAACACTCTTATAGAGGAGGACATGAAAAGAGGAGAATGATTTTAGGGTGTAGTTTTAGTTTTTAACATGTAATTGTAGTCTGTGTGTTTGTATTCCTAACTCAAGGGGTTTCCCTGCCATTTGTCAAAAACTAATACAACATTTCTTTCAGTAACATCAGTATGGAAAACTGTTTAAGATTATGCCAGCTAATGCCTTTTAATTCCAGGATTGTTTGTACTTGGAAGTTCATTATCTATGGCTGTTGGGAAAATTGCAGCATCAAAAAATTTGCACACAGGGATGTTAGCCAATATATTGCGCAGTCCTCAACATTTCTTTGACGCAACTCCACTGGGACGAATCGTGAATCGTTTCAGTAAAGACATCGATGTCATCGACTTGCTGATTCCACAAAATATTACAATGTTTCTCGGGTGCTTGATGAGTGTATTGTCTTGTATCACTGTAATATCAATGAGTACTCCATACATCTTGGTAGTAATGGTGCCCATTGGTATCATCTATGTATTCATTCAGGTACAGGTCCACTTGATATGAGCATAATCGTCTTAACAGGAATTCATTGTTTGTTTGTCTGCCATTAAAATCCTTGTCAAATAATGATCATTCAAATATTTCTTAAAAATTTAAAGATTTTTTGAGTCTATTCAAGGCATATTTGAATAAGGAGAATGAATTGGATATTTAGAGTCACAGTCAGCAGGTTTATATGTTTAACCAGGATTTAAAGAGGAGTAAACAGGCTATGAATTTCTGCATCATATGTCGTCTATAAACATACACTTTTAATTTAGCATGTCACTAGCTATGTCTCTGAGTACTAAACAGTAGATTCTATTAACACATTTCTTCTTTTTTGAATTATTAAATCTTCACTTACTTTTTTTTTTTGAAAGTTTATATTTTTAATTCATAGAATTTATACTAGTGACATCATCATGAGGGCACCCTTGTCTTTGTGAGGGTAAGGGTTCACCATCTTGATCATTATGTTGAAGGGCTTTACTGGTTTATGAAGCATTTCTTTATAACTCTTCTTTACTTCTTTAACAGTGAATTAATTATCAAATTCATTTTGGACACAATAATTCATTTGTACTTTAACTGTGGTGACTTGGATGAAGTGTATTACTGATATTTTATATATTCAGAATAGCATGTAGTTATGTAGGGTTATTCCTCATTGCAATATGGATACTATATTCACTTTGGGTATGTGGACAGTGTGTCATATTTTTTGTTTCAGGTTTATGGGGATTTCATGTTTCATGCTTCATGTACATTATAATATTCATGTTGGGCATGTCGTTTTTGGTTTCAGGACTTGTAGTGTTAGGCAGTGCATTTGCCATGGCTATAGGCAAGATAAGGGCCTCAAAAGGACTACACAAATCAATGTTAGACAACATCCTTCAAAGTCCGCAGAGTTTCTTTGATGCCACACCACTTGGACGAATCATTAATCGTTTCAGTAAAGATATTGACACGATCGATTTGTTGATTCCTGCGAATATAACAATGTTCCTCACGGTTATGCTGATTTCGCTGGCCAGTATCATAGTTATCGCTATGAGCACTCCCTATATTTTGGCAATCATGATCCCCATTGCCATCGTGTATTTCTTTGTACAGGTACACAACCAACCTCTTTCCCAGATGGATTGTCTTATTAAAACCTATGACTTATTTAAACCTATGACTTCTTCTTTTGTTTTAATACAATCTTACCAAGCAATGCACAGTAAAGGGTATACCTGTGTAATATCACCATATTCATCTCTACAATAATTAGAGGATATATTACATGTATATTCTTGGTCATTTAAAGTTGAACATGTACATCATTAATCTATTTCTGGAAGAATAGTAACAGGTATTCCCTCTACCTGTATTGCTGGAAAAGTGAATCGCATTATGGTACCTGGTATACATAAACACAAGTAAACCTGTGAAAATTTGGAAACCGTCAGCTCATATAAACCCATTGCAACTTTGACTACTGAACTGAACATGTTTAGACTGTGAAACAATATCAGCTATTATATTGTGAATTACTCTCTTATACACATACTCCAGTTGATAGTTTTAACCTCTTTGTTTCTTTACTGCATGTATTTGACGTTAGTGCATTTTACATCCTTGATAGATCTTCATAGAATTTACAAACTTTGTTGACTAATAAAAAAAATGATTGATTTTATAACAAAGGGTTACCACAAAATTTTCAATAAATAATCAACTTTTACTCATTAATGGGTCAGTTTGCTAGATATGACAGTATATCTCCATATTTATATTTTATGGATCAACTAAATATACCTGTAAGGTAGAAGTTGTGGATCAGTTGTGGAGAAGTTGTGGATCAGTGATGTATGAAGCTGCTTAATAAATCTTAGCTTGGTTTGTTAAGGTACATTATCTTTGTATGGAGGAAATTGTTCTGTTCTATTGTTCAGTAGTGGGTTTGAGTCTTGGAAATGATCTAGTTATGCCATTTATGTGCACTCAATGATTAATGCTATACTTCTTGGCGCCATAGCAACACTTATTGTGATCTCATTGTTATCACACTTTTAAAAATGCTATATTGTCATTTTGTGCTCCTAGGGGGGGGGACTGCTTTACAGATGCAAAGGTAGAGTAATACCAAAATTACCTGGTGGTCAGTAAAATTTTGCAATGATTGCGTCATGTCCTTATGGGCCAAATAATTGTTACATTTATTTTTTTAGAGTTCCTAAACAGTGTTGACCGAGATGAATCATCACAGCTGATCTTTTATCTGTAGTTGAAATTGCATGTAAATATTTATTGGTGTGTTTTCACATATCTAGTTGTATGGGGATTTCTCAAGCTGTATGTGCATTACATTCATATTGGGCATATCATATCTTGTTCCAGGTGTATGGGGATTTCTCAAGCTATATGTACATTATATTCACATTAGGCATGTCATATTTGGTTTCAGGACTTGTAGCATTGGGCACTGAATTCATCAGGGCTGTAGGGAAGGCGAGAGCCTCGAGGAGACTACACAGATTATTGTTAGACAACATCTTACGCAGCCCACAGAGCTTCTTTGATGCCACACCACTTGGACGGATCATTAATCGTTTCAGTAAAGATATGGACACAATTGATCAGTTGATCCCTCTGAATTTAAGAATGGCCTTCAATTTTATGTTGAATGCCCTAGCTAGTGTCATTGCTATTGCTATCGGCACCCCCTATATCTTAGCAGTCATGATCCTCGTTGCTGTCATGTATTTCTTAATACAGGTACACAACCAACCCTTTTCCAGATGGATTGTCTTATGTGTTTTTTAAATCTATGTCTTCTTATTTTAATACAGTTTTACCAAGCAGTGCACAGTAAGGGGGTATACCTGTCTCTGTTTCAGATGTAAAATCACCATTTGTAGTCTCTACAATATTTAGAGAATATATAACATGTATATTACATTATTAATCTATTTCCAGTAGTTGCAGTTATTCCCTCTATCTGTTTCGCTGGACAAATTAATCACATTACTTAAGGGCTTTAACTTCTTTGAGTGCATTTTATATCCTTGATAGATCTTGATAGAATTTACAAACTTAACTAATAAGAAATTATTGAAAATATAATATATATACAGGATATCTCCATATTTATATTTTCCGGATCAACTAAACATACATCAACTAGGGAATTGTTTTGTTCTTATCTTTGAATTGACTTATTTTGTCTTGTACATGTATGTGTATGCTATTGTTCAGTTGTAGGCTTAAACCTTTGATGGGAAGAGTCGCTTGTTTAAAGAGGCTCTATGCCATAGGAAAGCACAATAAAGACCCCTCTGGACTTTTTTGCAGATTGAGTTTCACCACATATTCACCCATCTACTTACCAAAGAAGAAGTCCCAAATCCCCCACTTTCAGTGTAAATTTTGCGATTGTGCTGGCTGATCTAATTATTTTCACGGAAATTAATTCAATCTGAAGTTTGAATATACTGGGAAAGTCCTCCTGTTATCTGATTGGTCGTTGAATTTGTTTATCATGAACCTGATTGGCTGCCTGGTTCAAGGCGCTTGTGGGCGCTTGTGTGACTCAATGGGGATTCCCCTTGCTAGCCGAGGAATCGATTGTGCTGGAGGTTGGTTGTTCTGTTGATTATTTCATTATTTCGGCAATAATATACCCAAAAGTTATTCTCAAGATATATCCATGGTTTGTGAGATATTATATGTGCAATAAAAATAGGACATCATTGGTTGTCTAGGGGAGACACCTATGGTAAAATGCCTCTTTAATTCCTTGTTTTATGATGCATTAATGCTTCAAATCATTGTCCTGATTTCAACATATAGCCGTCATCAGGAAATGATCCATAGGAAGTCCATACTCAAGTTATTGAAGAACATGAGATGTCAAGGGAGTAACAATATAAGTGATAAGAATGCGTCATACTTGATCTGGAGAAATATAAAATTGAGCCTGGATAATTAGAATTGGGCATTGCATGTTCAACTTAATTTGCAGTCTGGTGACTAATATCTCTTTTAGATTGTTTACAATATGTGATGTTTAATATTTTTAGATCTTTGCACATGCTGAACACATGCCACTGATGCCATCCAGTGATCTCCCTAGCATTAAAGCAAGTGGGCACAGTACCCACCTGAGATTTTTATATAAACAGGCTTGCACCTACCTAAAAATTCATTTGCGCCCACTTGAAAATAAGAAAAATCATGGACCAATTTTGGCCTGAATTTTGAACCCACTTGACAAAAAATCCTAGGTAGAACGCTGGACATCACTATTTTATTTAATGTAAACTTTCACTTTCATGCAGGTATTGCTCTGTACTTCGCCGCCTTTGCCCTAGCACGGGGTACCATTGAGGCCTCACGTCATCTCCATGATGATATCACACAACACATTCTTTGCTCTCCCATGGTGTTCTTTGATCAGACCCCAGTAGGACGCATGACAAACAGATTCTCCAAAGACATAGATGTTATTGATACCCTCATTCCAAGGAACATAGAAGCATGGGGAAAGTGTACTCTACACGTCATTAGCACAGTGATCGTTATCAGTTATAGCACCCCCTACTTCATCTTGATTCTTATCCCACTCGGGGTGTTCTATGTTCTAGTACAGGTATTTTTATACGATATGTTGGACGTTGGTAAGGGAGGTTGGAGCTTGAATCGTTGCATGTTATTTATGTTTAATTGTTATATATTATGTATTTGTTGCTGTATTGTTGAACGCTAACATTGATTCATTTTATTTAGGGGATTCCACAAGTAACTTTTTTTAAAATTTTTTTTTAGTTGCTTCCGTAAAACTTATTCACTCACAACAATCGTTTGATTTTCACATTATAATGCTTATTCAGTGATAACACAACATTATGATATACTATGATATTTTGAAAGAAAGGTAGATGGCGTTACAGATTTCTAACACCTGGGTGTAACAAGCTTATATAGATTTTGACACATTAATTTGTATAATCAGCACAGAATGATCGCAATCTTAATAATAGGCTGTAGCATTTTAATGAAAATTGTAGAGGTTGATATCGCGCTATGATATTAGAGTTAGGGGTTGCCTAAAGAATAGCAATATCTTTCAATAGTATCAATTGATATTCTGCCCAGTTAATATTTTAACAATTTTAGGTCAATAGTACTTATTAATAGTTAAAGTGGAAATGGGTTAGTAGAGTTAGGGTTAGGCATTGTCTAAAGAATAGCAATATCTTTCAATGGTACTAATTGATATTGTACCCAGTTAATATTTTAACAATTTTAGGTCAAGAGTACTTATTAATAGTTAAAGTGGAAATGGGTTAGTAGAGTTAGGGTTAAGGGTTGCTTAAAGAATAGCAATATCTTTCAATGGTATCAATTGATATTGTGCCCAGTTAATATTTTAACAAGTTTAGGTCAAGAGTTCTTATTAATAGTTAAAGTTGAAATGGGTTAGTAGAGTTGGGGTTAAGGGTTGCTTAAAGAATAGCAATATCTTTCAATGGTATCAATTGATATTGTGCCCAATTAATATTTTAACAAGTTTAGGTCAAGAGTTCTTATTAATAGTTAAAGTTGAAATGGGTTAGTAGAGTTGGGGTTAAGGGTTGCTTAAAGAATAGCAATATCTTTCAATGGTATCAATTGATATTGTGCCCAATTAATATTTTCACAATTTTAGGTCAAGCATTCTTGGGTTTAACATGGAAAGGGGCGAGAAGAGTTATAAGAAAGCAAACTACTAAAATAAATAATGACCTTTTTCACATGCCATCTTATAGTAATAAATAAATGTCTTACAGTAATAAATAAATGTCTCTTGCCTCTGGGTGGTGATAAATTTTAAATACAACATAAACCTTGATAGAATGGAAGCTACTTGTAATGTACAGGGAACTGATGTGAATACAAGTAAATATGTCCTAGATACATTTTATACATGTATATTTGACACATATGATGGATATCTGTTACAGATGAACATACAAATTAATTTCAACAATGCGAGTAATCCATTTTACCAATGATGCTTAGATTAGCTTCCAGGGGATTTCTTTACTTGTTTTTCACATACATATTGTGTGCTTTTGGGATGTTTTGTGTGTATTATAACCAATACATAAAAGTATCAACAATATATCACCAAGGTGACCAAGCACACGCTGCTACCATAGTGATGAGTCACCTAGATAATCAAACAAAAATAGTTGCCATAAAGACTACTGATTACACAGATGACCAGGCACAAGCAGCTACCATAGTGACTGATCTTAAAGGTCAGAATCAAGTGAATGATAATAATGAGGGTAATATTGCTGAGAAGAATGCTTATTTACAAGTAAAGGATACAATGTCTGAGAGAACTGACATTGTCAAAGCTTACTGTAAAAATATTACACAGTCACCTCTATACAAAACCTTTTTGAAAACCCGTAAAAAGACTGGCTATAAGAAGTCTTGTGGAGACTTGGAAGTACCTACTACTGCTAAAATCTATGTTTTAGAGGAACTTAAAGTAGTATTTTGTGCTGTATTTAAAGCAGCTTCAAGTGAGTGGAAAAAATTGCTTGTAAGTCTACATGACACCTATAAACAGGAAGCACAAGAGACTCTTGAAGCGCCGGGAATTCATACCAAATGGCAGAACTTTGCAAAGCCTCTCAAGGAGTATTTGCCTTCGGAAAGATGCCATGTTTTAGAGACTTTCAATAAGGTTATGATAGTTAGGAACCCCTATGAGCGTCTGGTCTCTTGCTTCAATGACAAGTTCAGACGGAATACTGATTACTGTAGAATGGTGATGCAACCTGGTGTCGATTGTCTGGCGATGAACCTGAATGACTTTGTCGAACAATTGAGCTTTGGCTGGGCTGGCCAGGATCCTCACTGGCGTTCATTCTTTGACACATGCCTACCTTGTGAGATACAATACAATAACATTGTCAAATTTGAGACCCTCGCAAGAGACAGGGATTACTTTCTAGAAACACTTGGATTGTCTGGAAGGGTTAACTTCAGCAAGCATACTTCCTCGAGCCATAAAAACTATTTTGATAACATGACCCAGGAATTGTCAAATAAGATCTATTCTATATATGAAGTAGACTTTCTCTTGTACAATTATTCAAAATATATTGTTCCACATTGACAAAATTGATATTTGTTAAACGAACTTCAACAATCAGACATTGTATGTTTTCCAGCTATCATAAACTTAGCTCAGTATATTGCACAAGCGCTTGGTGCACTACAAGCATCGTACTATCTCCATGCTAAGTTGACTTCAAGCCTTATGAGGCAACCATTGGCCTTCTTCGATCAGACCCCTGTGGGACGCATTATCAGCCGACTATCTGGCGACATCGACACCATTGATACTGCAATATTGTACAGTATTGACTGGTGGCTGCAATCAGCCATGACAGTTATTGGCGCATTAATTATATCGACTATGATGGCACCTCTCTTTCTGGTTCCGCTTCTCCCAACAGGAGTATTGTATTTCGTTGTCCAGGTGACTATAGAGCTTCATGAATGGTCCTTTTTCCATATAGCTTTGAAATCTCGCTAAAGTCTCGTTTTTAATGAGATTTTAGGAGATCTGCATTTTTCACCATTAAAGACTAACATTTTCTTCTATTTGATGGCATATTTGAAATCTGTGTGTAATTTTCCCTCAAAACAACTTTGATTTGCACCATTATTTACCTTTATTCAAATTCTAATGATTTTCTAGTTGTCTAAAAAAGGTTGGGCTAAATTTCCATTGACACAATGCTGAAAAACCATGAAAATTTTATTTACTCTCACAAGGATCACAATTCTAATGTGAAATCACAATCCACATATCAATAAGATCATATAGATATTTTCCAATAGTGTTTTAAGTTGATCCAAATGGAATTACTTCTTAAATCAAGAAATTAAGTGACTCTGGCAATACATTTACATGTATTCTAGCCCTACCATAGCCCTACCAATACCCATGATGCCATCTATTTTCCATTTAATGGAAAAAGGTCAATTGAGAATTGATAATATGTCTAGTCTGCTTTTTGTATTAGCTAAGTTAATATCATTTGTATTAATTTTTAAGCTTTTCATGTAGCATGGGCTGTTTTAATTACCAAAAGTATACTGTATAAGTTATTGTCAATATAGTTAAAGCAGATATGAAATGGTATTTTTAACCTAAAGGAATCAATATAATTTTTTGATAGATGTATTTGGACATGTTTTCTCATCAGTAGTGTGAAAACTATTTCACTCTAACGATCGTTATAGCTGCTTAATAAGCAATATTCGAATTGGTTGTGACGTTATTGGCCCCCACGTGATCTCTCACTGGTCCCCACGTGGCACGTTTTGGTCCATTAGATCATGACGTCATAATGCCAAAATGTTTTGTTATTTGTTTACACAACAATCCTATGGTTGCCGTGACGTTGTGATTACTATGGAACCAATAAACCAAAGCCATATTTTGTATATGACGTTACTAATCACGTGGGGGCCAATTTGATTTATCAGTTAGTTTTATTTCGTTATATATGACCGTTAGCAGTTATCTAACATTTATTTTATAATGGCTATCGCAAGAACTCTACGGTGGGCTTACAATGGAGAAAACCACATTTTTGTAGCTGCAAGTTGAGAAAAGCTATTTCAGTTGTCCTTTAAGATTACTTTATTTCTATCTTCTCATGTTATTGGTATAGCAGCTCGGAGTTGTGGCATAGGGGTAATAATGATTGCTAATGCAGAAGTGTGTACAATCAATTAATTTTGTATGCTGCAATTTGACCCATGAAAGTTCTGAATAAAGACCCATTGATTTGCTTCTGAAGCAGTACTTTACAAGGATTGTCACAGATATCCAAGTTCATTCAGATAAGGCTCTTGGTTAATGGAAATATCAAAACATCAAAATACCAAACAGGATAATTTTGGTGTCTGCAAATTGCAAAACGTTTGACTTGATTGAAGTCCTTGATTGAAGAGCTAACATTTTACAAGACACCACTAAGCCATCAATTGCTCCATGCAGACTAGTATTAAATACAACAGAGGGTATTGCTTATTGAGAAGTCTGTCCTGGATTTGCACAGTGTGAAACATGGCGGCAAAATCATGGAAGTCAAAATTGGTGATTGAGAATGCCCCAAAGTCAAGGAATTACAAATTTTGGAATGCATTTGTGCTAGAGCTCAAGTTTTTTCTGATTTTGTTATAAGTTAACCCAGTTGAAACCATGTGTTCAGAACTGAGCCAAAAATGACTGAACTGAAATTTGTTTTGAGTCACATCTGGAAATAACAGCCATGAATGGTTTTGAAAATAAGGTCACTACTGTGCAGTAGCTCCTATTTTTCATCATATAATCCATGTGACAACCTACTAAAGCTTGAATTCAAAGGCAATTCGCTTCTTCGCTTCAATTCGTATTTCTATATAATATTGCTTATTTTGAATTATGGGCATAAGCTAGCTTTTGTAATAATCTTTATTAGTTATGGTAAAAGGGGCAGCATTCAGTATCTTTATATTTGTGTATGGATGGAGTTCATTTTTACCTGCAAAATTAGCACTCTTGATACTTTTGATGTCACCACCACAAGTGGTGACAAATTGTTATAGTCATTTTTGTGGACAGTTTTTGGTGTTTGGCTGTCAGCATATTGGTGTTTGGCTGTCAGCAAATCAATGCATTGTTTGAAATATATGAGACTTTCAAGCAAATTATCCTATCAAACAAGTTCAGGGGAAATAAATAATAGCTTCCATTAACATTTTTCATGAAATTTCCAGCAACTTTTCATGAAATCAACAAATTAATATCTCCACATAAGAATGAGGGAGTTGGCATGTTGATAAATATACATGAAGTACACCGGTCCTCCCAATATGAAAAGAATATCAATGACACCAAATCTGTCCCTTGTAACTGACAACTTAAAAAGTGCTATATTGTCTTGTTACCTGGATGGTTGAAAAGTATACTACAAGCAGACTATGATCATCATGGATATATGAAGAGAACATGATTATAGGTGTATAAATATAGGTTACTTACTGGGAGGGATTGAATATGGGTTTTATTCCGAGGGACAATATGATATTGACCGATGGAGCACAGTAGGAAAATGTAGTATAAATATAGGTTACTTACTGGGAGGGATTGAATATGGGTTTTATTCCAAGGGACAGTATGATATTGACCTATGGAGCACAGTAGGAAAAACAGTAGTTTTATGGAATAAATCTAGATATCACTGGGGAGTATCGTGATGCAACAACACCGTGTTGTTGCATCAAGATGGCCAGACTTCCGGTGATAGATTTTCGTACGATGTTTTGTTTCCCAATTTACACCCATTTCTAGGACGAGTTGCTCAATAATCATATACATGCAGTTAGCGCATGATCTATATTTTAAAAAACTGTCATTGGTATACATGTAGCATCATCAAGAAGCGATAAATTCGTGGTTTTAATTCCTCACTATTGATGCAACAACACCACTCTGTTTCTTATCGATGATGCAACAACACCAATTTGCTGATGCAAAAACGCCAATATAATGTATCATTGAACAACAAGAGAAACTGTTTTATGTTCTGTTTACAGGTGTAGGTCGGGACATGAATAAAACGCGTGAGTCAGTGGTCCATGAACGAAACGTATTTTGTTTGGTTTCTTTGTCTATATCAAAGTTAAAAGGATATACAAGGCAAACTAAATAAAGTACAGAATCCCCGGGAGGCAATCTCATTGATATTGTATCTGAAAAATAAAGATTATACATTTTCTAAATTAAATGCCCTTGCTTTACCGTATGGAAATTGCTTACAAATAACTCATATAATTTTGGAAAGACAACAGATATCAGTCATTTTTGGTTGTTAGTACCTCAATTGAAATACTCAATTCTGATTGGTTGATGAGCGGGCAACAAAATGTTTTGTTAGTACCTCAACTGAAATACTCGATTCTAATTGGGTGATTAGCGGTCAAAATTATGTACTGTTGACCGCTACTACGTACTGTTGACCGCTACTTCTGAAAAAAGTTTCACGACGTCACCAAAAAACATGGAAGACGGACATTTTGTAAACGTTGATGAAAATGACTTTACTAGGGACAAGTATAGCAAAAATACAAATAGAAACTTAAAATTAACATTAATTCACAAACGAGTACGCCGTGATGTGCCAAATACAGAGTTAAGCTACTTGCACCGTCTCCATATTTTCTAAAAATATTGCTAACGTGGTTCGGAGAAAAGGTTGTGAAATGAAGCCATGCCGATTGATGATTGTTGTCTACATGTGTATTATTAGTTTACTCGGACTAACAAAACAATTGTAGACCTCTCCATTCGATCAACCGTCAAAATCATATACCTCGACTGTAAACCTTGAAACTACTGTTGACAGAGACCCAAGGTCTCTGTCAACAGTAGTTTTTCGATTTACAGTCTCGGTATACAATTTTGCCGGTTGGCCTCTGGGGAGGTCAACAATTGTAAACTGTTGACCACTACTAGGTACTGTTGACCCCTATTTTTGAAAAATTGTTTTTTTAATGTTGAAATTTTTTTAATTTTGAAAAAATAAGTTGTTTAAAAAATTACAAGCATTCGACGGTTTGGGGATTTTTTGCTAAAATATGATACCTTTACTTATCAAATATGTTCACGTGATATTCGATTATATATTCGTCCAATTATTATATTATTTGGACTAACAGAACAATTGTTAACCTCTCTTTTCGGTCAACTGGCAAAAGTGTCCTCGACCTCTGGTCCTGATCAACAGTACTTTCAAGGTTTACAGTATCGGTATACAATTTTTCCAGTTGACCTTAAGAGAGGTCTACAATTGTATATTATATCCTTCAAATTATTATATTCTTCAGACTAACAAACAATTGTTAACCTCTCTATTCGGTCAACTGGCCAAAGTGTATACCTCAACAGTAAACCCTGAGAGTACTGTTAACCTCGACCTCCGAACTTTCAAGGATTACAATATCGGTATACAATTTTGCCAGTTGACCTCAAGAGAGGTCTACAATTGTATATCGTATATCCTTCGTTATCCCACCCAAAGTATGATGTCATATATCAAGTTGAAGAGTTGTATACGCCGCTCAGGAGTTTACGCAATCCAGGAGTTGTACATCGTTCTCAAGAGTTGTATAGGATGAGTGTTGGTTTAATGATATTGCAGTTATACAATGCTATTATATAAAAGTTATTTACTGAGAGGTATTCAATATTGGTTTTATTTCGAGAGACAATATGATATTTCCCGAGGGCCCGGGATATCTGGGATAACTGTACCCCTATCAATTTACCTTTTTGGGCCCTAAATCTTATCACTTTTGCTTACCTCAGCTTTTTACTCAGTCGGAGAGAAGGAATCCAAAGAGAGCAATAATTCTACATGTGCGTCGGGCAAGATTTCCATTAAACGGGTAACTAAACGGCCTCTCTAATAAAGTCAATTAAACGTTTTTACACGTTGACTCTCCAAATTGGAGGAAATATAAGAATCATATCATATTATATCATAGATGAAGCAATCATCCCATCAACATAAGCTCACGAATGTCACAGTTAAACTGTTTTAGTTATAATTTGATAAACAGTGGTAACGTACATCTACTAGTTTATCACTGTTCCACAGATGGATGACAGATAATATCCAATAGCTCATCATGTTTACCGAGAACGAAAGATGTTTGTCCACCATTTTGAATGATACTAACTGGAGTCAGGGTCATCAAGCTATGGGGCAGTGGTTTATGAAAATAGATTGGGTTACTGAAGCTTGCCATGTTAAAGGCGATTGAACTATGTTATAGAACAACGTCCAGTACATTATAATATGCATATGTAAGAGTATAAATTTTTGAAAATACATGTAAAGGATCTTCGCCCGCAGGACGTGTATTCTGAATGCCTTGAGAAGAACGCAAATATGGGTAGGCTAATTGGTAACGGTGTTGCAATAGTAGCATTTAAAAATCTGTTCCTCTCGAGATTTATGGTCTTCTGAAATTATACTATTCATTGGTGTTGCTGCATCATTGCTCAAATCTAGAGGAGTGTTGTTGCATCTTCGGTTTGGTGTTGTTGCATCAATAGTGAGGAACTAAAACCGTGAACTTATTGCTTCTTGGTGATGGTACATGTATACTAATGACAGTTTCTTTAAATATAGATCGTGCGCTAACTGCACGTGTATGGTTATTGAGCAACTCGTCCTAGAAATGGGTTTAATTGGGGAAACAAAATATCGTACGAAAATCTATCACCGGAAGTCTGGCCATCTTGATGCAACAACACGGTGTTGTTGCATCACGATACTCCCCAGTGGATATGACACCTCATCCAATTAACAAATATCACTGGTCCACAATAAGTTGAAGCAAACGGCAGTTAGTCTCATTCAAATTGGCAGACAAATTCTTTCAATATCGATAAACTTTCAATTAGACCTAAACAAACAAACAAACAAACAAACATATAAACATGTATTTGGCCACACAAACAATAAATTCACAATTATTAAGGAACAGCTCAAACATCTCTGAAGTTGGAGAAAGAAAGTTTGCTAGATCCTTAAAGCAAGGTTTTTAATGGATGTTTCAGCGTTTTAATGTAGTTGTTTACAGTTATATCTACTTGGGCTGTGTGTTATCTAAGGTTTATTGATATTGAAATAATTTTGTTACCCTCTGCTTCATCCTTTTTTGGAACAGTGTCAATTCGGTTCATTTGTCATGGAATAAACATTACTTGTTTTCATTTATTTTCAGTTGTGTTCACTCAAGCCTCTCTGTTCCTTCTGGCCTTGGGTATGGTTCGTGCCAGTCGTTCACTTCATCTTCATCTCCTTAACAGGATCATGCGTCTACCAATGAAATTCATCGATCAGACACCATTGGGCAGAATCTTGAATAGATTTTCACAAGATATTGCAGTCATTGACAGTGGACTGTTTAATGTTGTCGAGAAATGTTTTTTCTGCATTTCAAATGTTTTCAACACAGTGATCATTATCTCCATCAGCACGCCATGGTTCGTTGCTGTTGTCCTGCCCCTTTCCATATTGTACTTTTTCATGCAGGTTTGATATCATGACACTACATCATATTTTTGCTTAATATTAGGTGTGAAAATGGTATTCACTGTGTATACTAGCTAATTCAGTAGTAGAGGTTCATGTTGCTATGCTGTAAAAGTTATTATACGCTGCTTGATTTGTTTCAGTAAAAATCCGTACACTGTATATGATGAAATGAATGACTGGTCATTCTGGTTGTCTTGCATTACATGGAATCAGTTTTTTCTTTTTTTCTTTTTGAAGGACTATGAAGTCCAAAATTTTTGAAAATAAAGACTATCTCAGGTTCATCATAGAGAGACATAATGACAAGGCAAAATCATATTTTTTCTTTAATTCCATCACAGATTATAACATGAAAACCAAACCCTTTTACCCTACCCCCATAAACTAGTTGTGTATTGAAATCTTGGGGTTGACAATAAGCTGGATTTGTTATTTAGATAAAAACCTGCTTTGTGTCAACTACTGACAATGTTTTAATACCCCATGTTTTCAATACACAAGTAGTTTTTATTATTTATTTATGGGGGTATTTTACCCAAACACAATAATGTGTTTTATATATATTTATTGATTATTTGATAATATTTTTTATAATCCTCTATTTCAATGTTGAAATTCAAATTTTGCATTTCTAATATATAAAACAGAATTTTACTTTTTGACAGTCATGCAGTATTTCAATATCTAACAGCTTTTAATAACGAGAATCACTATGTGGGCTTCAGTCTCATTGCAAGGTAGTTCATTAACACTAACTGTGACACATGTCATATTCAGATAGAGCTAGTGTAGTGAAGAAAGATTTTAATAATAGTCTCTCCAGTTTTTTCCAGATCAGGTGTTAACCAATAGGAACACTCACTAACATGGATTTAGGTTGAATCTTGCTTTCTCTTCTCCAGGCTTGTTCCAGTTGGGCTCTGCATTTATGCTAGCTACGGGTTCAATTAGGGCATCAACAAATCTCCACTATAGTTTGCTTACTCACATTTTCCGCCAACCCCAGATGTTCTTTGATCAGACCCCACTTGGCCGTATCGTGAATCGCTTCTCAAAGGACATCGATGTCATTGATGTCGTTCTGTCTCGGAACTTTGAGATGCTCATCATGTGTTGTTTTTTCGTTCTGAGCACGATGATTGTCATCAGTTTGAGCACTCCCTTGTTCCTCAGCATTGTAATACCAATTGGTATTATCTACTTCTTTGTACAGGTAGACGATCAGGGTATATTTGTATCTTAGGCATGACTATTTATCACAATATTAATATGATGTACATGGTGGTCATTACCAATCTCAATTTTTATGTCACCACCACAATGGTGGCATATTGTTATTGTCTCCATTTTTGTGTGGTGTGTTTGGTGGATGGTGATCAGTGTCTGTAACAAATGGCAGGTGGCGACATTTTGCATGTTAATGCCTTGTATATTTAAATATTTAAATTAAATTGATGGACTTTGAGCTATAGGGTGTTCAGTATTTTTAAACTATAATGAATTTCCTAGCAATTTTTGTTGCATTTCTGCTTTGAGTTCCTGTACTCTTTCTGACTGTTTGACAGGGTGGCCACCATGGCCATATATTTTGTTTTTAAGCTTGTTTGTTGTGGTTAATTTTGTATCAGTTGTTCATTTTAATCACATAAGTTGACGTTCAGCATGCAATGCAGATTCACATTGCTAGTAATCACTTGTGCTATCATGTCTAGATTTTAGGGTTATGGAGATTTCTGCTGTTATAATCTGCCTGTATCCATTTTAACCCTCCTTCGTGACAGCTAGCTCATACATTTATGTATTTGGTTCATATACTCTTTTGAGGATCACCATGTATGGTTCACAATCCACATGTCAACAAGATATGTAGTCTAATTACATGCCATATGAGTTTTGATTTATGCAATCGGAAATGTTTGATAAATTAAGAACTGAAGTGATTGTTGTCATTTTTCCTTATTAAGGAATGGTATACAAGCCTGATCAAGACTACTATTGCCATCTATTTATCTATCCATGCAATTGTATATTTACCAAGTCATCTATTCATATATCATAAAAATGTCATACTTCATAATTTTCTCCTCATGGTTGACTGAGAATGCAGTATCATCAGTGGGACAACTTGCATTAAAGAGGGAATAAAATCAGATTCTTGGACATTTAGACTCTGTGACTTGAAAACTTTTTCTTGTTTATTTATTGAATATTTTCTTTTGTTTACTTTGACTAACTAATAAGCATGCTTCATAAACAAAATTACGTGACTATTTTGTTAAGTTTACAATAGCAGCACTGTCTCCAGTGGTATTATTATTCAAATTCAAATCACAGTTTTTTAGTTGTTTCTTGTTCAACAGTTTATTTAAATGTTTAATGTTGCTTGATATAATTTGCTCTTGTTTGTTTATTGTTTATTTATTGAATGATTTATTTTGTTTTTTTGTTTACTAAGCCTTAGCATGCTTCATTCATCGTGGTACTCTGTCTTGATATGCCATGATCTGTCATGTTCTGTCTTGATATGCCATGCTGTCTTCATATGCATCAAGCTTTGCATCAAATTTGTCTGTTATTACTAATACGGCATGTTAAAACATGCATGGATGTGACGCAAGGCTGTTTTAATCTTATATTATGTTCTTTGTTTGCCCTTTAACTAACAAACCTTGTAATTACTTGTAGAGGTGTGCTAACATTTCATGTTATCTATTATTAATGTTCTTTCATAAAGGATGATGAGATCAATGTTAGAGAGACCATACACATACATTACATAAGCAATAAGACCAGATTTTAGTGTAGTGTCATCATTAATCTATCTAATATTATTAAAAACTGGAATAAACCAACAAAGGGTCGCATATGTGATTTGTATGGCCTCTAAAATGCTGATCTTGATCGCCATGTTAACTGCACTTCATAGTTGAGAGGGGGGGGGTTAAATATATATTGTATGTTTATCTAGAAATTTTTAATTGTGATATGTATATTATATGCATATATCTAGCTTCCATGCAATAGTATTGATGCCCCTCACTCCTCTTAATGAATATGTTGATTATATAAGATAAAGTGCTGTCATCTGTTAGCTGTGCTCTGTAATAACTTGGATTTACAATATTTTCATATATTTCATAACATAAGCGAATTCTAATTTCTTATATATTAAGATATTAATTTATAATTATAAATAATAGGCGTTACATTAAAATGAGAATTAGAGTTTAGTTGGATTTCATATCATTTTGTGAGACATTATCAGAAAACCCAAATTCATAATAATTATGCTGAATCGAGACTTTTAATTTATTACAGCGATTTTACGTAGCAACAAGTCGACAATTAAAACGTCTGGAATCAGTTTCTAGATCTCCAATTTATTCTCATTTTGGTGAGAGTGTTACTGGGGCCAGTACTATACGTGCTTATGGTCAAAGAGACAGATTTATCCAAGAATCTGAGGCCTATGTAGACAAGAACCAAATCTGCTACTATCCTAGCATAGTCTCCAACAGGTATGTGTAAACTGGCACAATTGGCACAAGTAACAGTGTCATTTTCCCATCGAATTACTTATAGTGATCATAATTTAAGTCATCATTAAGCAATATTTAACTACAGTAAAGTTGATTAACTAAAAAACTTTCATTTTCATATTCTTTCTTGTGAGAGACTTGTCATTGAACTGAAATATTTCAAATCTGTTTCACTTTTGTCCAATCCTCAAAGTTTCTTTGAAATACCAAATGGAATTAGTCATACCATTGAAAGCCTCACTGGACCACATCTCACAATCATATCATGTCTGTTTGCAGGTGGTTGGCTATCAGACTGGAGCTTGTGGGGAACTGTATTGTGTTATTTGCAGCCTTATTTGCTGTTATTGGTCGGGATCATCTCAGCGCAGGAATTGTCGGCCTTTCCATCACATATGCCTTGAATGTAAGTTTAAAATTCTGTACAGGTTGTACACATCATATCAGTTATCAATCAGTTATCATCGAAGTCGATTGAAAATATTGATGAAAAGCGCCCTATTGTTGTCCTGTTGTAGATTACTCAAACATTGAACTGGATGGTACGTATGACCAGTGAATTAGAGACCAACATTGTGGCAGTTGAGAGGGTGAAGGAATACTCTGAAACACCCACTGAGGCAGATTGGATTGTGGAGGACAATAGACCAAGGTAAATGCCTTTTAAAGGGCAGAGGTTGACAGGGAGCGTAATGGTCTTCCTCATACTGGATTTAAACCATTTTTACTAACTGTTCACTTGACTTCTATAATAGGATTTCAAGAAGGAATCTCAAAGCAGTTTTCAAATTTAAAATGGCTGCTTTTTGAAATCTTCTCTTCCATGGAGTGATTTGATGTATTAGGGTTGTTCAAAAAGTTGTTGCACAAATGTGTCTAATTATGAAAATAAAAAACTTTTTCTTGAGAAGCTTTTGTGCAGAATTTTTTGAGCGACCCTTTTCATATGTTCAGTTGGATTTGCTACTGTTAAAGGTTGTTCTTTTTCGAGTCCTATTTCTCCCGAATACCATGAAGTAGTTCCATCTTTATTACAGAGTATATCTTCAATATGTGTGTAAAGTCAACATGATAATACTGTAGCAGTTATGAACCTGTATCTAAGAATTAATTTTGAAACAACAGAAACATTTGACAGGAATAATGTAAAGATTTATCCATTGTGATTTTTAGTGAAGCTTGGCCAGAGCAAGGTGTTGTTGAGTTCACAGACTACAGTACCCGCTACAGAGAGGGCCTAGACCTCGTCCTCAAGGGAATCTCTTGTAAGATCAATGCAGGAGAGAAGGTATGCAATTATATCAATAATTTTTAGAAATATTTTCAAAAATATCCACTCATGAATCTTGCAATTTAATTTTTAGGACTTAAGATAAAGAGACAAAAGGAAGCCTATACCCCCAAGGAAGAAATGTTACCCACAATATAAGAGCCTACACAGTGTTCTAGTGTGTGGAATATTTGATGATTGTAGCCTGGGATGTCAGTCATTTAGTGCATGCTTGTGGATATCATGCATGTTGACATCCTTGTTGACATTATATTTGTTGATATCTCTGTTGACATAATGCTTGTCGACATCCTTGAATTAATTTCAAAACATTAAAAGTATATACAATGACAGATGTTTTATTATTCCACTGAACAACGTTTTAATAGGAAGTTTGTGCCTCCATCTCTGTATTCTCCCATGATCCATTTATCCATCTATTAGAATTCGTCAGATAACTCATATACCAAATGTTCAAATAACATATAACTGCTTTGTCCTATCCTTTATTATTAATTGTATATTTTTAGACATCTCTTGTTGAGGCATGCTTCCCTACACACAGCTTGTCCCTTGTACTTCTTCAACACCAACATGGGCAACTTAATTTTCTAAAATGTTAAATTGGATTGTGATAATCATTTTTGGAGTAGAGGGGAGTCATTCAACTTGGTTTCATCGTACATTAGATAATTTATTTGGATGTATATTTTCCTTTTTATATGACTGTGTTTCTTAATGTTCTATGAGTTAATTCACAAAAACATGATTAAATTCTATTATTAAACTTTGCACGGGACTTTTAATGAATTATGAATTCCTTCCTGTGTGGAAGTTTGTGCTTTCATATTTCCTATGATTACCTTGGTTACTGGATCCTTAAACTTGTATGGACAGCCACAGCATTTCTTAGACAGTTTCCCTCTACGTCTAGGACACCGTTTCTTGGTTAAACAACTCTCTGCTTTTTCTTCATCTTTCATAAAAAAACATTGTAGATTAGAAGACTATTAATGTGCAATTTATTTTAAAGTGGCAATGAAGGATGATTATGGAACAAAATATGAGATTGAGTGGTTGTGCCAGTTTGTCCTTAGAAATTCAAGTTTAACCCTTAAATGGTTTTTGGGGTCCACCTATTTAAAACTGAAATCAGAATAAAAAAACTTCTTTGATTGCAGAGTTATGGCAACATGTGTGCCTGAGTTTCGAAAGGACCCTAAAAATCATTATAATTTAGAATGTGTAAAAACAAAACACCAATTAATGAGATTAGCAGTATCCAAACAAATATTTTCATGAATACTGTCAGAACTTTTGATTGAATTCTATAAATGCTGTGGGAAAAGTTTTTCTTAAACTATTCCCATTATCTAGTTCATATTTATAAAAATTAAAAGTGTTCTTGCCTTCGACTGTTGGTGTAGTAATACGTCCAAGGAATAATATAGTCCCAGATGCTTTGTGTCTGATGATGAACAAAAATGGGTGATTTGCCTTGAAGAATATTGGCACTGACACAGTTTCACGGATAATGACAGCTGTTGCTGCAGCAGCCTCTGTACCTATGGCAACCAATAAGAAAGTAGCACTTACTTGGTGATGTGATACGTCCCATGAACAAAATGGTGCCAGATTGTTTGTGATGGATCAGAAAGAGAAATAGATGGTTTGCCCTGAATGTTTTTGGAAGAGGAACTTCTTTTAGGGCAATGACAGCTGTAGCAGCTGTAGCCTCCGTGCCTACAACAATAATATAAGTCTCCCCTCTGTTTAGAACAACAGGCACTGACTTCTTCTTATTATAAATGAGCTGACTTTTAATATTAAATTAGAAGTTAACCATGGATTATTATAGGATCTAGGCATTCCATTAGTTAGTCCAATTACTGTTGAGTAACTATTGATTAGAGTAGAATCTAGGCATTTTATTTGCCTGTAATTTGTATTAAGATATTCTTACCTTCTTCCTTCACCTCTACAAATGCCTCATGGATGACTTTACTGATTTCGACTTGGCATGATCCACAAAGTGGTGAGAAGTCAGCATTTGAATTAAATGCATCAATCATTCCAAGATTCTGTAGATGTCTAACTAAATCAGACCTGAACTTAATCTTGAACTTTGGCAGCCATACATTAACTTCTTTTGCAGTGTAGTGGGCGTAGAGACTAGTGATCGCAGCATTCAAGGTACTCAATGTTAGGTTTGCTTCTAGAGCAGCTAGGCCATCTTGTTCATTTGGTAGAATAACAATCATGCTTACTTCCTCCCCTGTGTAAGGCAGCTCTAGTATTTTAGCATCTAGTGCAGCATCTTCAATGTATCTGTATTTGCTCTCATTATACATCATAGCAACTGATATCTTCTGAGTTGGTGTCACATGAAAGTCCGTAATTGCAGTGAGGTTAGGGTTGAATGGATTTAGCCACTCTCCCTTGAAGTAAATAGCATTCACCAGCACAAGAACAGTTAAAGGGGTGATATCCCCTTGTTGCAACAATTCAGGTATTTTCTCCATTGTTTTGTTGGAGACCCATTCATTGATGTACTGCCTCGATTGCTCTGGTTGTACTGCAAAGTCCAGCTCTTTTAGTGTAGCAAAGTAAAAATTCATGACATCAGTTACATATTGAGGCAGAATACCAAAGTCTGTTCGTGGGAATAGATTGTTTGCAGCATTCAGTGTGTAGTTGTCATTCGGTGCATTTATGTTCGTCAGAAGAGCCTTGAACAGAACGTGTACATTTGGTGGATACTTCATAACATCTGCTATTTGTGTTGCTGTATCTCCAGCAGTCCCAAGATATGTCATCGCAAGTGCAGTTGAGATACTAAACGGACTCAAAAACATGTTGTCGTTAACTGGATCAGCCAAACTTCCCAATATCTCATTGTACAAGTCCAATGCAAACTCATTAATTGAATTTCCGAGGGGTGTAGTGTTGACAGTTGTCCCTCCACACACCAAGTAGACAAATACAGCCACTCTAAACATCTTTGCAAGAAGTCACCTAGTTACTGGGGAAGTGTGTCTTAATAGTTCTGCAGTCTGTGGCGTTCAGTTGAAACGAGCGACTGATTAACATTGATTTATATGAGTTCATGGCAAAGTGATTCAGGTGCTAACATATCACAAGTCACGTTTGATTTAATGTTATTGAAATAGATGAAAACCCGTTTTAATTTAATGTTAATTTTACTGCTCATAGAGTTATTTTTACAGACAATATTTGATATCACACAATGCATAAGTTGCGTTGTAATGATGACTGCACTAAACTGACTCAATCATACATGCTGGAGTGCATGTAACAATCATAATTGTCATAGGTGTAGCCAGGGGGGGGGGGTGCGATGGGTGCACCCATCAAAACAAATCTCTTGTTTATTCTAAAATCTCCAATCGCACCCCCCCCTGACTGAAAGCTGGCTACCACCCTGATTGTGGTTGTTTTGCAATTTCAGTGCATACTAATAAAGTAAAAAGGCCATTGTTAAAGACCTCAAGTGTTGTTTGAAAATATTCTTTAATCATCAAAATTCTATTTCTTATCTGGTATGTCATCCTTAAAGAATCCATCTTCCCAGAACCAATCAGGTGTTCAAATATTTGTTTTATCAGCAGTCACACTTACAAATGATGATTTTATGGCCCTTAATTAGGTTTGTATTGAAGTAAGCTTTTGAATTAATGTTTGCCTTCATGCCTTCTATAATCATAATGAAGTTGAATTATATCTTTGCTCTGAGAGTATCATTTGCATTTTGTTTTGTTTACATGAGCAATGAAATTATAGAGATAATTATAGGGAAGATTGTAGGGATATAGAGAAGCCATCCGTCCATCTATTTGTCCGTTCGTTCCACCTAATTTCAGAGGGACATACCAAAGCCATTCATCCATTTCTCCATTCATATGTTCATCCGTCCATCCATTCGGTTGTCTGTCTGGGCGATGTCTCAAATATCTGTTAATGGTTTGGTTCAACTTGTATAGGCTGATGTCTTGTGAGCACAGGACCTCTGTTGGAGAAGGAATTTCCAATATGGCTGCTCAATCTAAAATGGCCAGTCAACAAATTTATTTCAAATTTTATATGCTGATGCCTCAGAGACTGCTCAGGAAGAAACTTTTGTTCACTGGCATTTGCTACTCTGTTGAATTGCTTTATTTCTAGTTGTATATAAAAGTTTATTCCCTATTTGCATTATGGAATTTTATAAAATCAAATGATAATAGTCGTATCCAAAAATATACACCATTCCATGACATACATCTTGGATGGTGAACTTAATAATGTCATTGAACTATTTCTTACCATATTATGTTCAAAATACTATTAGGCTTAAGTAATATCCAGAAAAATATTATTATAACAACAATATGTAGTGTGTAATTACAGCCAAATATCACAGGATATAAGTCTCACCCTTTAATTATTGAAATTCTATACTGTATTGTCCTGAGGTTTTGTTAAAAAAGAGAACAAATGACCAATGCATTAGAGATCCAGGGGGGATTAACCCCAGAGTTAAAAGATGATGTATGCTTATAATGTAAACCTGTATTGAAATGACGTACACCTCTGATTGGTCCAAATCGATAAACAAAAATGGCGGATTCAAAATTTTCTAACGCTTCGAATAATATGTTAATTTCTGGCGTGTTGACCAATATCTTAGCTTGGTTTTTCACATCAAGATAAAGAAAGATGTAAGGAGTATGCTAACATCGATTAAAACATCACGACGAAGCATTATAATCAAAAACTAACGGGTGAGAATTTGCTCAAACGAAGGTGGTACGCAAGAGACGTAATATGTCAGTCATCGCTAGAGCTCTGGGGGTTTCCCCCCTCTTTTAGAGATCATAGAATTTTGCAATTAGGAAGGACAGTTACCTCCTTTCTTTGATTAGGATCAAGGAAGTGTAATCCTATCTTCCAATAATGTATTAATGACAGTTTTGAATATGAGAATTACAAGTCATCAGTGCCTGCGGATTCATTGCCAAGCAAAGCAATAACATTCAACTAGTCAACTTGTAAACTGATACCTGTTTACATATTAAGTTTAGATTCAATTCATGGAGGTTATTACCTTTTTATTATGAGTTAATATTAGTTATTTTATCCTTTTCAAAAGATTTATCATCCAAATGATTTGTCTATAGGTAATGAAAGAATATTCAGTTTCATTGCACTCATTTCATTCTCAGAGAAAGGTTAATGATAGCAGAGTGAAGATTCGTTTCATATGACATGTATATTGGAGTAACCAGCTGTGTCTTAACTAAGTTCATAGGCCTATCATATGGGGAAGGGGGATGTGGGTGTATTCACACCCCTCCTAGAAATTTTGAAGCTACTTATGATGGTCAGATGGGTCTACTCTACATCATTCCAGGTCTTGTCCATTATTTCTAAAATTTGCTCCTATCATCGAAGTCATTATCATAGTAAATTGAGTAAATTAAAGGTAAATTAAGCAATCATAATGGACCTGAAATCAGCTCATCTCTGGCATCATACAACTACTTTTGGTAACGATTTTGAAATTGTACCCCCTTTGGGAAAAGCTTTATGTTCCTGAATTTAGGTTTTGACTTAAAATGATTCCTGCTGAACAATAATGTTTTGATATATCCCGGAGTATACTTTTCATTGGCTTTTTGTACTTTTTTCTAAATTTCAAGAGATTTTTCAATCACCAAAAAGTTTGTTGGAAAGTTAATGAAAGAGTGTACAGTTTCAGTACAGAACAGTCACCATCGGGTGATAGAAGTGTTACAACAGCAGAATGGAAATTAGGTTTTTCTATTTAAATCCTGGGTCATATAACATGTAACCTGAAATTACCAGCTGCTATCTGAGTATATGTTTCTACTAGAACTGCTTGGGTGTGTTTAATAAGACAGTTTTTAATAAAACCTAAAACTAACAAAGTTTGTTAATAATGAGGATATTGTAGATCCAAATGTTTGTGGCTGAAATAGAACAATTTATGATATTTATTTGTTAATCCATCCATCTGTCTGGGGATCAACTCAAAAACTAGTTGATGCATTTTCTTTTCTATTTCATGGAATTGCCATTTTAATGTGGTGGACTGGTGGCATATTGCTATAAGTAACAAATGGCAGGTGGTGACATTCTCCATTTTAATGCCTTGTTTAAATTATAATGTTCTGTAATTATAGGTAGGCATAGTTGGCCGCACAGGCGCAGGGAAGTCTTCACTCACACTGTCTCTGTTCCGCATCATTGAATCAGCAGAGGGGTCCATTAGTATAGATGGCATCGACATCTCCAAGATAGGTCTACATGACCTCAGATCAAAGCTTACAATTATACCACAGGTGAGAAAATATGTTTAAACACACTTGAAATGTCTCCCAGCTTTGGCTTTATTTGCTTGACTCGTAAACATTTTCGATTTAAATGGAATTATGAGAGTGTGAAGACTAGTCTCGGTTTGGAGAACAACGTTCATCAGTTTACTGCACATTAAACCTGCTTTTGACAATTTTGATACTTTTACATATTGTAGATATAAATGTCCTCTTTTGATTATCCATAATTTAATTTGGTTGATATTTCTATATTTCTCAAAAAGAAATTATTAGTGCAGTACACTGATGAACTTCTTTCTTCCTCTATAATTTTCATAAAAAATTATTATCCCAGGACACTGTTCTCCAAACTGAGACTTGTCCTTTAAAAAGATTGGATTAATATTAAAAAGGCCTGCAGTATGATTGAATGATATGAAATTTATATGTTTTTATGTCACCACCACAAGTGGCCTCTGTAACAAATGACAGGTGGTAACATTTCGATGCCTTGTTTGTTTGTTTTAAATTGGGCAACATCTGATAGCTATTTTCTGAATAGATACATAACTAAAGAACATCTTGTTTAGGACCCTGTCCTGTTTTCTGGCACTCTACGTATGAATCTAGACCCGTTCAATACATACAGCGATGATGACTTGTGGAAGGCCCTCGAATATGGACATCTCAAGTCTTTTGTCACATCTGTCCAGGCTGGCTTGGATTATGAGTGTTCTGAAGGAGGAGAGAATCTAAGGTAGGGGAGATAAAATGACCCCCACATGTTATGCAATATGATTATAAGTTTGTTGAAATAACAGACTGTTCTTAAAATAAGTCTGTATTTTGTCAGAAAATAAAATGACCCCCACATGTCATGCAATATAAGTTTAAGTTTGTTGAAATAACAGGCTGTTCTTAAAATAAGTCTGTATTTTGTCAGAAGAATACATCTTTTCACTTATTCAATGTTCCTTTTGATAAAAAGAACTCATAATGCTTATTTAGCGATTTGTCACTCATATACATGAATATTGTTACCAGTGTATTAAATTATGAAGTAATTGAAATGAAACAGATTATAGAAAATAAAATAAGTCTGTGGTTATTGTGTTTCATTTTCAGCCAAGGTACAATATTTTTACCTCAGTTTAACTCCTCTATTGCAGTGTTGGACAGAGACAATTGGTGTGCCTTGCAAGGGCGTTATTAAGAAAGACAAAGATTCTTATCTTAGATGAGGCCACAGCTGCAGTTGACCTGGAGACAGATGATCTCATACAAAGCACTATTAGAACTCAGTTCTCTGAATGTACTGTCCTAACTATAGCTCATAGACTTAATACAATTATGGATTATACCAGGTAAGTTCACAGAAATTATGTCTTAGTTCGGCAGTTTTTCTCTGATACAGTGACCTTCGAGACTGATCCAGCTCAGGCTAGTCCTGTTTACTTTGCTTGATGCAGTGACAAAATTCAGGTTGTTCAACTGAGTATTCCACTACTCATTGAAAAGACTCTGATTTGGACTTATTATGTCACCACCAAAGTGGTGACACCAAAGTGGTGATATATGTTATAGTCTTCAACTTTTTGAGAATGGTGTTTGGCATCTAACAAATGACAGGTGGTGACATTTCGCATGTTAATACCTTGTATATCTAATTATTTATATATGAGAGCACATAAATGTATACAACGCTTCTTCAAGAAAAGGGTGCTGGGTCTGTCTCTCATAATTACATGCATTAATTGATGACTTTAGATTTGCACGGTGACTATCCAGGCACCTCATATCGCAAGCAAGTTCCCGCTGACATTGCGAGCAATGAGCTTGTGTTAGAAGATAAAATTTAGTTATAGTTGAAGGACACCGATGCCCTGCGGTTGAAACAGCCATTGTACTATGAAATAAAGTAGTACTGAGTTTCACTTACTGAAGTTTCATAGAAAATTTTATATTTCAATTTTATCAGATCTCTCAAGGCCCTGCTTCTAATATGAGCTCATTGCCCGCGATGTCCCCGTGATATATGGGATATATGAAAAAAATACACAAGACATATCACTCACCTCTGTTGGTGATAAGCAAAATACAAAACAATACATACATAATTCAATATTAGCAGATTCATCATCTTTGTATAGTACTGTACTTTTCTCTTCCCTTATGGTCACAAATTGGTAAATTAACCTGAAATATTGATATACTTTCCAGAATCATGGTCTTAGATGCTGGTAAAGTAGCAGAGTTTGAAGCCCCTCAAGATCTACTCCAGAATAAAGACAGCATATTCTATGGTATGGCTAAAGATGCCGGCTTGGCTGACTAGAAAATATCATCTATAGTACTAAGACCAAAGACTATGTGGATAAAGACATAAGCCTTGCTGATTAGAAACTATCATTTACTGTACAACTTATATTCTATTGTACGGCTAAGGGGCCTGTCTACCTGACTAGAAACTACTAGAATAGTATCATCAACAGTACAAAGATTATAATGTATATTCTATGGTGTTGCTAACAACACTGTCCTTGCTGACTAGAGACTATCATCTGCTGTTTAAAGATTGTATATTCTATTGTATGGCTAAGGGGCCGGTCTGCCTGACTAGAAACTATTGTTTACAGTATAAATACTGTATATTATATGGTACATGTATGACTAAAGATAGCAGCCTGGCTGACTAAATACTATTGTCTACAGTACAAAGATTGTGTATTCTATTGTATGGCTAAGGGGTCAATCTGCCTGACTAGAAACTATCATGTACAGTACAAAGACTATATATTCTAAGCTATGGCTAGAGATGCCAGTCTGGCTTCTGGAGATTAATTTAATCAAGACCTCAATCAGTTGTGAAATGAACGATGAGGTAACCAGAAGCCACAAATGGAACATTAAGGTGCCTTGAATAAGCTACATAAACTGCCAGAGATGTTGAGCTAACACAGACTTGAAACAAATTGAAGGATTATTGTAATTAACTAGATGGCTGATGTTTTCATCCATATCTTTCTACACTTATACATACATGTGTATAAATATTAAAGATAGATGTTATGTGGATAAATGGAAATCCATATACATTATTATTATGTAGATGGAAAGTTTATAAAATACTTTTGATTTATATTTAACCGAGTCAGTATTAAGAAACATATACAGCAGTTGTAGTATCTTTCAAAATTGCAGCCTCAGTTTAGGTGATGATTTTTAGAATTTTCAGTTTTTGAATTAAATGCTATCCAACATTCCGATGGAGTTAGAACCTTGGAGTTTAAACTAGCCAAAACTTTTCTAGCAACCCTGCTAAATGAGAGATATTTATAACATTTCAGTAATCTCCCCAACATTAAAGCAAGCAGGTGCAGCACCCACCTGAGATTTAAAAAACAGGCTTGCACCCACCTGGAAATTCATTTGCACCCACTTGAAAATGAGAAGAATCAAGAAAAATGAGCATATATTGACCAATTTCAATGTGAATAGTGAAAATGAGAATTTTGCACCCACTTGAGAAAAAATCCTGGGGAGACCACTGTTGTTATTGTGTTTCTGTGTAAACTCCACTATTCAAACAAAGGTTCTACTGCTGAGTGCTGAGGGTATGTGAATATATGACATACTGATGGGTGAAAACATTTTTGTACAGCACTCCAGGTTGTAGAATCAATGATGAGTTTCCACTTAATTACATAATATTTCCCTATTTTTATTAGGTTTTTGCAACACTATCTTGGTGTGGCTGAAATCTCAAAGCCTGAATCATTTGGAAAATGGTTTAATTTGAAGGAAACTAAAATTCTAAGATCATTGCATACTTTGCTCCATTCATTGCATCATAATACTGACCAGTGTTGTTTTTATTGTTTTTTAGTTTGTATACATCTTGTAGGGTCCATAAAACTGACTATAGCTTTAAGTTCATGACTTTGTTGTTTAGAGTACCTTTCAAGTTAGTTCTACTCATTTCACAATATATTTTTTAGTTTTTTATATCGTTAATGGATATACAGTAAAACCTGTGTTTATTGAACATTTTTGTCAAGAAAAAGTTTAGCGTATATGTATTCACTACTACAGAGAGGGTAATTAATACAGAAGTCAATAGAGTTTGCTTGGAGGGAGGTGTCCTTAAAGGAATATTCTTACTGGAAATGAGCACTACATTTTTAAATTATCGATATTGACTATATTAAAACATTTCCCCATGTTTTGCTAAATATGGAAAGTATATATATGATTATAGCTATCACATCAGGATAGAAAAGGTTTGGCCAGGAATGTTCCTTTAAGAGACATGTGTTCACTAGTGAGAGGTGTTCACTAAGACAGGTTTTACTGTAATAGGCAATAATAAGAATGGATTGTATGTGGCTGTGAGTTGCATTGGTTTCAGCTACAAATGAACAATGTTGCATCACTGTCACTGTGCTGTTGTTATAGCCTGAAGGTATTTATATTAGTTCTGTCTTAGAATAAACCTATTTACATCAATCTACAATGTGAATTGTTACAATAGATGATCTATTTAACTACTTATGGCATGATTGATTTCATTAAAATACAAAGTTATTAACATTAATATGCTGGTAGGTCAATCTAACCTATAAAAGTACAGGGAATCATACTTCTTAATCAAGTTATAATGATGCTATTGATTCGTTAATAAGTACCTTGCAAAAAGTATCATGTGTCTACAGAATAGGTAGAAGTTGAAGAAGTTGAAAATAAGAGCACATATTTGAGGATATGTGAAATTATAGAAGAACTTTTAATTTCATCTCTTGCTCTGATTTTCTTGTCATTTCTCGCATTTTGTCAGGAAGTTTCACTCTTGAATTTACTAAATATGTGAAAATATGGCAACCCTCCTTTTTTTATTAACCAGGCCTTTGCGGTACCTCGAGTTCCTCGGCGGTATCATAAGCTTGGGCTATATGTATTAGTGAGCTCGGCGGTTAGTATCGCCCAAGTTGGTCTCTTTTACTTATCTTAATTTCTATTATGACCGCCGGTAATAATTCAAGATCAGATAAGTAAAAAAAATACCGCCTATGTCAAGGCTACTCGGGGGTATGTTCAGCCAAATGTGGATCTTCACTGTTCACAGAATGATGAGATCTGGTCAGTACCTGTCCTTATGGCATTGAAATAAACAGTGCCAAGCCCGCAGTTTTCAGCAGCATGTCCAATTGACAATGGAGTTCGGTGCTGTGATCAGAGGCCCAGGAATACGTTAAAAATGTTTAAAAAGTCCCCTAGTGTACTGAGTTGGTAATGCGTGGTGTATACATGTATATTATTATATTACTTACATTGAATAAGAATATAAGACTGATTTTATTAATGACTGTATACCCGGGCCTCAGGCTGTGATGGTGCTGTGATATGATACACCAGTGAGTGCACTGTATTAAGGACAATCTGACCTGACTGTCATAAGAATATAAATTAATATAAAAGTGTTATTCTTTGGTTTCTAATTATCCCATCGAACGAGATTCGGGTGAATATAGAGAATGGACGTCTGTTCGTCAATCCATCTGGGCAATAACTCAAATACTTTTGCCCCAATATCGTTTATGTTTTATACGTACAGGGCGTATCAAAAAACGCAACAAGTGGTCATCTTGTAAAATCACAAAACCAGCGATGACTATATCAATTTCATTCAATGTACCATAAAGCCACGCCCCTCCTCTTTGCTATGATATGTCATTCATACACATGTGGTCATGGGTTGGGGGAGAAATTCTTCCATTTGCACAGTTGGTCAAAATCGGCTCTGGACCAAGTTTCAGATATTGCAAAAATCAGTGCAAAGGCTAAGTGCCAATGGAAGTTCTCCTGACTTGAATTGTTGTGACTTTTTCTTTTGGAGCATCTGTGCTCACAATTCCTCAACCAGATATTGCAAAACTTCGAGAAAGAATTCCCCAGGGGCTGCTTTTCTCCACTTTCACCCACAGATGACTCAGGGCTGAACCATGCATGCCGTGAAGAGATGAGCGCATCTTTATGTGCATAGAAGTAGTGGCAATTTGGAGATATAGGATGTATTCGTGCAAGAATATAAGTATGAACACTATACTGTCTATGCCACACCTGTCACATCTTTTTTCAATCGCCGTTATGTCCCATGTATGTCTTTTGCAATGTTTAAAACTTGGGTCCAAGCTGAATTTTGCCCAGCGAAATTAATGATTATTCAGCCAGCCATGACTTCCTGTGAATAAATGACATTCCATTGCAAAGAGGAGTAATTTAGCTTTTGGTACATTGAATGAAAAGGATGCAGTCATTATTGGTTTTATGTTTTCTTCCAATATTGCATTGGGCCCCGTCCACTGACTTTCGCGGTGTTTATAAATTGATCCCAAGCTAATTTTGGCCCACTTTGCAAAAGGAATTATTACTCGCCCAACCATGACCCAATATCAACAAATGATATACCATTGTAAAGAGGAGACACATGGCTTTATGGTACATTGAATGGAATCAATGCTGTTATCACTGGTTTTGTGCTTTTCCCAGATAACAATTTGTTGCGTTTTTTTAAACGCACTGTATGTCGCCCTATGTCGTTCTGCTTGAAAGACAATTTTCAAAAAGGCCACCGGTTTCAAAATGGCGGACATATAACGTTTAAACCACTTTGGCTTATATTGTAGTCCTAGCCAATGTTATCAAAGTGTGATATGTGAAACTTTCTAAAAGTGTGGATTCATACCAATGCATAGTATTTATCCTCACGTGTTCTTTGCCGAAAGAATTACGAAAATTGGTTCATAAATAAGCGAGAAATGAACTTATCCATGCATGAAAATTGTTCAAAGAGAAATGCATTTCAAAATTTATAGAAACCGATAGAAAAATAGAAAAAATTATAGAACGGTACAATTAAATTTAAAACAATATATTCTTCCTTTTAACCTTGTTAAACAATCAATATTGGTTCATTTTTGAAAAAACAATTTTGACCTTCTATAATTAGAATTATATCTCCAAAGCTGACATAGGGCTATCTGTCTGGTCAATTCTTAGCATTCGAATTCTGTATTCAGCAATTGATAAATGCTATTTCAAAACAAATACTCGTTTATGTGAAATGAATTATATAGCATTTTGTTGGAAATTGAATTGTCTTTCCAATGTTATATGATTTAACATATGTCTGTAATATTAAAAACGTTTTAGCAAGAAAAAAACTGTGGACGTATTTTTGGCCCACCCTGTAGTAAATCCCTTTACTCATACAGCTGCATTTGATGTGGATTATAAGCACTAATGGAAGGCACTTTGTTGACGTATAAGCTGGAATTAAAGAACTGGCAGGTAGAAATACCAAAGTATAGTAATTTCTTGGAATCACGTGCTTACAATGTGGAGATTTGAACTGGGATAAGGGATGCTGTCCAATTATCAAAAGATATGGAAGAATATATGTACTATTACTGCTGAATATAAGAATATTCCTTATCTGAAGGGAAGGGGGAGCAAATCATTGCAAAATTTAATTTTTCCATACAGTTAATAATTGGACACCTTCATTTAACACATTGAGGTTAGAACAGCGGGAACCTTCTGGATCATGAAGGATTTGGGTTAATGTCCCAACGGTGAAATTAAAAAATGGATGACATGTTTAATTGATTACTACAGCAACGACAATTACTTTGTTCCAGTTCCCTTAATAAGTTCAAAAATGGCATTTGATATAGGCCTTTAATAATTACTTCTTTGGCTCCGAATTAATAATGTTTTTAATGGCCTAGTCAGTTTTGTATCGTAATAAAATGTAAAACCTATTGTCCTGAAAAATAGGTTATGAATAAAAAAAAAATTTTATGCTGCATATTCTGATTGCAGCATGGTAATAGAGAACAGCTCGAATTTTCCAGCATATTATTTTTGCTTTGCTTTGTCTATCTTTGAATGATGTAATATCAGCCAGTCCATACCTGCAGGCTAGCAATGTGTGTTGTTTTGTTCACGATGTGTGGATTATTATTGCTATCATAAAGGGAAGAAAAACATGATTTCCTTTCATTAAGGCTTCTGATTTTATTTCGATGAACAATGGGAATTAGTACTGCCACAGTCTACGAAAATATTTATATTTATTATATGTCAATCATTTTATGTTTTCTTGACGAACTTTGATGAAGAATCTATACCATGTGTGTGCATCTACCGGAGAGTATATACACATTAAATAGGTAGCTTAATTGGTAATTACTTTTGTTGAATCCTAGTGTTATTAGATAAATTATTTTACAGATTGATAATTTAGTTCACTTCTCGTGGATAATACTACTTAGAACAACATATGATGATGTTATCTCACCGAACAAGATCGGATGTGGACGGTGTTCGGCGGTCTTACTTGCAATGTGGTGAAATTTTGTCATGTTAATGCCTTGTGTATGCATGCGATGATTTGATTTCTAAATTGAATCTGATCTACAGGTAGCATTTGATATGGTAGTCTTCAACTTATTTGTGGACGGTGTTTGGCGGTGAGCATTTGTAACAAATTCTATCTTGTAAGGTGGTGGCATTTTGCCATGTTAATACCTTGTGTAGGCATGCGATGATTTGATTTCTAAATTGAACATACACGTAGCATTTGATATGGTTGTCTCCGACTTTTTTGTGAACGGTGTTTGGCGGTGAGCATTTGTAACAAATTCTATCTTGTAAGGTGGTGGCATTTTGCCATGTTAATACCTTGTGTATGCATGCGATGATTTGATTTCTAAATTGAACATACACGTAGCATTTGATATGGTTGTCTCCGACTTTTTTGTGAACAGTGTTTGGCGGTGGGCATTTGCAACAAATTCTAACTTGCAAGGTGGTGAGATTTTGCAATGTATTGTATTGTATTGTATTCAGTGGTTACAATAATGGTTAGAAATAAAATATAACTAAGTAAGTAATATCTGAGGTGAGATGTGCAATCAAGATACAAAAATAAGATATAAAAAAATTCTCTATGGGGATGTTTCATTATTTAATTTTCTATTAGAAATGAAATCCCCCAAAAAAAAATTCATATAACAGAGGTTTTCGCAACATTTAACAAAAATATATTTCTATAGGACATTACAACAAGAATTCCAGAGTAAGTTTTTCAGTGGTTTAGAACATAGGATATTTTGTAATCCTCGTTTTAGACACGAATGTACAAGTATGTTTTAAGGATTTAAGCTCTGGAATCAGTGCATTGTTTGCTGAATCATACCATGAAGGTGTTGTTTCCAAACCTTTGCATGACCGCGCAGCAATTTTTCTACAAATTCATCCAAAAGGAACGAAATCTCTAAAAGAACACAATTTCAATAAAATCTTTTGCAAGGGTAAAGTTGGCAAGTCATCAAATCCAATGTGAAAAATCCATTCATCACCATGACAACTGTTTAACTAGTGACCTTGCATGTGTTATTGATATTTCACACACTGTTCATTATGTTCTGATTGGCTGAAATCGGACACACCTTGCCTAGCTATGTGTGAATTCATAATTACGTCATATAAAATGCGTTTTCAGTGTAGATACTACATGTACATGTACAATAAAGTCATATTTTCCATGGTTCTCCAATAACTTAGGTCTACTCGACACTCATCATTAACATCGATAGTCATACGCATACCGAACACTTACAGAGTCCAAATCATCAACTGTGGGCATTCTTTGTACATGACTTGAACAGGGTTGCCAAGCCAGGGCTTCAAGTAGTAACTGAACCAATGTTCGTCATCCTTGTAGATTTTGGCGTGGATACCTCGTCTGAAAGACAACGAAGCGGGTCTAATTGAGATCAATACAGATTTCACTTATACATATATCCTGTTTTCCACTTTTCAGTGGCTAATTAGTTATCGATTTACCATTCCGAAATGACAGGATGGTAAGGACTAGTTCCGTTTACGAATCCAAAAATAGTACATAAGTCTATGGAGGTTCCACCGTGCCCCATTGGTATGTATGTTGGGCTTTATAAAGGTCTAAACGTTATTTTTAGTAATAAAAAAATTTGAGATTAAAAAATAAACAAAGAAACATGTACATATATAACTAACAACTAATATCACGTTGGAACTTTTCTCAGTCACTATACCATACTAACGTACCAGTTAAGCCATTTGGTCCCATGGAGGTCACATCAGCCAGCTGGAGGTCATTGTCCATCTTGGGGACCTTTGGGACCTTGAGGTTCATTCTGCTACCGTTACCCAAAGCTGAACCTGTAGGTTTGGTGTGATTGGCAGATGTTCCCCCACCCAGGGAGAAGTTACCAACTTTTACATTCTGTGACCTCATCATTACCTAGATGTACATGTACAAATATGGTGAATGCATAGCGGGTTATTTTGAAGCTTGAGATCTATTGAGCTACTATTTTAACTAAGAAAACATCACATTTCAGTCACATTTGCTCTACAGCTGGGATACGGCGACCGTAGCTCCGTGCTCGTATATCTATATTCTTGGCAGCCATAAAGAATCTGTTGTCGACTGAGGGTCGTCCTGGATCGTGTCTCTAGCCGCTACAGGCCGTATTGGTCGCTGTGGAATTATATCGTGGATAATTTTTTGAATTATCTAGGTTCGCCGTAGCCATGCTGTAGAGCGGTTACACGGCGACAATACGTCGGAGTACGGTGGTGTTGCGTTTGCCCGTGTGGCTGAAGATCCGATATTTGCGTTGTGAGAACGTGGTTCGGATGGAAGGAAGCATGGTAGCGAGGTCGGAACTGACAACCGCGTTTAAAGTCAAAGTTAAGGAGGCCTGACAATCCAAAATACGCCGTACAGCTTTATGACTCGTACAGTATGTGGTCGAGGCAAACGCAAGTTGCCATTGACCGTATAAATCTTAGAGCTCACGGCAGCCACAGCAAATGTGACCGAGGTATAAGTAATTGAAGAGATACAGAGAGATACAGCAAACTCCGCAATTAGAAAAATGTCTTGGACTTTAAAAATGACTTGTTTTATTGCAAAGGGATTGAAGGTAGGGCCTATCGTCATTCGACAATAATTGGTGTTCCATTTGAAGAAAACTTGTCATATCGATGGTACAATAATTATGTCTAGTAAAGGTTTTTTGAAATATAACAAAAAATTAACCGTTTCGATGCAATGATTATGTCTACGAACGGTTTTATTGTCATATACCAAACATTGAATTTATAAAGAATATATATCCCAACTTGGCATCGCCGGATCTTCATTTCCTGCTTCTGATACTTGAATATAGACACAATTATGATTAAAATAAGTCTTTTTGTAAGTTGATAGTAAATTTCAATTATTGTTGCGCTTATTCCTTTATCTAAGTATGGTATAAAGTGCATTATTTCCACCTTCAACATGCATTCATAATAGGCCAGGGTAAGACATAGAATAGTTTAGGATTTCCGCCCGCACCCTTCGCAGTAAACGCGCTTACTAAAGTATTGAAGCTCAATATGATCTTACAACAATGATAGGCTATAGACATTGACTTGAAATACAGTTGATAATTAAGCTGCTACGATTGAGAGACACCTATAATGCCACTGGCGATTGGGATCCTCATGTGTGACCAGTACTTGATTAATTAATGGCATGCAATAACATCTGATAAAACATTAAGACAGTAACCGTCGTACACAGGCTATGCCGTACAATAGTCACTGGCGGATCTGGCCCTTGGGTGGGCCCAGAAAAGGAAATTGGGCCCAAAAAGATTTCAAAAAGAACTTAGGGCCAAAAAAGGCCATAAGGCTCCAAAAGTGGGCCTTTTTGGTCATTACTGGGCCTTTTAAGGCCTTATTTTTTAATTTCAGGCCAAATTCTGATTCAAGATTTCAAAATTCGTGCCCGCATTTGGGTTTTAGGGGCCCAATTTTTTTTCCAAAGCTTTTTTCTCTGACCTGAAATTTGCCACCCCCTTGTTGGTTCCCAGATACGCCCCTGATAGTAAACGCTAAAATAGATTGGTTCTTGTGCTACAATGGCTAAAATATGAGAAAATATGGCCGAACTCACCTTTGGAACAAAAAGAATGAGAAGGGTTGTTGTTGTGCAAACAATCATGAGTGAAGAGATGAGACAGAACCTTGTAAGGAACTGAGCATCTGTGAGCAAGTGTGTGATGGGAACTGAGAATGCACTGAGCACTGTAATGTTGTACACACACATACCTGAAACACAATATAGTGTAATGAGCACTGTAATGTTGTACACACACATACCTGAAATACAATATAGCGTAATGAGCACAGTAATATTGTACACACACATACCTGAAATACAATATAGTGTGATGAGCACTGTAATATTGTACACACACATACCTGAAATACAATACTAGTATAGCGTAATGAGCACAGTAATATTGTACACACACATACCTGAAATACAATATAGTGTAATAAGCACTGTAATGTTGTACACACACATACCTGAAATACAATAAGTGTAATAAGCACTGTAATGTTGTACACACACATACCTGAAATACAATATAGTGTGATGAGCACTGTAATGTTGTACACACACATACCTGAAATACAATATAGCGTAATGAGCACAGTAATATTGTACACACACATACCTGAAATACAATATAGTGTAATGAGCACTGTAATGTTGTACACACACATACCTGAAATACAATATAACGTAATGAGCACAGTAATGTTGTACACACACACACCTGAAATACAATATAGTGTAATGAGCACTGTAATGTTGTACACACACATACCTGAAACACAATATAGCGTAATGAGCACAGTACTGTTGTACACACATACCTGAGATACAATATAGTGTAATGAGCACTGTAATGCTGTACACACACATGCCTGAAATACAATATAGTGTAATGAGCACTGTAATGCTGTACATACACATGCCTGAAATACAATATAGTGTAATGAGCACTGTAATGTTGTACATACACATACCTGAGATACAATATAGTGTAATGAGCACTGTAATGTTGTACATACACATACCTGAAATACAATATAGTGTAATAAGCACTGTAATGTTGTACACACACATACCTGAAATACAATAAGTGTAATGAGCATTGTAATGTTGTATACACACATACCTGAAATACAATATAGTGTAATGAGCACTGTAATGTTTTACACACACATGCCTGAAATACAATAAGTGTAACGAGCATTGTAATGTTGTACACACACATACCTGAAATACAATATAGTGTAATGAGCACTGTAATGTTTTACACACACATGCCTGAATTGAAATACAATAAGTGTAATGAGCATTGTAATGTTGTATACACACATACCTGAAATACAATATAGTGTAATGAGCACTGTAATGTTTTACACACACATGCCTGAAATACTATAAGTGTAACGAGCATTGTAATGTTGTACACACACATACCTGAAATACAATATAGTGTAATGAGCACTGTAATGTTTTACACACACATGCCTGAAATACAATAAGTGTAATGAGCATTGTAATGTTGTATACACACATACCTGAAATACAATATAGTGTAATGAGCACTGTTGTGTTGTGCACACATACCTGATATACAATATAGTGTAATGAGCACTGTTATGTTTTACACACACATGCCTGAAATACAATAAGTGTAACGAGCATTGTAATGTTGTACATACACATGCCTGAAATACAATAGTGTAATGAGCATTGTAATGTTGTATAAAGCGACGAGGCAAATACTTCGTCTGCCTCATCACAGGGAAATTACATCGGACCCCGTACAAGCCCATACGGAGCTCGTTGGTTCAACGGGCCCTGGACAAACTCGTACGGGCCTCGAGATAACGAGCCTCGTACATGCTCGTACGGGCCTCGAAAACGACAATTACGAGCATCGTACGGTCCTCGAAAACAAGCTCCATGAGAGCCCATACGAGGATCGTGCTCATTTTTGCCTGTAATGACTCGTAATTCTCGGGGCTCGTGCGAGCTCGCACGGAGCCCGATGAAAGGAGCACGTGGGTTATCGCAAACAATTTAAGAAGGTTATATCTTGGATTATGACTATTTTCTGACAATGAAGACAAGTTTATCTTTTAGATCAATGCATTATCTCAAAGAAAATTATGCACAGTAATAATAAAATCAAACAAACTCGGAGATATTAACTAGCAATCAACCCATCAACACACTTTTTCAAAGATGTTGACCCCATTTTCACCAAAAATGCAAACATTTTTTACAATGTTTAATGCATTACTATTCTTTATTTTGATGTATCAAATAGTTCTTGAAAGAAAAACTTAATTGCTTTAAGATAAGTATTCCCCGTGTTATTTCTCCATTGAAAAATCTCATGCTATCCATTGGTTTCAGTTCATTTTGGTCATCCAAATTCAGTATCTTTAAAGTCCCTGGAGCAATCAACTTTTCCTTTTAGGAAATCGAACATGTCTCAAAGAACATTCTAATTATGCATTCAACAATATAATAAAAGGTTGCTTTTTTGTGAAAATTAGGTCAACATTTTTGAAAAAGTATGTTGATTGGTCCATTGCCCCTTCAATATCACTTAGGTCTGATTAACGTAATTATCATTATATATACTTTTCTTGAAGATAATGAATGGCTCTAAAAGATACACCCATGTTCATGATAAAAAAATATTCATAATTCAAGTTAGAATCGTTTGAAATTGTTTGCGATAACCTACGTGCTCATTTGCATGTGTATGCTTCAACATTTCAATTATGCTATTCAGATTCTAAAGTCTAAATTAAGTCGCGATTTTGCACAATTTAATCAAAAATCAAAACTAGATACAATTAATTTACAACTCATCAATGACAGAGGTCTGCCTCATCCTGGCTATGCTAGAGCCTTTAATACAAATTCAATATAGTATAATGAGCAATCCCAGCAGGATTTGTCAGGACAAGCGGGTAGGGTTGGATGACGAGAAGTGTGTGTGTGTGGGGGGGGGTCTAGATCTGTCTATATCCCTACTCAACTTTGCTTAGTGGATAAAAATAGGATACTGTTTATTGAGTGACTGAATAAACATTTTTAAAGTTTGATCCTTCTTAGCAAGACTCGTTAAAGAGTCAAGGATTGTTCAACAACCCCGTTTATCAGGACAATAGTAATCTACAATCTCCATTAATGTCCTTCGGCTGTAGACTGAACAAACAATTCCTAAATTATGTTCTACGTACAATACAGACGAATGTGATCTAATTATAAGAATCTTTAACAAAGGTAGGAATTAGGAAAATTGAGCCACGGGGATTATGCTTAAGCCTTTGGACTTCTTTTACGCAGTTTCATTAGAAAACGTAGCAATATTTTTCTGAAAATTATTAGGCTCACGGCAGCAAAGCTACCCCATGCCTGGTCTACCACTGTGACCACAATAGATTATTTTATACTACTGAACCACAATTGATTCATCTCCTGACATATTACACTGCTCTTTTAATATCAAAACGTTTGTTATTTTGAACAAAAGGATGCAATGATTGCTATGTCGATTAAGCTAACACTAACACGTACTAGTAAAGGATTTTGTATATTAATTAGAAAAAGTCGTGGTTAAAAGTGTAATCCCGGTGGTATGTTTAAAATAGTTCATAATAATGAAATAGATGAATGCAACATGTATCAAGAAAATACTGAGAATGCAGTTCTGTTCCCAGCGATTGATCGCTGAATATTTATCATTTTGAAAGATAAAAGTGTAATTTAAGACACTACCAAAATTATGAAATTAAAAATGAATATAGTTACAAAAGGTATATATCATTTTTGTGATCGTTTCATATAATATTTAGAAACAAGCCACATGACGGAAACGAGATTACGCCATCAAGAAACTTTCAAAATGGCCGCCAGAAAAATGGCTGCCCAGAAGTTAACCAGCTATAGAACTTGATATCCTCTAATATGTGTGCAGATTTGGAGACAATTGGGCAAGCAGTTTTCCTGAAATGGCGATGACAAGATTTATTGGAAAACCTTCAAAATGGCCACTAAAAAACAAGATGGCCGCCCAAAAGTTAATCAGCTCTAGAACTTGATATCCTCTATCATGTGTGCGAATTTGGAAAAATCCGACGAGCGGTTTTCCTGAAATGGCGATGACAAGATTTTCAGAAAAACCTTCAAAATTGCCACCAGAAAACAAGATGGCTACCCAAAAGTTAATCAGCTCTAGAACTTGATATCCTCTATCATGTGTGCGAATTTGGAAAAATTCGACGAGCGGTTTTCCTGAAATGGCGATGACAAGATTTTCCCAAAAACCTTCTAAATGGCCGCCAGCAGAAAACAAGATGGCCGCCCAAAAGCTTATCAGCTCTAGAACTTGATATCCTCTATCATGTGTAAATTGGAGAAAATCCGATGAGCGGTAAAAGGAGGAGGGAAAGTATCGCAACAGATTTCGGACAGTCATAAGCTGGATTTTGGCTATTTTCTGATGATTTAAACAGGTGCATATGTCAGACCAAGGGCGTTACAATACCCGGGAATTTATCGGTTCGTGCAGTACTTGTTTGTGATAGCGCCCTCTGTAGGTCACTGTGCTTATAGCCTACAGTAATACGGGGTAGGATATCGGGAATTCGGTCAGTTTCTATCCGTCGATTTCGCTATGAATTGAAGCAAGTGTGACCACTTTATCCACTTAACCAATTTGATAATTGATTAAATCTTTAAACAAAATCGATAAACACGTTATACACTTTCTATCTCCTTAGAAATTAGCATGTATTTATGGATTGTGTTTTCGAACAAGGCTCGACCCAGACCAATAGGGAAATCCTTATGCTAATTAGTATGACGTCATATTTTCCTGGGGAATCCTAGATTTCAAAGCCTCAGTCTGTTATTGTGTCAAATGTAAACAGACAGAAAATATGCAGACAGAAAATTGACAGATTAGCTTTTAACTTTCAGCTTTGATGTTTAAATATTCTGTATTTCTACCGGACTTCTTGCTGAATATCATATAATGTTATAACTTGATTTGGACCATTGCCTGATTGATCATTCTGAAATTTTGATTGTGATTCATGATTGATTGGCAAGAAAAATAATTCCTATTGTTTTCCAGCGAAGTCAAAATGTTACAGTATGAGTTATAATGTCGAGTATGCATCATGTTAAATTCTGCTAGTGATTAGAAGTCCATGCACAAGCATACACATAAGAGACAAACACACCCAGGCTCCAGGTCGTGGATGGAAATATAAAACTATTTAAGGCACAAACTGGTATTAATAGACCGATATGTAGTGTCATTTTCAACGAAATGTCCTTAAGACAATAGCCCTGGGTCGCGCCTGAGACCAAAAACTATTTCAAATAGCCCTCCCCGAATTATATTGGATAATCACATTTATGCGTGCGCGCGCAGCTCATCCACTGAACGAAACGCCACTTCCCGCTGAAATCACCGGGTATTGATCTTTCCCTTGGTCAGACCAATGCATTACCTCCAAGAAAAGCACTCCAAGAGATGATAAAATAATTTCGACTTTGCGACAGGGAAGATGCAAATAACCCACCCACATGTTTTTTCTTAAATGTTTTCCTGATTTTCAACCCCTTCCACCCCTGCTTTTTTAAATTTTACTTGCATCAATATGTTGTGTTTTGACACATAGTTAACCCCTTTAAAGGAATAAGTGATCCCTTCGGAGGTTTAGAAGATATCCAATAAGGGTGACCAAAATTAGCTGAAAGCAATGGATCGCATGAGTTTTTCCCTATGGGAAAATAACATAAGAAATATTGTTTTCCACTTTATCTAATTAGGAATCACTTATTCCTTTAAAGGGGTTAACTGTGTTTTAAAACACAACATATTGAGATGTAGTTCAGAAAATAGCCAAAATCCAACATATGACTGTCAGAAATCTGTTGCGATACCTTACCTCCTCCCTTTGTGTTAACGTTAAACCCCATTATGGCATCGGTTGTTGTTTTTCTTTTTTTACTGGCTGTGGCCTTTGATCTTGATTTTTCATTTAAGTAATGGGTTTATAGACACATCGATCTGTCTACATTAGGTGATAGCCTCACACCCACATTTACGTACAGCCAAAGTAAAATCCGGTATTTATATCAACCACAAATAAGATGTATTTCCGAAGCAGCCACTTCTTACATATGTTCTCTAAACTACATGATCTAAATCCAGAGTGTTAAATACGTAATATAAATGAGGATTGTATTTGGGTTGTAAATATATATTGGGCTCATTTGATAAAGTTTTAAATCCTGTCTATGTTTGAATCTTTATTTTGTTACTTTATCACAATAAATCGTTCGGAAAATGACAAATTATAAATTCCGGTTACCAAACTTATGGTGGTGGTGGTGTGTGTGTGTGTGGGGGGGGGGTGTTTATTATAATGTAAAGGCCGATCAATATATTCGCTACTTTTTGCTTGATTAATTTTCTAATGGAATTGAACAAAGAATAAAAGAATACAAAATAAAATAAAGCAAAAAATAGCGAATATAATGATTGACTCTTTGCTTTATTCATTTGGAAATGAACAGATATAAAAGAACAAATATAACAGAAATAAAGCAAAAAGTAGGGAATGTATTGATCGCCCCTTGTATATAAATGATGATACGCACCTATAATCTTTGAGTCATTCAGACCAGGTATGGTAACTTTCCTCGTTTCCCAGGCCAAGAGCGAGCCAATAATAAGGAGGAGCCCTTTATAGCAATACAGGGTGAGCAACCACCAGAGTGAATGCTTAGATTGACACTCTGTATAGTGGGGAATTATGATCAAATCATCATTCGTCTCATCGAGCTGAAAAAAGATTAGAACAATAATCCCAGGTGAATTGTAATGAAACGTCGAATGGAGATTGTTAAGGGTGAATTGTAGTCAGTGCAATACTATGTACTTTAATTTCTGATACTCATAGCATCATCCTGTATCACTTGAAACATGCTCTGCAGGGTTCGAACACCTTTTTCAAAATGAAATTCCCTGATAATTCCCTGACATTTCCAGGCAAAAAAGGAAATGTCCAGATCTAGTTTTGCTCAGAAAATTCATAAAAATGATGGCCATTTTGAATTCAGAGACCACATTGAATATTTCATCTTTAGCTGAGATCCTTTGTTCCCAACACGCATCGCCCTATAAAATTTGGGCCAAATCTGTCAACTTGTATTTGAGTTATCGGCCTGACAGATGGAGAAATGAATAGACTGACACACGGCCGGACTGTTGAACAGACAGCTTCTCAATATAAATATACTTTTTACACTGAAGAGTTCCGATAATATTTTTGTTTTTCACCTCCCGCCCTCCTCAGATTAACCCCTCGACATGAAACATACAGTATACCGGTAATTAACTTTGAATGGCCTAAGACTAATTTACTACATGGAGAAATATATAATTGTATTGAACCATCTAATTCTATATACATATATGTATATTCTTTATTGTTTGGTTTCAGTACAATTTTTAGTGTTCATACAAATAGGCAATACCAGATAGAATGTCATTCAATCAACCCTGATGAAAAAATTCCAATTTGTGGAAATAACTAAATGTTAGATTTTGGATTTCATTGATACCCTGTCATGCATTTTGCAGCACCTGGGAAAATAAATCAATTTCCCTGACATTTCCAGGTGTGTACGAACCCTGCTCTGATATTATGAGGCATATTCTGTGATCTGAGCACATCAGATGGGAAGAGTTATAACTGCCAATAAGTGTCAATACATTACAATAGGCAAAAGTGTACAAATAAATAAATGTATAAAAGTTTTATGACACAATTAAATGAAATCGATATGAGCTGTGATGAAAGATCTCAAAAATCCTCAATTTTGAGCTCTCCTGGATCGCCAAATCAAGCTCATTATATCATGGCATCTCAGGGCTGAGAAGAAATGAGATGTCATGGTTTATTATGATAATATGTACTTCAGGATTTAACCCCATTGTCTGTCAATATTTAATTTGACGAATTTCACGAGTTGAAGTATTTCACCTTAATTATTAGTATGATAGGGGCAATGAGACTCATTGTCTAATGTTACCCATTGCCCAATGTTACCGAATGTCTAATGTTACCCATTGCCCAATGTTACCCATTGCCTAATGTTACCCATTGCCCAATGTTACCCATTGTCTAATGTTACCCATTGCCCAATGTTACCCATTGCCCAATGTTACCCATTGTCTAATGTTACCCATTGCCCAATGTTACCCATTGTCTAATGTTACATGTTACATGTCTGTTCCGATATGTGTAGATTAATAAGACGTTGCCATTTGATATTTATAAATGAGCGCGTCAAGCCCATCCAAATAATGCATATCTGATATCACCCTTAAGCTGATACAAACACAAACATGAGTTTCAGCCTCAAGTTAATCTGGCAGTACCTCACCTAAATTGTTTTAACAAAATTTAGGAAAAACGTAACACTATATAATTATTTGATTTAATGTAACGACCTGCCAAAATGGGCAAATATACGAGCAATGGCAGTGTGAAAATGTTAAAAATAGTTGCATATAAGAGGAAAACTATCAAAATAAGTAATGACGATATTTCAAGCATATGATACGAGAAATTTTGAAGAGTTGGTTGATACATCAAAATGCGTCATATCTGCATAAGACTATGACGTTTGTTGAGTGTGTAAGTTAATTTGGAAAAAGAGACCGCTGTTGATAGGATCCCTTGATATATATTGAATAAGGATATTTTAATTGAGCTTATCCAATGGACAATAACCATATCCAGGCAAACCTTGTTGGCATCGAATATAACCTTGACGATCTAGGCAGAATGACCACGTATACAGTTAGTTTTATTGATGGTGAATCTTGAATTGAATTATTTCAATAGCGCCCATACCTCTTCATCCATGATAAAGCTCGATGCCTTCAATGGATCAACGATAGTCCACGTTGTGAGGATCAGCACATCGACGAGAATCAACACACCAACCATACCGAACAATTGGCTATCCTTTACAACCTGTACGCAGAGAAAGAGTATACATAATCATATGATAATACAAAATAGCGGATCCAGGATTTGCAAAGGGGAGGGTCGCATTTTGAAAAATTCCGGGGGGTTCACTATTGACAACTTTGGCCCAAAAATGGCCAAAGTCAAGGGAAATGTGGTCAGAATGGTGAAAAACTGCATTATTTTGAAAAAGAATTGACCGGGGGGGGGTGGAGTTTCACTCGAACACCCTGGCTACGGGCCTAGGGACAACGCCAATAATGACGGATGGCAGAACGTCATTGATACGGCAAAGCAAGAGAGCTGGGGAATTAGAATATATCAAATATTTTAATCGTTCCACGGAGATTAAGTCTAATTTGAATATTTTGTACTAAATGAACATAGAACAGCTTAGACTCTGCACAAAGTGTTGGTTTGCATGGTAAATTCTTTACAGTTTTTATGTTTCTTTACCTTCTTTTCCAATTTCTGGTTTGTGAAAAGTACATGTACCCTCCAGGTTTTGGTGAACATGCAACCGAAGGCCAAAGTAAAAGCGATCGTCACAATCCATGTTTGAGCCTTAAGGAAAAAGTATAAGCAATATATAAGACAACTTGCATGAGAGATGATTATTTTGGGTAAAGACACAGGTGTGTAACTCCAAGGGAATGACCTAGTTGTACTGGTTTATAGATGATATTAGAAGATGTAGAGTAGTTTTAATCGTGGTTAGGCGATTGTCCCTAAGAAAAATTGTGCCAGCGGTTCCTCCAAGAAAATGTAATTTGGGTTAATTTAATGATATTTAATTTGGCAGATCATGAAATTTAGTTGCCGTTTGATTTGTGCATTTTAATAGAACAATTTCATTTTTGTGGGAAGCCTACTTCAGTTTCAAACACAATTGGTTACTATCCTTGTATCAATGCCAACAATTTGATCCTTTCTTGTTTTCACTACCATTTAGACAAAAGCACTCGATTTTGATGTATTTTTCTCCAGTCGATTTACAATACTTGATTACATAAAATCGTTTCATCGGAAGGTAAATCCTATGTGCAAACACTATGAAACGAACAAATTCCCGGGATTTATACCTTCAGTTTAATTGGCGAAGATGTAGCTTGTCAAAATGAAGAATTAGGTTCAGAAAAAGAAAGGTATAATAACTCTGATACCATATGCTTTTTCACTTCTTGACATGCACAACCGATTGAGATGATTGAGATTTGATCTCAAAGACTGACATTAACTATATATCAGTCATTGAGTATTTTCTCAACAACATAATAACATAGCGATTATTCATACTTTCTTGTGGATATGGGATTTTGAAAAGAGATGAACTGCACACTTTGAGGCATATATCACTATCACAAACAGGCAAATGTTGGTAATTCCATTCGCTCAGATACATCATCAATAGATCTTTAAGTGGTATTAGAGATCAAAATGATAGACGCTTACGTTACAAAGCACGGTTATCCCATCCAGTGGTACTAATCTCACGTCGAATGCTCCTACAACCACAGCTCCGTATATCGCCATGGCTCCAACCAATAACATATTGTTCAGATTTGGTGAGGACATTTTAATCATCCTAAAGAAAACGCAGAATATTTAATTAATTAGAATCGACACTGTTATAACAGAAGTACTCCCGTTGGATACCCTTTGCATTCACTGGAGTTCACTTCTTAAAAGAGAGCTTCGTCTTAGTTTATAACTAGACTCTGCGCGCAGGGTACCAATTGGATGTGTTGCATTGCCAGCAAAGGAGGAGGGAAAATATCGCAACAGACTTTGGAAATTCATATGTTGGATTTTGGCTATTTTCTCAGGATTTAAACAGGTGCATATATTAGTACTTTCTTCAGGGGTTTTAAAGATATCCATTATGGGTGACCAAAACTAGCTGAAAGCAATGGATCACATGAGTTTTCCCTATGGGAAAATAACATGGAAAATATTGTTTCAACTTTATCGAAGAGGAATCACTTATTCCTTTAAAGGGGTTATCTGTTTCTTTAAACGCAACATATTGATGCCACAAAAATTGAAAAAGCTTGGGTGGAAGGGGTTGAAAATTAGGACAACAGTTCAGAAAAAACATGTGGGTGGGTTGTTTGCATCTTCCCTGTCTCAAAGTCGAAATTATTTTTTCATCACTGTGAGTGCTTTTCCTGGAGATAATGCATTGGCCTAACATATGCACCTGTTTAAATCCTGAGAAAATAGCCAAAATCCAACATATGACTGTCCGAAATCTGTTGCGATACTTTCCCTCCTCCTTTCAAAAGACAAACAGTGTCTGCAGTCTGACCTTGTCCTCCCTTGTAAATATTTTTTTCTATTAGCACTTGATTTCTGAAGTATACAAAGGCTTCGAAGAACTTTAAGTAAAGCATTAAAACACCATTTCCCATCGGGAAAATGCATCGATTCATTAAAATCGGGAAAATCAATGGCATATTGACTATTATTATATCACTATCTAGCTAGCGACAGTATGATTGGTCAAAACCGGGTCACATGTCGTGGGATATCTGGCGATATTCAATGGCAATGCTAATCAGATAAGACAACCGTGAGATATCTAGCGATATCCCACGCTCCCGGGAGTTTTCAAAGAATTTGTTTTCGTTCAGTGTGAATAATTTAGTTCAGTGTAAGTCAAAATGGCAGACGAACCGAGTAGATTCGTAAAAATATCTGAAGACTTAATGACTTAATAATATTAGGGATGTTTAGCTAGACAGTGATATAATAAAACAAATATTTCACTCTATTTTCGGTGAATACCTGTAGCACTTTCACAAGGTGATCTCAACTTGCCCTTCGGGCTTCGTGGAATATCACTTGTGAAAGATGTACAGGTATTCACCTCAATAGAGTGAAATATTTGTTCAGTATTTCAAATAAATGATAAATGCATCTACAGAAGCCCCATTCAGACATTCCTGAGTAAATTAATAGAATATTAGGCTAACGAACGTTACACGTTCATGTGGAGTATAATTTTTCCTATCATTTCCTATTCAGACATCTACCATTTGGGTACTCATTATCTTCTTTCTGTCAACGGATATATCTGTTAAGAAGAGTGGCTTCTCTATGTCTGATAAATACTTGGTCCATGGGAATGCATGTATAATAGGTGAGATGCAACTAAGAGGATTTGAATTGTTTAGAGCATATAAAGATGTATCATACCTTGTTCATCTCTGCGTATAATCTTTCATTGAAAATATTTTTGAATCGTAATTGAGGGACAATGATGTTAGAAACGCCCGTTACCATGGTAACTAAATTTTGTTATAAACCTGTAAGGATACTGCACACGTAATTGAGTTGTATTTTCAAAATATTTTCCAAACGTAAAATTTGCAGTAGATGAAGCTATCTTAAAGAGAAAATCTAAATATCTAAAAAGGGATATTTGTTGCTGAAGTATATGGTTGTAACTATGTTCAACCAGGTTATTTGTTAGACAAGTGGACTATGGAAATCGTTTTCGATATTTTATGAATATGTAACTCACTGCATTTTCCTGTTTCGAATATTGAAGATCAGAAGACAGACAGCAAATCCGAGACCCAGTATTGCAAGCGTGATAAATGAAATTGCAACACCGACGGGTAGCATCAGTTCAACATCTTTACGAATGAAACTATCAAGAGGAGGGGATCCACCTAAAACATTACATAGATGACTCAAATCGTGAAATATTCTAGACCTCTATATTTGAAACATCAGATTCAATATCAGATTATGATCTCTCACAATACGACTTTTTTATCGTATGATCTGTAAAATGAAGCCCTCTGATTGGTCGGTTCTTATGTTGTACCAATCTGTATTGTTACTGAGGTTGTCAACAGAAACTATTGGTACAGAGGGGACAATCTCAGTTATACAGAGGATCACATGATAAAAACGTTATTGAATGATTTGAAGTGCAAAACAGCAATGTCTCGATATTCTGTATTGGCACTCGACTTCGTCTCGTTCTATTCTATTCTGTATTGGCACTCGACTTCGTCTCGTTCCAATACAAAATTTCTCGAACATAATATATCCCGTATTGCACTTCAAATCATTCAATAACTTATAATGTTTAACATACAGATATACGAAACGTGGCTTACCCTTCCATTTCAAGGGGGAGTACCAATTTAGTAGGTTTGTTTGGCCATCAAAATAACCGATCTCACGATTGGATCTATTCGCCCACCTGTACAGGTAAGTGATACCAACACGAGTTCCGGAGCTATCAAACGCCACAGGGCCCTAAGGACAGAGAGGAAAATAAAAAGAATTCATTTTTACCACGAGGCAGTTATTTCTATAACATTTCAAGGACTGTAATATTGTGATGCATTATTTTGAGATGATAAAACGCAAATAGGACTCAGAAGATGAAATATTTTCTTCATTCCAGAAAGTACGTACACAAATAGCAAGGTAGCAGGTGGCTGTCAAAGTACATAGATATACATATACAGTTGTAACATACTAACCAATTATTAGCCTGATAGCTTACATCCCCCCTCCATAAGTTTGGCTACCAGTATAACTTATCAAAGCCTGCTTATGTTTGGCGATTTTAAAGAATCAAATCCAGATCAATCCGAACCAATGTATTTAAAGAACAAAATTAACACTGATAGGCTTAATATGCTAGACTCGATGAGATATATTCTGTTTGCAAAACTTATGAAGGGGAGTGTACATACTGCAAAGTGTCATGGTAAATGGCACAACAAAGATTAGAGACGAGTTGAAAGTAACTGACTTTCAACAATTGTCATAAAGACTTCAATAACACAAATTCCATGATCAGATATCTCAATGTATTTCCAAATAATGATTTTCCAATTACTCAAAAGATCATGTTTACTTTTTACCATATGACTGTATGACAACACAACAAACATTTGTTTATCATATCTTCCTTTTGAAAATGTTATGTTAATTAATTTTTACACTGGAGGAAATAAAGTCATATGAAAAAAAGAAAAGAAAACGCCAACCGTAAGGCGACCGTAGCTTCCCAAGATCGAGAGAAATATGCAGTTTATATTATATCTAAACTATTTAGATTTTCTTAATCAAATTTGTGAAGCTACGGCCGCCGTAGAGCAAATATAACTGTATCGTAAAAAAACAATGAGTTTTAGGTATTTTGAAATTAATGCTTCCGACATTTACACTCTCTTTTCTTCGGTCCAGATAATAAACATTCAATTGAAACTGACTTACCGACGATCCGAAATATGAAAGGTCTTCCAAGCACTCTTTGAAAATATCGGCCATAGTGGAATCATCATATGAGAAGTCTTCTAGGGTTTTGTTTATCATAGCAAGTTTAGGGATTGCCGCCTGAAGAGCCAGTGCTATTGCCCATCCCGAATCGTAGGCATACGTGTGACTTAAAGATAGCTCCCCGTCATCTATATATTTGGAATACCTCGACCATGCCCTATCGTTGATTTCACTAGGTGTCTGCAATGATAGTGACTGTATATTACTGAAGAGTCTTGATTCAATTCCCCACCCTTTCTCTATCATCTAATTCTGAGTAAGAGAGGGAGTAGAGCAGAATATATAGGGCCTTGATGCAAGACATATACTAAATGATAAGATTATAAATACATAACAGAACCATTATGATTATTTCGATGAAGAAAGCGTCTGGGGCACAATAGGTGATTAACCCTCGGAGGGTGAGGTATTCAGAGAGAAACATGTCGAAGTAGAGTAAACAAGATTCTTAGTACTGTACTTTGTTGAACATATCATTCCAGGCCTTTCTTTCATTTATCCCCTCAAGGAGGACATGACTTAGAGACAAGTCCTTGGATATTGTATCAGATGATGTCAATGATACAATCAGGGATGTTTTTATCTTACCATGCCAGAAATTGTTTTTTCACTACTCTCTGAGAGATATTTCTGCTCCATTCCAATATATCCCTCCGCTGCAGTATAGAGTTCTTCTACTGAACATGAGCTGTTAGGCGCAACGCCGTAAATTGGTTGCGTTTTGACGGGCCATCCAGGTGTGGCAGCCCAATTCATTAACATCCAAACGTATTTATCGCCGGTGATTCCTATTTTGTAGGCCTACATAGTGTAATAACAATAAAAACGTGTCATCATTCTGGTTATGAAAGATCCAGGTCGAATGCTCTTAAAGATTACATTTACTTACATTTTTCATCAATGGCATACCGCGGATAATAATAAAATTGATGAAGGGATTGCATTGTTTGGAATTTTACTAAAAACTCTTTCAGTACGCTTCTTAACGCATCTATGGAAATTGATTGTGTTTCTTTAATCATGGTCTAAAAATATATATAAGTACAACGCACTTTATTGTAGGAATGATTTATTGTTGACACTCATTGACCGAGTTCCATGTGCATTTGACTTTACATGACTTACCTCACAGAATACTTGTCGGACGTAAAGGTCATTAATGTTTGCAACAATAATTCTGGCATCATATTGCTGAAAGAAACAGACTATATAATAAGATCTCTAAATACCCCAGGGACTCTTATTAGTTGGACACTTTTCTGCGCCGCGGCATTTTGTTTCACATTGTTTAAGAATATAATTTGAAACTGCAGTGACATTATTAATGATGATACTCAAACAAAATGGCATTCAATTTTCCTGAGCTGAAACAAATATAGAACAGAACTGAACCAAGACATAGATAATTCATATTGAGAATCTCTAAAATTGCTCATCAACTAGGTTTGCGATAAAGATACAGAGTAAGTCAAACTAATAACACAAACAAATGTTTATAACTCGGTCATTCAGCATGAGTTTAAGGTTAAATATTAAACTATTTTTTCATTCTACCAAGCGTCCATGGTCCTTTCCTAATGGTCACGATTTTATGGCCATTTTACGAAATATGCTCAAAATGCCACTCTCGTTTCTGGAGCAAACTTGAACGCATAATCGGGTGTGAACGCATAATCGGGTGTTATTCTGCCTACACCGTACGCAGCGGGTGTTATGCTGCCTACACGCTCACGCATCGGGTGTTATTCTGCCTACACACTCGCGCATCGGGTGTTATTCTGCCTACACACTCACGCATCGGGTGTTATTCTGACTACACACTCACGCATCGGGTGTTATTCTAACTACACACTCACGCATCGGGTGTTATTCTGCCTACACACTCATGTATCAGGTGTTATTCTGACTACACACTCACACATCGGGTGTTATTCTGCCTACACACTCACGCATCGGATGTTATTCTGACTACACACTCACGCATCGGGTGTTATTCTGACTACACACTCACGCATCGGGTGTTATTCTGACTACACACTCACGCATCGGGTGTTATTCTGCCTACACACTCATGTATCAGGTGTTATTCTGCCTACACACTCATGCATCGGGTGCTATTCTGCTTACACACTCACATATATCTTGTTTAATGGCTCCCATCTTCCTTCATCCCTTGTTTCAACTCTCCGATGGTCTAGAGTTGCAAGTGTACATATAAATTCTCTTTGAAATTGCCCCAAAGATAAAGGTTGGGGGTTCAATCATATCAGGTGAGTTTGGCATGTTTCGGCATTTGGGGCATTTGGAACATTTTTTGGGTAACCTTTTTTGGCTCACCCTGTATAATTGAATGTACCTCTAATTTGAGTTCCTTGGGGGATTATTTTGTATAATTCAGACATTGTAAATAAGATAGAGAAAAAATCTAGAGCATCAAAAAGTTTATGAAAGAGATTTGTCTGCACAGGGAAAACTATTCCAAGATTAAGAATTATGAAAATCCATTTAAAACAAGACCTTCATGCAACCATGTGCAACATGACCTCACCCAATACGACCATGCGCAACATGACCTCAATTCATGCAACCATGTGCAACATGACTTCACCCAATACGACCATGCGCAACATGACCTCAATTCATGCAACCATGCGCAACATGACTTCACCCAATACGACCATGCGCAACATGACCTCAATTCATGCAACCATGTGCAACATGACTTCACCCAATACGACCATGCGCAACATGACCTCAATTCATGCAACCATGTGGAACATGACTTCACCCAATACGACCATGCGCAATATGACCTCAATTCATGCAACCATGTGCAACAAGACCTCACTCCATACGACCATGCGCAGCATAACTCCACTCCGTACAACACCCAATGACCGCTACAGAAGCAATTGTTGATTATACGTGACAAAATAACAAATAAATCAGGATTGTACTTATATCTGCCAAGAATAATGCCTCCTATGTCTATCAATCGTTTAGCTAAATTACCATCTTCAAATAACTAAAAATAAAAAACTGCTTCCATTCTGCTCAGATTCTCATATGTTAATTTTGATATCTCCGTTTCGTGACGTTTTGAAAAATGGCAATTTTTCTTTGACATAAATAACCAAAAATAATTCGATTGATATTTGATACGATACACGAAATAAGAGGGATGTTAATGTCATGAATCATCAGGTTTAGTCATGAATGATTCGAATGGTGAACTTATTAAAAAATAACATGATATTCTTACTGATCATGCCTTACCACTTATACGTTAATTTTCCTGTTGTTATGATAAAGTCTCGATAACATACCACAAATAAGGAAAAAATGCAGTGTTGGAAACTAGATTGAGTCACGTGATATAGCAGAATCATCACCGCCTCAATGACGTCATATGAGGCCTTTTCATAAATATAATCATTTGAATTCGCGTAGGTAATACATTAGATCATTTCTCACTTAAAACACATCGTCTTAACTGCATTTCAATATTTTTTTTGATCAAGATATCTAAACTCGCCAATTTTCTCTCTGAAGTGTTATTGTAGATTTAACACTTTTGATTATTAGTCGTGAAGTAAAAAACATAAATTATAACAAGTTATCAATAAGATAACATTCAGATGGTTGAATCAAACATGTCAAAGGTCAAAATTACTTGGATCGGTCAAATATCGTTAACTTTGTCATTCCGAGGAATATTATTTTTTTGATATTTGGTACATCTATAGATCATGTGTGCAAATATTGGCTAAACAATGTATATGAACTATAATCGGTTATAGCATGAGGGTGAGCAGTGGTGATTCTATGTGTGATAAGTCGTTCACCTTTAACGTTTTCACTTGTCCAGCAATATAGTCATCGTCGCTAGCGGTTAGGACACCTGCGGAGACGAGTGTCATTCCTTCTGCAGCAAGCTGATTGTGAAAGTCATCCATTTGCTGTAAATAATCAAGAAATCAATACATTTCGGATGCATCGAAATCAGCGAAAGCATCATCTAACTAACTAATTGGAAAGAGCATTTTTTGCAATAACAATGCAGAACAATACACATTGGCACCACTTGCCATTTGTTACAGACCCCGAACGCATGACGCCAAACACCATCCACAAAAAAACTTCAAAAGATTAAAGGTAAATCACGGGGGAAGTTGCAAATGGACTGCTTTCCCTAGTGAAGGTTGTGATTGGGTTAACAGATACCTATGATTAAATAATTTTTCATGTTTTGCAAATCCAGCTCCTTCATTAATTTCTTACAATGAAATGAAATTCCCATTGCATTTTTGTTTTCTTGCTATTTTAGTTTTTTATCGACAAATTATCATCAAATAACAAATCCAGAGAGAGAGTCAATCTAAGTGCAATCAGCATCCATGATGCAAGTTGTTTTTGATATGAAACGCTGTTGTTCATAAAATTCTCACCTGAGCGTTCATAAGCTATTTTGATTAATTTCACAATGTGTGTTTGCGCAAAGACAGAACTATGACGGTTAAATAACTTTGTGAACTAGAAAATGTACCTAACCGACTTGAACCTCCTTTTAATTAAATTTAAATCTTTAGATACTTTATTTGCTCCAGTTTTCTTGTTCATTTATTAGTAAGTACCTATATTGCACAATCAATGGTTCGATCGGTTCGGTTTTTAACGAAACGTTAATTAATGAGGGAAAATTACCGTTCGCAAATACACGTTCGGTAAAATAAAGTAGATCGAAAAATGCCTGACTTAAAAATCGCATTACTTAAATGGTATCTGCAAATAAATGTGCAAAATAAAAAGATTATAAAGGCTAATTTTATTTTATATTCTTTATCATAGCAGAATATAATAATGCGATAAGAACCGAAAATAACTGAACCGAAAACCAAACTAAGGGAGTCAAAAACCGAACCTGAGTAATAATTATGCCCATTCTCCTAAAATATTACAATAACATGATTATCTTCAAAATAAGAATTTTTTTTCTTTTACCTAGTTCCAAGGATATTGACGTTTGAATTTTGGAAAAATCTCATTGGCTGCCATTATAAACGGCTCTCAATGTGGCTTTACTAAAGTGTCCTTTTTTTCAAAAAGTCCACTGTGAAATTTTCTAATATTGCAGATTTCTATAGTTAATATAGTGATTTAAAAAATCAAACAGGTACATTTCTAAAAATTTCTTGTTTTTGATATATCTAACCGTTAAAATTGTAAAAAACCTATATTTGATATATTTAACCGTTAAAATTATAAAATACCTATATTGAGCCCCATGTTAATTTATCAATCTGCTAAAGACCCCCTGCAGAACATTTTAGAGTAAAAATCACCATTCTCCTGGTATGTTACAATAACATGATTATCTTCAAAATAAGAAGGGTTGACGTTTTTTTCTTTTCCCTACTTCCAAAGATATTGGCGTTTAAATTTTGGATATTCCCATTGGCTGCCATTATAAACGCATATCAATATGGTTTTGCTAAAGTGTTCTTTTCTCAAAAAGTCCACTCTGGACTTTTCTAACATTGCAGATTTCTATAGTTAATATAGCGATTTAAAAAAAATCAAACAGGTACATTTCTAAAAATTTCTTGTTTTTGATAATATTTAACCGTTAAAATTATAAAAAACCTATATTGAACCCCATGTTAATTTATCAATCTTCAAAAGACCCCCTGCAGAACAGTTTTAGAGTAAAAATCACCATTCTCCTGGTCAAAATAAGAAGGGTTAATTTTTTTCTTTTACCTAGTTCCAAAGATATTGACGTTTGAATTTTGGAAAAATCCCATTGGCTGCCATTATAAATGGCTATCAATATGGCTTTACTAAAGTGTCCTTTTCTCAAAAAGTACACTATGGAATTTTCTAATATTGTAGATTTCTATAGTTAATATGTTGATTTTCGAAAAATCAAACAGGTACATTTCTGAATTTTTTTATTTTTAATATATTTAGCCATCAAAAACAATAAAAAAAACTATATTGTGCCTCATGTTAATTTGTCAATCTTCAACTTAATGGCTGAATATATTAAAAATAAGAAATTTTCAGAAATGTACCTGTTTGATGTTTTTAAAATCAATATATTAACTATAGAAATCTGCAATATTAGAAAATTCCACAATGGACTTTTTGAGAAAAGGACATTTTAGCAAAGCCATGCTGATAGCGGTTTAAAATGGCAGCCAATGGGGATTTTCGAAAATTCAAAGGCAAATATCTTTGGAACAAGGTCAAAGAAAAAACTGTTAACCCTTCTTATTTTGAAGATAACCATGTTATTGTAACAAACTAGGAAAATGGGCATTATTACTCGAAAACTGTTCTGCAGGGGGTCTTTTGAAGATTGATAAACTAATATGGGGCTCAATATAGGTTTTTATAGTGTTTAACGGCTAAATATATCAAAAATAAGAAATTTTCAGAGGTAAAAGAAAAAACGTTCATCCTTCTTATTTTGAACATAATGATGTTATTGTAACATTCTAGGAGAATGGGCATTATTACTCTAAAACTGTGTTCTGCAGGGGGTCTTTTGAAGATTGATAAATTAACATGGGGTTCAATGTAGGTTTTTATAGTTTTAACGGCTAAATATATCAAAAATAAGAAATTTTCAGAAATGTAGCTGTTTGATTTTTTTAAAATCAATATATCAACTATAGAAATCTGCAATATTAGAAAATTCCACAATGGACTTTTTGAGGAAAGGACACTTTAGTAAAGCGATATTGATAGGCATTTATAATGGCAGCCAATGGGGAATTTCCAAAATTCAAACGTCAATATCTTAAGAAGTAGGCAAAAGAAAAAATTCAACCCTTCTTATTTTCAAGATAATCATGTTATTGTAACATTCTGGGAATATGGGCTTTATTACTCTAGAACTGTTCTACAGGGGGTCTTTTGAAGATTGATAAATCAACATGGAGCTCAATGTAAATATGCAAATTTTTTGAGGACTGCCAACTGGGGCCAGTTTTCAGCACCACTTTGTTAGATATCAAAAATGTATGTATTAATGACACTTAGGTCAAAAAAATGTGCTTTATATATAGCAAGTGCAATTCAAGGGTTTTATTGCCTTAACTGGCTCCACTAAATATCATATCGGCACTTTAAACGATGCATAACTGTATACATGAATTGAAACCTAAAATCAAACTATAATTACACATTGTAAAATACATTTGCACGCTAAATACCGTTTACCGTGTTTAACCTTTGTTGTCTAAGTACCATCACAATTACGTTGTAAAACATTACAAATGTCATGGAGACATCCTCTATATTAAATGGCACATTTTAACATTGATGAACGTAAGCTACATGGAGTCATGTTTTACGAACATTTGATTTCATGGGAATGTGATCCAATACGTGATATTAATAGTCGTATAACATCAAGCTCCTAGGGCCAATAATGCTGAATTCAGCCTCGGCCCTGTCATTTGTAGATCATATTGTATTTAGTAAAATAAAGAAGCCATAAAAACTATCAAGCTCCTTAAATTATACTTGTATTATTGGTGGAATCAGTTAGGCGATCAATTGATGATTTGCGATCACCGGATGGATTCTATCTTGAAGTGACGTCACAATTAGGTCACTCAGCTTTAGATGTTTGATTTTGAGAGATTATCTTCTATATTTCGTGCTTTATTGATTTATTTTTCACGAAAGCGTTCTATTTGACTAGATCAACATTCATGGTAAGTGCATACCAAGTCTAAGATCTTACTGACGTGATTTAGATAGCGGTTAAGCGCCCCCCGATTTTGAAGGCATCGATGTTTAGTATAAATTTCACCCAAACTTCGCACATATATAGATATATACTCATGATCTAGTCAAATCGGCATACCTGGTAAATATCCGACCCATGGTTTTCATAAAAGAAACGACAATATTTTTTGCACAAAACTGCCACGTGTCCGCCATTTCGTGATTCCATCATGTCTAATATCATTTCTATATGACGTCACACCAATAAGACGAAATACGTGACAACAGTATCCATAAACAAAATTCCTGAATTCTGATCGCAAAAGGTCAATTGCACATGCTATTGTATATAGCGCCATTTTTTGACATAAGTATCATTAGGCTTAATACATATATTCTTGATATCTAACAAAGTGGTGTTGAAAGGTTGCTCCAGTTGATAATTAGCAGGCCTCGAAAATTTTGCACTTGAGCTCCATGTTACTTTATCATTCTTCAAAAGACCCTGCAGAACAGTTTCAGAATATTAATGCCCATTCTCCAAGGAGGATTGGCTCCCAGAATGCAACACCGATATTCTGCAAAACAATCGCCTAGCGATAGCTTTGTTGGAGAGTATCGGGTCATTCTCCATGCAGTCGTACAAATTATACAGACACGAATAGCAAATGACGCATGCGTGGAGATTAAAGAATATCGAGTTGGAACCCTGGCTTCCAATCCTCCTTGCCCATTCTCCTAGTATGTTACAATAACATGATTATCTTCAAAAAAGAGTGGCTAAATCTTTTCTTTTAACTACTTCCAAAGATATTGGCGAATTGGAAATTCCCCATTGGCTGCTATTATAAATCGCTATCAATATGGCTTTACTAAAGTGTTCTTTTCTCAAAAGGTCCACTGTGGAATTTTCTAATATTGCAGATTTCATTAGTTAATATATTGATTTTAAAAATATCAAACAGGTACATTTCTAAAAATTTCGTATATTTAATATATTAAGCCCCATGGCCCCATTTGACCTTTTAGGTTTTATTTGGCCAATTTATAAAAAATGGGCCTTAATTTTTCAAAATTTGGGCCCAACTTTTGGGTTGAGGGCCCAAAATCTTTTCCAAACTCAAAATCCCCCCCCCCCTTGTTAATTGCTGGACCCGCCACTAGTTTGTGTAAATAATATCAGACTTACTGAAACATACGGCTCTTCTTGAATTGTAAGAGTTGCAACACGTGCCCAACCAAACTCCTTCATGATTGCTACCCTAACTGGGTTAAACGATCGTTCATTGAAGTTCATCCTGTATATGTTTGGGAACTGTTTTCTATTGTTTAGAGTGGTCGCTTTGGCAGAGTATAACAGCTGAAATGGAAACATACGATCGTAAAGGAACATGACGATAGAGCTCTTAACGTGTAATGATGAGTCCGGAGTATTAGGTGAAATAATGGCCGATGGCCCGTTAGGCCCGAGGCCATTATTTTCTCATAAGACCCAGGACGAATGGTTTATCCGACTCAAACCCCACACTGACTCTTATGAAAGGTAAATGATACATGATTCAATACTCACACTTTACTTTTAAAAAACTGATTTCTTTTGTATTGACTATTCAACTAGAGACGTGAGTTGATAGGTGAGTGGGGTGTAATTGATTTAGGTTTAGTGCACTACATGTGACAGTCCAGGTGAGGACATTTCAAATGGATGGAGGAGAATTTTTTAGTAAGCTTATCTCAATACTTTAGGTAGCAACATAAAATGATGAATTGTTATATTTTAAAGAATGCACAGTAACAAAAGAAGAATACATATAGATTTGTATATATATTGTTTTGAAATGACGGATAGTATCAAAAACTGTCAATCGTCTATTGTACCACACTGGATTTTGATAGTTTGCAAAAAATTAAAAACTAGAGAAAGGGAATGTACTTTTCTTTTGTTACAAATGCACATTCTTTAGAATAAACTACACTAAATTCATTCTATTTTGTTGCTACTTAATTGGGGTTTAAATGTATTAATTGTCGAGCATTCTATTGTCGACAATTGAAACAATTTTATAGTTTGATTGATTTCGTTCGACAATTTCGTCGAATTTTACAGCTCGTCATTGATGTAGCTCTATCATGTAGCTATCGTGTTAAAGCATCGTAACATAGTGTATAGTCTTAATAACAAGTATCACTTTCATTAATCACAATATATCATCACTACGATTCTTAGAAGATTAATTTAAGATTGGAAAAACAGCACAGTCAACAGGTAAATCCTTGTGATGAATGTGAGTTTTCTTATCAGACATTTTATATTTTAGAGTTCATTAAGTAATCGATATTTGTACTTGACATTTTCTCCTAAACTGCTAAGCTATTAATTACAAGATGTGAACCAGAGTTTTATTGTAGAGCCACGCCCATGTGAGTAATGTCAATGTCTGTTGATTTATAACTATTTGTAACGTATCTTAACACCTACTGGTAGGCAAAATTCCGTCGCATAACGTTTGTTTACACGATCATCACATTTGCGCCGGTAGACGGCCGACATGAGGTAAGAGCCGACCGGCTCCCCTGACGGCCAGGCGCCGGTGACGTTTTATGATGTCTTGGAGTTGCCGTGAGTATGGTAACATTAGATAAGGACACCGCAAATAAATTACAAGATTAAATCTTAACTGACACCTGAAGGACATAGAAGACTAATCAAAAGGCCATCGAAACTAAGCTTGTATTCGCGAATGCAATTAACGGCTAATCAAATCAAACTTATCAAAAGGCTATCGAAACTTAGCTTGTGTTCACGAATGCAACTAACGGCTAGTGGCTACCGGATTAATCTACTATGTTATGACCAACTCATTTAAATATGAATTGAAAATGGCAGGTACGGTTCTATTCATATTTTAATGAGTTGCCCATGAAATAGTAGGTTAATCCGGTAGCCGACAGGCGTTATTTGCATTCGCGAATACAAACTAATCAAGACTATGTATCGAAAGGATATCACAAGGCTATATAACGACGAGATGGCTGGATGATATGAATGCGGCTACCTTACGATTGCCGACATATGGCGCCTGTCCAGACATTGGGGGGGGGGGGGGGGTCTAGGGCACATCTGGGAACATGTAAAATTGCTCAAAAATCCCAAGATGACCGTACAATGTCCTACCGAGTTGGTCCCGATGAGTTTTGATCAGAAGTTGCGATAACAAGCTTACGACAACAGTACGTCCGATGATGACCGAAAATAGCCGAATACAATCGAAGATATTTGAAACTTGGTATGCCGTATAGCGACTGAATAACGATGTGAAAAATATCACACGGATCCCCTTTAAAATATCAGAAATATCTTTGGCTGTTATAATACTTTGTGTATCTAAAGATAACACCTTGATCGTGGGATACGACAAATAAACCCCAAGAAATATTGTCCTGGTGTGCATTATAACATACCCAAAGACGCGTAATTTATAAGCCGAACTGGGTCAAATGACAACTTGAATCTGGACAATACTAGTAAATGCAGAAGTCAATATTCACTTTTCCAACGGAGATCATTAACATTGTATTCCTCAAGTACAAAAACGTAACTTACGAAGTTGTTTTTTGATATCATGAACCGATTTCGAGATTTAATAAAAAAAATATTGTCAATCTGTGTCGGAGAATAAAAAAGATGTTGTTTTACAAATTCAGGGAAGAAGATAATAAAATGTGAATGGACATTATATTAGGTTTAGAATCTAAAAATGAGGTTAATTGAGCTGTCACGACAATAACTGACCACCGCTAGCGCTTCATTAAGGTTGGAGACCGGAGAAGAAATTCCCTTTGGCAACCATTATAACGTTAACGTTTACGTACAGGGTGGTCCAAAAATGGGACACTCTTATTTCAAAAAAAAAATTGATTTTATTGATGAAAAGAATAAAATCATGGCAACCAACATCTGTATAAATAACGTCATTTACGTTTCAAACCGGTTTTCAAAAACTTGCAAAAACCAAGTTCTTTGTCACGAGATACAGTTGTTCAATATGTCCTCCATTTTGATCAATTATAGCACCCAGTCTTGGCTTTGACTGGTCAATAGCATCATTGATATGCTGTTGAGACAATGAATTCCACCATTTTTGGACCACCCTGTATATCTGTAAATTACGAAAAGTATAAAACTTTGAGCAAATTAAATAAATGGTATTTGCGTTAATAGAAAAAACATATTTTACTGAAAAATGGCGACCATTTTGAAGTCAGCACACTTCTTGAAAATCCAGCCACCCAATCAAAATAGCTTTCACTCAAAATATGTAATGTGGGCCACGTTACCACAAACTCACATAAGCATTAAAAATGATCTGCTGATTGGAGCTGTGTATGTACCTCCATACAATACCAAATACTCAAAACTGGAAGCATTCGATGAAATCGAAAGTGAAATTATGATGCTGAGAGGCAATAGGGAAATATGTCTTGGGGGAGACTTTAATGCACACACAAGCAACGCATTACATATTCTCGAATATGAAACTGGTGGGGATTCTATACCCGATATTGAAACCGAGATTAATTGTAATAGCGCAAATGAAATAAAGGACACCTTACTACACTTAATATGCCTATTATTTGCGTAAGTGTGGATGTGAAATTAGATTTGTATGGGACTCGACTGATTGAACTATGTAAAGCTCAAAAAATGGTAATTATGAATGGCCGATGTGGCCTCGACAATAAGATAGGAAAATCAACAACCAGAGACATTTCCGTAATTGATTATGTAATTGTTACCGCATCTTTACTGTGCGAGATAAATGAATTTAAAGTGTGTGATTTTAATGGAATAATATCGGACATACATTGTGGAATTGACTTTAACATCTCAGCCCCAATACAGCACAAACCCTCTGATTCACAACCTGGAATTAATGAACCGGCAAATCTACAAAAAAGACCGAAAAGATGGGAAAGTAATCAATCCACTTATTTTTGTGAAAACATTGAGGATTCAATGGTCGATACTATTACTGAAAAGCTGACTGCAAATACCATCACCATTGAAAATGCAGCTGAATCAATAAATGAATTATTTTATAATGCTGCAATTACAACATTTGGTGCAGTGTCAGTGAACCAGAAACCTTCAAGGCTGAAAAAGAAAAACCCTTGGTACTCAAATGAGTGTCAATCTCACAGAAAAAAATATCATAAATGCAAAACACAATTTTATCTTAATAAATCTGACTCTAATAAATTGGCTTTAATTAATTCACGTAAATCATACAAGAAAGCCATTCGAAAGGCACGAACACATTTTAAGAGAAAACAGATCAAAGATCTAAGAACTCTTAAGAGTAATAACAGTAGAGACTATTGGGATATTTTGAATGAGAAAAAGAAACCGGAATGTAAGGCATCTCTAGATTCCTTGACTACATTTTTCAAAACATTAAACTATGATGATGTAAATTGTCAAAATAATAACGTTAACATGAATGATGATATATTAAATAACAATATAATAGATTGTTCTGATCTGAATTGTCAAATTACACCTGAAGAGATCAGGATGATAGTTAAAAACTTGAAGATGGGTAAAAGTCCGGGTGATGATGGTATAATTAATGAATATATTAAGTATTCAATAGATAAGTTAATACACCTTTATACATTGTTATTCAATAAAGTTTTAGCAGAGGGGGTGGTACCAGAATCGTGGCTTATTGGTATAATAATACCTATATTCAAGAATAAAGGCACTCGTTTTGACCCGGCAAATTATAGAGGAATCACACTTTTATCATGCCTTGGAAAGTTATTTACTGCAATTTTGAATAAACGACTATATTTATTTATAGAGAAAAATAATATTATGAAAGGTAACCAATCAGGTTTCATGCCAGATCAAGGCTGCAATGATCAAATATTTAATCTGTATTTTATCATAGACATAATGTTAAATGTGAATAAAAAGAAACTATTTGCAGCATTTGTAGATTTCAAACAATGTTTTGACAAAATAAAAAGAGTGTTATTATGGAAAAAATTGCTTGAATATGGTATTAGTGGAAATATATTAAACTGTATCAAAAATATATATGTCAAAGCAAAATCTTGTATTTTCGCAAATGGTCAAAAATCTGAATATTTCCTTTGTATGAATGGCTTACGAACTGGTGAAATTCTCTCCCCTTTGCTTTTTTCACTCTTTGTAAATGACATGGAGGATTACCTCTTGAATAGTCATAAATGTAGCTATTTAAACTTAGGTCAAGACATTGAAAACTTTTGTAAAGTATTTTTACTCATGTATGCAGATGACACAGTTATTCTGTCAGACACAAGTGATGGGCTACAGAGAGGACTAAATGGTCTTAAGTCATATTGTGATATCAATAATTTGTCTGTTAACACAAAAAAGACAAAAGTTATTATTTTCTCAAAAAGAAAACCCAAGGGTTTATTTAGATTTACATACAATGGGGAAAATGTTGAAATTAATGACACATTCAAGTATTTAGGAGTTTTATTTTCATATAATTGTAATTTTAGAAAGGGTGTTGATCAATTGAAGAAACAAGCTGAAAATGCCATGTATGGCGTATTAGGAAAGTGTACAGAAATGAATTTACCAATTGATGTTTAATTAGAATTGTTTGATACGTTAATATTACCTATTTTGTGTTATGGCTGTGAAATATGGGGATTTTCGAAGGCTATAAAAAATTGTGAAGTCTTACACCTCAAATTTTGTAAATACATACTCAGAGTAAAAGCAACTACACCCTCGTTCATGATATATGGTGAATTGGGGCGCTACCCTTTGGAAATACACATTAAAACAAGAATGGTAAATTTTTGGGGTAAATTGATACAAAGTAAAGCAACAAGTAGTTCCATTTATAAAGCTATGCTTCAATTACATATAAGGGGTATATACAGCTCACCATGGTTAAGTACAGTAGAAAATATTTTAAATGACTGTGGATTTTCATATATTTGGAATAGACAAGAGTTTATATCAAGGGATGCATTGAAACATATGGTGAAGAGGAAACTAAAAAATCAATTCCTACAGCAATGGCTATCAGACTTAGATAAATCTAAAACTTCATATTTTACATATTGTAGCATTAAGAACAAATTTATTTTTGAACCCTATTTATGTCAACCAATAAGCACTAGATTATATATAACAAAACTTAGAACTTCAAATCATAATCTTCCTATAGAAACAGGGAGATACATAAAAAGACCAACGTTAGAGAGAGTGTGTACCAAATGTAGCAGACTAGGAGATGAGTACCATTATATTTTAGAATGTAAACTTTTTGAAGATGACAGAAAAATACTTCTAGATAACTACTTCATTAGACAACCAAATATGTTAAAATTTAAAAGTTTGTTGTCAAATATTAAATATTCTGTGCAATTAAGTAAATTGATGAAGATTATTGGTGGTAGTGAATTAAACTAAACTGTATTATCATTGTATGTATATGTACTATTTTATGCTCACAAGTGTGGGTAGAAATAAAGAATAAAAGAAAAAGAAAGTTTCTTGGAAGCCGATGACAATATACAAATAGTGACTGCCATTGAGGGCAATAGTGTAAATTATTTCGCCGAGGGAATATCCTCTACAATGTACTATTCCCGAAGCCGCAGGGGAAATCATTTACACTATTGCTCGAAATTAGGCAGTCACTATTTGTTTTATTATATACCCTATACTGACTCTTGTCCCGTTTGCTCTGCGAAGGCCAAAAGGCTTAGAAAGCCCCCTCCCCGGGTCCATTGTTAGCATTATAAGCTGTGACGTCATCAGATGCTCAACAGAAATTTTTGCCTCTGAGACTCTCACTTGACAAATTCAATCGCATTTAACACGCGGAATAGATTATCATAACACTTGAAATTACACAGACGTATTGAGCTTAGGGAACTTTATACACGTTGCTTATATTGTATCGTTCACGCACGTCTGTCATGGTGAACGGAGTTGATTTGTGTTTGTGCTCATCCTCCATTTTTCTGTTTTTCGTCTGCGCAGTGATAATGCGCAGACGTTTCCAAGGGTAATAGAAGTTGCAATCGTGACGTCAGCGGGCAATAGTTCAAATGTATATTCCCGCTGACGTCACATTTGAGGGAATATAACTTTCCGAGGGAAATAGTAAATCTATTTCGGAACACGTGACTAGGTATTGACCAATCAGGATTAGTGTTACATATTGGGTATATAATAATACTGTTTGGTTGACAAATGTTGATCGCTTGACAAACAGAAACAATATCCACAAAAGTTTAAATGAAATCACAGTCCAAGTTTATTTATTTCTTAAATTATTTTATTCTTCATATTTAATTACGTATTAACATTTTAGAATGTTTACATTCACTCGTAAATGCTAGGGAGCAAGAGAAGTTACTCAAATGATACTGATCTGTTTTTAGATTATATATATCTATGGCGGATGATGACGTTTAGAGTGCTACATAAATTCTCTATCACTCTGCTTTTAAATATATTTTTGATATGTTTGTATCAAACAGACAAAAAGATTGCTAGAATCATCAAAATCACACTTAAATAGGATTGGAGAGTAACACAATGGGAATTAGACAAGCTGAAACCTTTTTATTTTTATTTTATGTCGTTCTCATTTTCAAAGTACCGATATCAAAAGTTTCTGATATCATCAAGCGCTTCTATTAACGGTTGGTGTTAACTTACAGAAACGAGGTTCCACACGGGAGCCGCTTGGCTCACTGCCACTGCTATCTCAGACTTGGCTGGACCGATAAGCATTGTCTTCACCGGTGGTTCGTGGACAAACTCATACAGCGCCTTTATACCAAGACCTGGACTACCCTGCAAATAAAACCAAAAGTGTGACGTTTATCTATTCTTGAACAAACTCATATTTGGCGCCTTTATATCTAAAACTGGTCTCCCCTATATTCACCCCTGATGATAGGAAAAATGAATGAGGGGAAGGGGTAGCCAAATTTCTGCTAGAAGATTTTTTTTAAAGATCGTTTCCTATTGCATTGCTAAATGAATAAGCGTACGGCATGGTAAAATATGTTAAGTCTTCTAGGATTTTTAACCAATACGCTTCTAAGATGTAATTTATTAAAAAAGGCGCAACGTCACCAAAGTGCGAAAGTCAATGCTTTTTTTGCTATAAATCAACCAACATGGGTCTATGATCCTGTAATAAATACTTAAAGGTGACGTTATTATCACAAAAGTAATGTCATTTCTGACTTTTTGAATAAGCTTCCATTCGTTATTTAAAGAATAATCAAAATTTCTAAAATTGAACGGAGTGGAGTGAATCGAACTTGACACACCTTGCCTGCTATGTGTGAATTATTCTTTAATAAACTCATATTTAGCATAAATAATTTCAATAATTCATAACTAAACCTGGCCTCCCTGCAGATAAGCACATTTCGTGACATGTGACTAGTCCTCACGTGAATTTTGTGCTCCGATTTTTCAAAAGGTTTTTGCCACCTGAGTGCTGTCACGATGACATCACTTAGGTTGCAAAATATCTTTGATATGCTAAAACATCGAAGTGGCACATTAGATATGTCATTTAATTATTCCAATAGTGCTTCCTTTTTTCAATCTTTGCATTGGTGTTAGATAATGTTTTTTCACTGTAAAGTGGAATATTTGAAGATAAAATTTTTTATTTTTTATTTGAAAAATGGCGGGAAATTTGAATATCTGAGAAATGAAAAGCTTTTTTTCAATAGATTTCTTTCCAAACATCTCTAAGATAACTTTTAAAGCATGACAAATGATAAAAACATATTTTCAAACTATACATGGGGACCTAATCCGGGAACTGAATTCATTACGATGCTTAAAGAGAAATAAAATATTGCCTGTGAAAATACCTGTCGTTGCCCGGCCGATCAATGAAACAAACGACCCATTTTGCTCCTATGTGAGAGTGTGCATTAGGGATTTGATTTGCCTTGGGAGTTACGATTAATCAAAAAGTTGTCTATTTTACCATTTCATCATCATTTAGTAAATTGCAATTCTAGTTCACATTATTCGTACGAAGGAGCTTTGGGGCAGAAAGTAAGTGCAAGATGTAACACTAAATCTTTTTATGATGTAAAAATGTCCTCGAATCTCAATGAATGTCAAGAACAATCTCAAAAATAGATTGTGTCTCAAAAACATTTTATGAAAATGATTCCCTGGAAACAAAACATTTTCCTTCACATTTACCCGTTAACTGTTTGATATATAAATATCGAAATAGTCCCTATTCATGTGTATCATCGACATTATTAAGATTTGAATTATTTCGAAGGTTATTTTGTCACACTCATTTGCCATAAAGTAAATCTATAAGTGCGAAAACTAGACTACAGCAACGCCAAAGCGTAGCAAATCTCATCGAACAGACATGGCTGGCATTTTTACAAACAAAGTATTTCGGGTTTCACTTGCTCCAACTTGTGTTATAACATGATAATACCTTGGAAGTCGAAGATGAGTGATTTCTTAGGTGGACAAACCGCAATAACCACCCCTTTTTCTAGATAGTCTTGGCTGTGGACAGCGTAATGGATTTCCCAAAGCATACAATTAATGTCCTTGTACCTTTTAGTATTCTCATTCATTCCACTGATATGAGTGTCAAAACAATTAAAGACATTGGGATGTGAGTAATGTAGCAAGCCACTGTCGTTATCAATTTTCTTCGTATTTGATCAGATCTAGCGATCTGGGAAGTAATCATCATAACTGTATTTTTGACAAAAAATGTCTCAATTAGAATGTTTTAGGCTCAAATCATTCTTTGCTACGTCCAATCCCCAGAATGAATCACCAGAATATTTACTTTATTTGAGGAAGACTTTTACAATAATGCATTCATTTTTCTATAATTAATATGGTAACTAAATTTATTATTTGGGAGAACTTGAACCGCTGTTTCCCAATTTTTGCACTTTGAACGTTAAAAACAAGTGTAATATAATCACTGATTTATATGTTTTACGTCTATTAGATATTCGCTCTGAAATTCGCTTTCGAAAACCTTTGCATGTCCATTTACCATAATGAACAAACATTCTAATTACCAATTATAAGGCGTATACATTAGATTAAGACTTACGATTGAAATTAATTGATCGCATGTTTTTGCAATATACATCTCTATTCCCAAGAGGAATGTAGTCAGATAGGAGCCTGTAGTGTATCATTCAGAGTGCCAGACAAAATTTCTTGGCCTTGTACCCAAATAAAGTGGTGACATATTGTTATAACTTTTTATGACGACGGTAGGAGGCAAATGCCGGTGTCACAGTTTTACATGTCCATGCTAAATTATGTCCGTCAGGAAAATACGTCCGTAGTAATTTTTCATATATATTATAGCTTGGAATATATGTCCGACTAGGACAACGTATACTAGGAACGGAGGTCCTACGACTTATTTCCCAAGGGGACTTATACTCCTGTTACACCGGGTGGTGACATTTTGCATGTTAATACGTCAGAAACCAACATATTAGCACTCGAAGCGTGTTTTGAAAATTTGAAACTTCCATTGAAGTGTCTGTTCATTTGACCAATCAGCGACGATGTCTCAAGACGGATTTACATTATAGACGTATGTCATATCTGACCCCTGGGATTATTCCTCTTTGTCAATGCATTAGCAGGTCTCTTCTAAATACACCTATAGGATTTCATTAAAAGTAAAGCTCACTATTAAGAAGGATGGCTTGCCTCAAGTTTTTCTATTTCTTAGCCCCGTGTTATTGATCTCTTTTGTTTATAATAACACAACAGGAGTAGTCAAGAACCATCGGAGATTTAGGCAAAGAGAATGCAAGACAAGACAGAGTAACACAACTGCAAGCAACATTTGCATTAAAAATATGGTGTGTATATCTAAAATGGAAATCTCAATGGTCAATTGTTCCAAAGTAATAAAAGATCAAGTGGATATCAAAATTATCCCGTGATTATGTCAATATTAATGTTGTAATAACCAACGTATATTGATGCCATATCGGTAGCTAGTTTGTAGTTTCACGCATATTATTAGTGGCTAGCTTCCTGGCGCCGATACTGATACTGTGATAGCAACTAGTTGATGAAAATAAAATTAGTATATAGATCATCGCACTTTCTATTCCCTGAGGAATTCAAGGACTAATTGTTTTTTAAATTGGACCTGGACAATAATGGCACGACACTGAATGACATGACAAAGCAATATATCTTCGAAATGGTCGCTCTCCATCCGGCTTTAAAGTACCAAAGAGGGCTTATTGTTGTAACATATAGATTTTTTACACAAAACACCTGTCATCAAGTGATTATCCTAGTAATATAGGAAATTGCTTACATGATAGTATTGTTTTTTCTTTTAGAAGGTCCCTGTTTTCAACAATACTGAAACTTCAATAATTCCAATGCCACATTTGAAAAGGCGTCTTACTTCCGTTTTCAAAAGAAACCCGCCCCATTGGAGCGAGGAGATTCAAATCATCATTGGCTAATTATTTGATGCATTTCTCTAAATTGTCGATTTTAATTAGTAAATGAATTAGAAATGGTGTTTAATCGTGACACAAAGTGCCTGACATTCAGCTCTCAACAAAACGATGGACTTATTGTTCAAAAAGAGAACTTGCAATTTCGTATTATTAAAATCAAGATTTTCTGACATTTAAGTACAGGGTGTCCAAAAAACAGGACTGTAATAAAGTTAAAATTACTGAAAGTTTGATGATGATCTGTCAATTGTGTCAAAAACTACAGTACTTTCAAAACAAGCTCAAAGTGGGCACTTCTCCTCTCTATACACAAACGAATACTGTGAACCAAGTTGTAAATTACCCTGACCTATACACATTAATGTGGATGGTACATATTGGGGTAGTTATTGCCCTCTTAAGATTGTTAGGGGCCTTCAGTATACACATTGGCTTTGAGAAATCCCCAAAAACAAAAATCTGGGGGATTTAGATCTGGAATGAGCTGCCCATATGGTTTGCGTTCTGCAACTGATGAGCTGACCACCAAAGCATCGCTTAAAACCCTAGCTTTCAGCATATCATTTGCAGTGTTAGGGTGGTATTGGCTTGTTGAAACCACTGCTTATTTCCTTAGATGTCCCTTCTAGTGACCTCCAAAACTTAGCGAGAACTTACTGGTCCTTGTTCATGGTGAAAGCACGTCCCAAGTCACCTTCGAACCAAAAAAGACTGACAATTCCATGTTTCCTCATTGCCACCCAGGCAATGCATTGTTCAGAATGCAAACAACTTTGTTCGCCGGACTGAACTGTGCAGAGAGGAGAGTGCACACTTGGGGCATGTATTGTAAGGAACTGTATATTTTGACTCAAATGGCAGATTATTATCAAACTTTCACAACAAAATTTACATTGAATGAACTAAATAATTCTGAAAGGATAGGTATCGATATGGTGAACTGAATTCAACAATGTTTTACTCTTAAACCAATTATTGAAAACATTCTGTAAAAAACACTGTCCTTTATGTAATTGGCAACAATTTAATGCAAAAATTATTTATATAAATATTTTATATAACTGTTTTGGTTAACATTTTTTTTTGTTTTTTTAGTGCAATTGTTTTTTGTTCCTTTCTACCAATTCTTGAGAATGAAAAAAAAAGTCTTTCCGAACCTTGCTGGAACAAAAGAGCATATACAACATTTTCTTAGACCTCTCAATATTATAGTTATACAAAGAAAATTTTGGTTGATTTTACAATAAGTATGCAAATACTTAAAACAAAACCCCCCAAAATAGATAAAAATTAAGTTCAACCTTTTATTTCATTAACAAGATACTTTTTTTAAATCAACCGAACTTTCCTTTGTACAATTACAATATTGAGAGACCTAAACACGTTGTGTTTATGTCGTTTTTGTTCCAATGAGGTTCGGATAGATGTTTCATTTCATTCCGAACATATGATACCAAGAACAAAGGAAGTGTCTCATGTGTTTTCTAAAACAATAAAGAGAAATGTATATAAATATAATTCAAATTATAATGTAACCATCCAAAAGATGAGCATTAAATTGACGATGTGTAAAATTTTCAGAATGTTTTGATGACTGGTTTTAGAGAAACGCGTGTTCAAAAAGTTCTCTACTCCTTTCAAGGCAAAATTGAGTTATTCAACTTTCTTGCGGTCCTGTTTTTTGGACACCCGGTATTATGAGGCACATAAATCTAAAGGGAACGATCAAGTCGTAATGCAAAACAAAGTTTGGAAGCTTTGTGTGAATGGTATGACGATTGAATCTTGAGAGCTTTCATGTAATTTATAGTTTGAGGATGAAAACACCATTCTGTATCTCCATAAATAAATGAAATCTAAATCCGTGGTGAACTGATTAATTTTGTACATCAATTGAAACTCTCTTATCAAAACAAGTATGTTATGCAGACACGTTCTCTTTCAAATAGCGAATAGTATCACAACCTGAGGTCGAATTGCATCACACTCGTACATAATTTAAGGGTATTCGGGCGCTGAACTCTGCTCGATGAAAATGGTAAATAAAATTTACCCAATTTAACCATCTTGAATATTTAATACATCCATACTGGTTCTAATTCCAGAATATTATAAATATCAGATTTGTAGAAAGAGAGAGCACGTGTTCAATATTTGGAATAAGTTAGGAATTTTCGGAAATTTGAAATGGTATCATAATCGTCAAGGAATAATACTAGATAAAGAAAACAACCCCTCCTAATATAGTTCCTTGTGGATATCGAAAAGTTTTTCCATTTGAATACAACTTCAATCAAGTCTCAAAGCTCGCCTTATTTCAATATATATTTTAATATAGAAATATTTTCAACATGGAGGATAATTCGAATACTGTATGTCTTGTGAAAATAAGGAAATTGAACTTATAGCAGAATTGATTCATTAATGTAATATTACATACGAGAGAAAAACAATGGACGAGTATCACAGTCACCATTGATATTTATAGGATATCCTATGATTTCGAGGAATATCATTTTTATCTACGAGGTGATATTGATATCTGCACGAGAGAGCAAAGCGAACGAGTGCATATATTAATATCACCGAGTAGATTAAAATGACATTCTAAAAAAATAGGATGTTCTTATTATCCTACACTGACAAGGAGTGTACTAAATGTATAATATCGTTGGAAATGAATTTCATGCCAAATAGAGTCAATTTGGCGGTAAATCAACAAGCGGAGTATATCATCACAATATCCTCTGCATATTGGGTTTTCCAGAGTATATCGTCACGATGTCCTCCGCATATTGGTTTTTCGGAGTATATCGTGGCGATATTCTCCTGCCATTCATTTGACCAATAGATATCAAATTTATTTTTTAATGTTATTATACATTTAGCACACTAAGTGTAGGATAAGTTAAAATATCTATTTAATTTTCATGAAATATTATGTGTGTTATACCGTTTTCAATTTTGCTTTGCATACATATAACCCATTATGTGTATGTGTAATACGTGTACGTGTAATAAAGTTAATAAATCTAAACCCAACACAATGACGACTATGATGAACACGATGTTTCGCGCTAAATGTCGATGTGTCGCCATCGCCAAGCATTTTTTCATGATGTCTGGCGCTACTATAGCAAGTAAAATTGAAATTCGTATTTCTGATGATGTGTTTTTTGAATCTGAATGCGTGAAAATTGCCAATAGTCGGTTTGTTTCATTTGGTTATTCTTTCCAAATAGCTAGTGGTGATTACTTTTACAAGAAGAGTTATTTTGGACAGCTTCATGGTATTTCTCCGATTCCATGTTTCCATATAAGGGAATCCCTGCAAAGCTTACACGGATTTCGACTCCGAAAAATACATCTTTTGAGAACATGTCTCATTATTTCCTTTAAAGCCATTTAAAATAATTACGGAACATTGATGAAAATGACAAGAAGACGAGTAACGTTAAAGCATATAAAAATACGTTAAGCATATTATACAACTTAGTTGTTTGGATTCAGCGTATTTTCAAGTGCAAATTAATTATTGTATGATATTTCCAATAACAAAATCAATCATTCGATTAATCTTAAGTACCTGCATATCAGATATTATTAGGGAAAAGAAAATTAAATGTTAAGAATACCTGACTGTCCTTCATATGTAGCTGAAGATCATAGTTGGGCAGAATCCATGTTGCGTTGTTTATGTCCTCAAACGCGCTCTGGATAACATAGGGGAACGTCTTAGCGTGAAACCACCAGTGGTTTGACATTATACAAATACCTCCGATGTGAATTGTTTTCTTTGATTCGCATTGTCTTGCTAAACTTACAAAAAGTATGTAAATTATTGTTTGTAATTTTTTAAAAGTTTGTGTTAATTCCATTTTTACTTTGTTGTGTCAGCAACGTAGGCGTCTCAAAGCTCAACTAAAACAGCAGTTCTGATATCAACTAGTGTTCATTTAAATATCAGAACCCTTCTCATCTTAAACAGCGCAACTCATTTCTTGTCATATATTCTTGCAGCATTAAATTATGAAATAATCCCATAGAAAAGAGATGATGCGAAGCACTTGATGTTTCATGCTATTTTTAATAAACAGATGACAGTAGAGGCTTTATATACAAAGTATAAGGTGATGTAATTACGAATCAATACTACGACGGGATTTCCTATCTACTCGCAGTTGCAGATAACTCGCATGACCCCTGTGTTACGCATTTCTGCTGGTACGCATTATCTGGGCGTTACGCAAAATTTGATAATATATTCCATGTCGGATGGCACCAACTGCTTGATTGCACAAACTTCCTGATGATATGCTATTTTACGATGCTTGATTGCACACATTGTTTAAAAACACACACATTGCTTGATTGCACACATCGTCTGGTGGTACATGTACATACTGTCTGATCTGATGATACGCACAGTCTGATGATACGCACTCTCTGATGATATGCATTGTCTGATGATACGCACTCTGATAATAACATTCTCATATGAAAGTATATTAGTCCGGTGGCCAAGAAGGAAGGGGTCGTTTTAGGGTATAAAGTTTTTTTCTTTGCATATTCTGATAGTACTTGACATTCTTAAGTAAATTAAACAATCTGCAAAATTTTATAGGTTGAGCATTTTTTTCTGCTGACTCAGCAAATTTTTTACTTTATTTTTCAATTATTCTAATTTATCTCACTGAAAAATATATTGTGAGGTTATAATAAGCACTTATTTAACACAGACCTCTTCAAAACTCGACAAATGCATAAAATTATAATGTCTTAAAAAGTGCTGAGTCATCATTTTTTCTAATAATTGTTTTTTTGCAGATTTATATCGATAATCTTAGAAAATCCAAGCTTTAAGATCAATATTTCACAAACTAATGCATTTGTAGGCAAAGGCAAATTGCTTTCAATTGGTTATTATCCCAGACATAGAGTGAAGTTCTCCACCCATTCGTCTGTTATCAAGATGGCCACCACTTTAAAAATGACGGGACTATTTCGCGAAAATAACAAGTCTTTCTTTTTAAACCAAAGTACTGAATATTTTTTTAAATGTTTGTAGTATATTCACAACATCCATCTTTTCCCCATATATTCTATGTTTTTCACCCTGACCCCCCCCCCGGGCTGAGTATAGGAGGAAGGGGGTGAGGAAAAAGAAATTTTCATTAATTTTGAGATCTTTCTGAAGTGTAGCTTTATTATACTCAAATGAAAGGCAATTTAGAGTGGATTGCAAATATTGTATCATTTTTCTGATTCAGGCCTCGAAAAATTCAAAATGGCTGCCTAATGTAGGATTACACAATAATTTCCTGATCCATTCAAAGTATGTCTATATGGCCGAGAGGGCTTGAGCGCCAGCGCGTTCAAACTAGGCAATTAGGTGCTGTAACCACGAGTTTGAGACGCGTGTGCTCCTTGTGTTTATTCATTTATACTCAAATTGAAGTAGATAACAATCATTGTATTGTTTCTAGAGTAGAAATTCGCTATTACTCAGAGATTTCTTCAAAGTAAGGCTATATTATACTATATTTAAGAAATATAGACTGAAGAGCAGGTGTTATATCGACGATTACACCATGCAGGGCTAGGTACAAATGTTTTATGTACCCCGAACGACTGAAGGGAGTGAAGTGTTCGAAAGCTTTTGTGCCTAGCTCTATCATATGGGGTGTACGTATCCTAGCTTATTAGATATGGCATTGCATGCTCTGAATATTTAGATTTTAAGTCAAGACACAATACTTTAGTGATCAAACTGTTAGGTCAAGGTTATACTTGTAAAAAGTTTAAGAAATACTTTCTGGTCTTTGCTGAAAAATACAAGTCATTAATTTCGAAGTTTCAAGTTTTACCACTTGAGATGCTGAATGATGTAGGAATTGTTTAAGAAATTGGCACTGAACTCACAATTTTTTCACTTGGCACCTTTTGAGGTGGATCCCAGCACTGGCATTAATGGTTGAGAAATAGGGATCGAATGATGACCTGATGACCATTGTGAATTATTGTGTTTTATGGATTATGGCGATGGCTTTTGCGAATGGATGTTGACCCTTTGAAACGCCTATGGACTTGGAGACTGGATTTTATCTATCCCACATCATTTGAGACTGTATGCTCTATCTTATATGAGTACTTGTATCTACAACTATTTTTGATGTTATCACGCGTGGTTATGAGTATTGGATATCAATTTCTAATTTTTTCTTCAACATGTATTGTAATGACTTCAGTATGAATGAAATGTCCCTTGGTGTTCTAGTCTTGGATTGTGATATTGGTTCTTGAATGGCGGGGGAAAGACATGGTTTCTTTTCATGTTAGATCATGGTTTTGGGATATATGGGGTTTGTTTTTCTTGACTGGTATGCACTTAGAGTTTGCTTTTTCTTGCTAAGTTCCATTACAACTTTTGGTCCTTTCCCTTTGGCACTCGTGCTTAGATATCTAAAGGGTGTATTTGTCGATATTACACATTATTCGTATTTCCAGGGGTAGTGTTGAGGAATATACCCCAGGTGAAATTCTGATATATCTGTAATGTATGCCTTTTAATATCTGTCAATTTGATCAAGGGTAGAGTAGATGGTAAATAATCACATCATGCCATATACAGATTCATGAATATATTGTAGTGTTCGTTGGGATTTGCTACTCCGTGGAGTTGTCGTTTTCTAGTTAGATTTACTATTATATAATCAACACTGTCGCTGTACTGCTATACAGTCATTTTCTCCTGAAGCGCGCCATCCAGCCATCCACATTTATGGGCTTCAAGACTTCTGATGAGAAACACTGTATGTCTTCTGGTAAAGCTCCTAAGTAATAATTCTCAACTTTTTCTCAATAAAATTGTGTTGATTCAAGGGTGGATGGATTGGGACAATCTGCATATTTCAAGTTTTCCAATGAGCCCCCTTGAAATTTCTGCAATCTGCAAATGCCTTAATTGTTGGGGGTAGGGTTCGAACTTCAGTGCTGTTGTAGATTGTTTTAAGCGCTTTATATCCACCACTGCCCTCCCAGGTGATTTTGGCTGCATGGTGAACTGATCCTGCAACTGATGGTTGTGGTTATGGTGCACAAGAAGAATACGCTATATATATATCATATGATCATATTTATGATATGATCTATGTAAAATTGTATATTCCATGCAATATTCATTTGTAAGATGTTTAGCTTTAATCAGCATTGTGCTAGGGTCGGATGGTTTCATGTCAGCCAATGGCTAGTACTTTGTTAAGGTGGCAGGCTTAACTGATTTCTCTTTCATTGTAGTCAATCTGGTAAAGAATCCTCCATACTTGGGGATTTAATAGCTCAATATTCTTTTTAGTTGTACTGCCAATATCACCAATGTATGGGTTGACTTCCATCCATTCCAAAAGGACATGTTTGCTCCAAAATTGTTTAAAATTATCTGTATCAATCTAGATACAACAGCAGAAGCCTTGAACTCCAGCAGTATAGTCCCAAGCGATATTTGTAGAGGTAAATAATTGTTGATAACTAAGTTGGTGATTCAGTAATCTCTTAGAGGGGAAAGATCACAATTGTTATTTTTCACACCTCTATGAAAAATGGAATGTTAGTATAGTCACATTTTCGTTTGTATGACATTTTTTGACAAATTAGTTTAAAAAGCATCATATTTTGTATCACATGATGACTTTATAAATTGAGGTACATTGAATATAATTGCATGTGCTTCTATCAAAATATGTACTATAGGTATTATCTTTTAACAAAGTTTTTTTTATTGTAATACTATGTAATCAATCTCAAACTAGATATCAGCAACTCAAACAGATATTAAGACATACATACATTAGAGATATATAAGAAGTTTTACAGATTTAAGCATATGAGTGACCATTAAGGGGTTTCAAAGGTATAAATCATCAAGACAATACTATTTGAAATCTAATATAGTATCATGTAACACTACTTTGAAAAGATCTTTAAGTAATACAGAATTCCTGCTCTATGCAGCCATTTTGAATCTTAAGGCATGAATTAGGAAAAACAATACTATAACAGTGACCTGCTCTCACATTCCTTCAAATTGAATATAAAATACGCATACTTTGAAGATCACAAAATTATTGCGAAATCCAACACTAGGCGGCCATTTTGAATTTCAGGAGGCCCGAATCAGAAAAATGATACAATATTTGCAATCTACTCTTAATTACCTTTCATTTGAGTATAATAAAGCTATACTTCAGAAAGATCTCAAAATTCCTGTTTTCCCGACCCCTCCCCCATTCACGGCCCCTGGGGGTCAGGCTGAAAACACGCAATGTATGTTAAATTAAACCTTTGTTCTCTCTATCTCTCCAAAACACATATTTCTCAGTGGTCTAATAATTTTTAATGACTGTTAACATGTTATAACTTTCAAAGTGCCACGCCCCCTTTGAAATTAATTACATAATTATATCGTGCGATTAAAAAAAATGCTCAACATATATGATTTTGCAGATTATTTCATTTTAAAGAATACATGTGTAGCAATAGAAAAATGCACAGAAAAAAACTTTATACCTTAAAACGACCTTTAGCCTGTCAGAGGTATTTGGCAACCGGACTATATGATACGCTCTCTCTGTCGATATGAATTGTTTAATAACACACACATTGCTTGATTGCACACATCGTCTGTTGGTACATACTGTCTGATCTGATAATACGCACAGTCTGATGATACGCACTCTCTGATGATATGCATTGTCTGATGATACGCACTCTGATAAAAACATTCTCATATGAAAGTATATGATACGCTCTCTCTGTCGATATGAATTGTTTAATAACACACACATTGCTTGATTGTACACATCGTCTGTTGGTACATACTGTCTGATCTGATGATACGCACAGTCTGATAATACGCCCTCTCTGATGATATGCATTGTCTGATGATACGCACTCTGATAAAAACATTCTCATATGAAAGTATATGATACGCTCTCTCTGTCGATATGAATTGTTTAATAACACACACATTGCTTGATTGCACACATCGTCTGTTGGTACATACTGTCTGATCTGATGATACGCACAGTCTGATAATACGCCCTCTCTGATGATATGCATTGTCTGATGATACGCACTCTGATAAAAACATTCTCATATGAAAGTATATGATACGCTCTCTCTGTCGATATGAATTGTTTAATAACACACACATTGCTTGATTGCACACATCGTCTGTTGGTACATACTGTGTGATCTGATGATACGCACAGTCTGATGATACGCGCTCTCTGGCGTTAAGCATTGTATAATGATACACACGCTTTTGATAGGCATTGTTTACTGATACACATGCTTGATGATACGCAATGACTGATGATTACGCATTGACTGATGATACAAACTCTGATATGATTCGGGTTGTTTGATGATAATACGCACTCTATTGATAGGCATTGTTTACTGATATGCATGTTTGACGATACGCAATGACTGATGATACACGCAGTCTTATGATATGTACAGTCTAATAATGCGCACTTTGATTTATTGTGATGAGACAGTTCATTATTTTATTTTTTATCAAACGATAACGAAAGATACGATGCCGTGGTCGTCTCCAGTTTGCAATAGATTACTATTTTTTTGTCAACGGAAATTTTCACACTAGTTTAGTACATCCAAGACCTTGAATGTTTGATGATCTATATAAATCAACTTATAGAATGGAAGTATCTCAGGATATGACGTTCCAAAACATCGTTGATGGTCCCATAGCTCATCACATTTAGTCATTATCTTTAATTTCGAACAAAACACTATTTTCATTAATTTCGCCGTGGGGAATTTCTTTGAATTATTTCATTTTGATCGTGTCACTTTTATCTTGGTGCATATGCCATTTTTCCAAATATATGTCTATAGATGTAATTTCTAAGTATTCCCACCAAATGTAGCAAAATTATGTTTGCTAAAAATAGTACAATTACTATTTTTGAAAAATTATAGTAGCGGTCTATTTTATAATTTCGTATTTGACTTAGTAAAATCAATTTATACAATACCATTAAAAACGCGATATAGTGAAATGATAACAATTTGTGAATCGTGGAAAACTTTTTCCATGAAAAAAAGAAAAATGGCAATCACAAGTGGTTCTATTTTCCATTAAATACTGGTTGTTTTAATATCAATAAAACAGCTTGACATTAGGCCTTTATGGATATCTCGAGGATTTTCCTATACTGTGTATCCTATATCTAAAATTTGCCTGTCATGTGTCATCAATCCTGAAAATGTCATTCCATCAAGAATATTAATATATGACGTCAATGACTCAATACTAATGAAGTAATGAAGTAATGACCATGATATTGACCCGCTTTGATAAATTAGCGAGGAAAATGGGGTTTATTAATTTGGCTATTCTATGTTCTAATAAATAAATTAGCGATGTTAATGGGGCTTATTAATTTGGCTATTCTATGCTCTAATAAATAAATTAGCGATGTTAATGGGGCTTATTAATTTGGCTATTCTATGCTCTAATAAATAAATTAGCGATGTTAATGGGGCTTATTAATTTGGCTATTCTATGCTCTAATAAATAAATTAGCGATGACAATGGGGCTTATTAATTTGGTTATTCAATGTTCTAATTTGATATAGATCCCTATTTAGAAATAAGTACTCTCATATCTCATTGATCCAAATAGAATGATTAACGTTAAAAATTGGCATTTCCCATCCATACTAGGCTATCTGACGTCAACATTGATGGCCATGATATTCGATCCGATAAATTCATGAGGACAATTGGGTTTATTAATTTGGCTATTCTATGTTCTAATTTAATAAAAATCCAATTTCAATTCAATTTCTCTATCTAATAATTTCTCATATACACTATAAAATACACTATAAAATCATGCCGCTAGACGCCCATGGGCATATGTTGCGGTGGTGTAACAGAATAGTTTTTATATAGAGATTTCAATATTATCTGGTAGAGCATTCGAAAGATTATATAACGAAATGAAAGTTGTGAGCATTTAGGAATATGAAATTGATTGAGCTGCCGTGTGTAATGACGACGAAGATGAATGTGCATATCGAACATGTATTGAAAAAGTCTTTTGAAAGACAAGGGTGCTTATTTATACATGAAGTGCAGTAGAATATCTGTTGACATCAAAATTCTTCCCTTATTCAAAGAGCCGTAAGAATTGCTTCTGATCTCTGATCATATTAATTTTCACTTTTGATGATGGGTGAGTAGTAAATTGTTTTGAAACTGTCTGTTTGATAAAATGTTAAATGTGATAAAGAGAACCAAAACTCGGGAAATCCTTGTTTCAACAGATTATATGTGCTCTTTAAATTTCAGGTTTTTATCGATAATAATTCCAAGAAAGTCAATATTCCCGGATTTTTTGTTCTTATTACATTTTTCTCTTATGTTCCTATTTTGAGTTTTTTGTTCTCATATCTCATTGATCCAAATAGAATGATATACATAAAAAATTGTCATTTTCCATCAAGAATATATGACGTCAATACCATAATGACCATGACATTTGATCCGATTTAATAAATTAGCAAGGACAATGGGGTTTATTAATCTGGATATTCTATGTTCTAATTTGATATGAATTCCTATTTGGAAATGTTCTCATATCTCATTGATACAAATAGAATGATTAACATTAAAACATTAATCCCTTGACATATCGACCAAAAGTGTTTGCCCATCCGATTAAAAGCAAAGTGCAATGAGCTCATCACTGCCCACAACAGTATGATGCTGACAGTAGTTAGTTTTATCCAAAATGGCGGACGATAACTGTATACATTCGATTTTAGCTATACCAAGTATCTAATTGCTATATATTCACCATGCAAGATAATAACGTTTCGATTGTAATCAACTACAAATACGCCCATAGAACATCTCCGAAATATAAGGAAAGAATCAAACAAGATCATACCCTGCGTGCAGAGTCCAGTTAAACGAAGCTCTCTTGTAAGAAGTGAAGTCAAACGAATGCAAAGGGTAACAAAATCATGGGACTCATGAGATCCGGAGATGTTTTTTCACAAAATCGATAAAAACGATCGATTTTGGGCAAGTAGTATTTTTGTAAAAAATTAAAGATATCAGACGTTGAACATCAAGAGTTGGATACAAACACAGTATATAGTTTGATAGAATAAATGGATTAGGTAACTCTTTACGGTGAAAATGAAGATCTACCTGCAAATCGGAGTAATGGCGCTGTTCGTAATGTGCTTAGAAGGAGAGATATTTACATCACTTTATCAGTTAGAGATACTACTGCAACAAGAAAGAGAAATGTTTGCTGCTTTGAACAAAACAATAGACGAACAATCAAACAAGATTGCAACATTGAAAAGGTACGGATGCAATTGATTTGACCAATGCGCTATCTCTAATTGCGTAAAACTATTTGTAAAAGGTCACAGCCTAGAGCTGGATGTTTCACGGCTGTATTAATTTTTCTTTTATGTTTCCCAATATGGAACGTTTCTGATATAATTTGGTCGAGTATGAAGTTTTCTTGTTAATAAGCCACGACGGTCGAGGCTTGTCAGCACCAACCAAGGCCATATGACCTTGAACGGATTCTTCGTAGGAATCATGCATCACATGTTTAGGCTTTAGTTTGACAGCTTACGTTATAACAGATATAGAATTTGGCTTTCAATGTTCATCAAAGAAAAACATTTAATTGGGGCCCATTTAATATCTGTCTGGATCTAAATTTTGATTAATAATATTCTTAGTATTTTACCTTTAAGGTTACAAGCTGCCATTCGAGATGTAACGTTATTAGATAAGGCGTTTCAAGGGTTGACATTAGAAAATGTAGTTCCAGATGATGAACCATTGGTAGATGAAAAACATAACGTTATAGATGAACTTCATCTGATCCGCAGGTTCGAGACATTATGGAAAGATGTGTTCAGGGCTATCAGCAAATCTAATCAAGTGCAACAAGGTAAGAGGCTATAAACATGCCTGATCAAATCTAGGGTAACGAGGAAATATAAAAAGGGTTATCGACACATTCAATTATGTACAACAATGATTAAATGTAGCGTCGATATTACCAGCTAGGTTTTCCTTTTATGACACCTATTATGGGGACTCCACAGGCAAGGCAGGGGGTTGAAACAGTATATAGGGGATAATCAACAGGTGTTTCAGGTCATGTGATTATGCATGCTTCTACAAGTATGTACCTTTATACCCGGTGTGAAAGAAATGATGGTCCCCCGGGGATTATGGTCCCCTTTCTTAATTGCCCTTACTGGCCCTGATTGTGTATAAGATAATGAGGGAAAGAGTTGTATTTAGGTCACCATATAAATCAATGGAGAGTAGGACCATGATTTGAAAGGACCTCCTACCCTTTTACACCTGGCCTCGACAGCAGAAAAAGAACAAATGATCAAAATCACTAATCAGTGGCGTCCTCTTTATAATACTAAAAAATACATACAGGGTGGTCCAAAAAAAGTGAACCCCTGCAACAGGCTATATTTTCCTTAATCTTTGCATGAATAGACTCATATTATCACATGATGTAGAGAAAGGTCTAACATTTTGGTTGATGCCATAATCTAATCTCAGTTTTAAATTTTAAAGAAATTACAAGAGTTTAGCAAACATACCTGAAAATTAGATATTGTGCAAAATGTTACCAATGTGATTCACAGAAATTGTTGAAACACATTGGATGATCCTAAACAGCTTTCAGTTAGAGATACAAGTTTAAAACCATACCATATGACAAAAGGGGCATTTTTAAAGCAGAAAACACATTTCACACTTTCCTTGATCATTTTGAAGCAGTTTAAACCGTTCAACAGTTCAGGGGTATGTTACCTACACCAACAGTTAGAGGAGGGCCTTTTGTGGAAGGAAGTTGCCCCCTGTGACCAGGAATCTGAGAAGCCCTTCATCAAATATCTTTGAAAAATCAAAAGAAAATCCAATATTCAATGTTTTGAGCCATATTTCATTAGAATCGGTCCCTGATTTATGAAGATATTGATATTTCAAGATTTCACTGGAAAATGTTATCGCCTATGGAAGCTTAGAACATTTCTTTGGATCACAAGAACTTTGCAACTAACAAAGGTAGAATGCTAGTTTTAAGCCATAATGTGCGGGATTCAAGGTTGAACAAAGTGAGAAAATATTAGTTCTTTAAGACTGCAGCTTAAAAATGCCAGGAGAAGGGTGTTGAAGGGTTGAAGAATCACGGATATTGAAAATCACATTTTATCCATTTTCAGTAATATTTGGTTGGGGCTTATAATTTCTGGAAATTTCAAGACTAAGAAAAATGTATGGTGCCAACATAAATTTTAGACCTTCCTCTACAACATGCGAAAATATAAAATAATTCCTGCATGTAATAAGGGAAATATGGCCCGTTGCAGGGGTTCACTTTTTTTGGACCACCCTGTATATGATTAAATCGTGTATGATTCAGTTGTTTGAATCTATGTTCCCAATTATTTAAGCGACCCATTTACTATCCTTTTTGAATATGCTGTAATTGGGCGAATGTCAACATTAATTTCTAGATTTCACATCAAGTATGGGGGGTTTTATGGAAAGTCCAGACTCTCCAAATGTTGTCGACTACATAGGAGCTGTCGGATCTTTGATTAAAATCCAAGAATCGTTTGCTATAAACATTACATCTATGTCTCGTGGTGACATACTTGGGAAAATGTCAAGAACGCCTCTGACAAAAGGGGACTGCATGGCAATTGGTAATGTTAAAGCATTGCAAGGCGTCTCTAAAAACATTTGGTTTGAAGTTGCGTCACGCCAAACAACATCCACACTCGATGGTTTTTGTGATAATCTGAATGTCCCTATAAATAAGCCTAGACGACCAACTGCTATAAAACATAAATCACAAACACAGAATCATGCTGCAGACACATCGACTATTGCAGCAGATGCTCAGACTCACGTCTTTTCTCTATGTAGGGGAGAGACGCAACAAGTAAGCAAGAAATGACCAACCTTATGTTCACGTTTTCACGAGTCTTAAAGACTGCCACCAATTGATCAAGCGATAGAAAGGAAACATTAATTATATCCATCTTCTCCTTTATATTGTTTCATTTGGTTATTGAATTTAGAGCACAAGCGTGAGATCCAAGCTGACGTGCCACTACAGGCGGACCTTGATTCCCTACAAGCGTTGGAAGGAGGAAGTCTTGAACTTTGATCCATGGGTTGCCCAACTCCATGATTTTATGAGAGATGAGGAGAGTGACTTCTTCATGCAGGAATCTAAAAAGACGGTACATGATCAAAACTATATAACAACAAGAATAGCTAAGACAAGCGCACAGTCCCGTCGGTGGGGCTAGGGTTGGGGAACATGCTGAGAACCTAGTTCAGAAGTGAGACATTCATTCCTTAAAGTCTGATTTCCTCAAAACTGTTTTTTGTACACAAATTGAAATGATTATGAAACTAAAAGTTATGATGAACATGTGAGAAACAAACACTTCTTGAGAGAAATGAAAATCAAGTAGTTAGGAACATCTTCCAATGGGAGTTTAATCTTACACGATCGATGATACACGATGATACTCTCAGTAGTACCAAAACAGATGCCCAGCGATAAACACTTAAATGAAACAGAGATCGAGAGCTTAAAAACTTTTTCCGAATAAACGTCTCGACGGACGAAAAGACACTCTCACAACATGTCAGAATCTTCGCATATGATAATGTTAAAATAAAAATGGGTCGTCTTACATTCATATCTATTATTATCATCAAAGCATACAAAGTAACTTGTCGGTTTATACCAAGGATGAAAAGATTTTCTTTAACCGGGTCATATCTAGGATAAATCAAGATTATTTTCATCCTTGTCTTGGATGAAATAAGATTTTGCTCATCATTTCAGTTGGTGCCAAGTGTCGCAGGTCGAGTGGTAGACGGTGTCAAGTATGGGACAACTGGTTATGTACGAGTTGGGAAAGTGTGAGTCACATTTCACCAATAGATTTAAAGTTCGATATTTGTTTCATGGCTTACGAGGCTATAAATTGTATTTAGTCCCTGGTAACACAGCCTGTGTGTTTCCTTACTCAAATGTTAAGTGAGGACCATCTTACTTTATTTTACTATATTTAAAAAATCCCAATCCTATTAATAGTACTAATTATAAGACATATAAAAATATTCTCACAACTCTAATACGGAATGCAGAAAAAACATATTTTAAACAAAAAATTGATGAATGCAAAGGGGATGTTAAAAAAACCTGGTCAATATCAAACAAGATTTTAAAAAGAAAACATAATAAATCACAGGATGTTCCATTATTTCAAGTTGATGGTAATAAAATTACGGACAATCAAGGTATAGCTGAAAGATTTAATGACTTTTTTGCAAATGTTGGGAGAAATCTAGCAAATAAAATTAAACCTAATAAATCTTTTAGGGCTTTTATGTTAAACAATGACAGTGCTAACTCCTCAATTTTCTTAAGACCAATCTCAGAGGAAGAAATAGTAAATATAATATCTGAACTTAAGAATGGTTCACCTGGACTTGATCAAATCAAACCAGTTATATTGAAAGAAAATAAGCTTGCTCTAGGAAATATTCTGACTTACTTATGTAATATATCACTTAAAACTGGAGTTTTCCCAGACACCTTAAAAACTGCCAAAGTTACTCCTGTATATAAAAAGGGCTCTGTTCACCTTTTCACTAATTATAGACCAATCTCACTTCTTAGTGTTTTCTCTAAAGTATTCGAGAAATTTATGCATAAAAAAGTCACACTATTTTTGGATAAATTCACATTATTAAGTAAAGATCAATTTGGTTTCAGAAAAAACTTATCAACCTATATGGCAATTCTCACCTTTTTAGAATCACTTCGAGATTCGCTTAATAATAATAAATTTTGTATCGGTCTTTTTCTTGACTTATCAAAAGCTTTTGATACGGTTGATCACGCTATTTTGCTGGAGAAGCTTCATTATTATGGAATTCGTGGTGTTGCAAACTCTTGGTTTAAATCTTACTTAACAGATAGAAAACAAATTACACAATATAAAGACCATGTGTCAACCCCAACAACTATTTCATGTGGAGTACCCCAAGGGTCTATCCTAGGACCCCTACTTTTTATTATTTATATAAACGACCTCAGTTTTACTTCTTCTATATTGAAGTTTGTACTTTTTGCAGATGACACCAGTATTTTACATTCAAATGAGTCGAAAGAAGAACTCATATCTGTTGCAAATAATGAACTTAAAAAAGTCAATGACTGGTTCATGGCTAACAAGTTATCACTTAATATTGAAAAGACTAATTTTTTATTCTTTTCACCTAAAAGAGGAACATATACCCTGAAGAAATCAAGATAAAAATTGATGACAAAAATATTACAAGGAAGGATAACATTAATTTTCTCGGTGTCCTAATCGATGACAAACTAAATTGGAAACTTCACACTCAAAAACTAAAAGGGAAAATAGCTAAAATTATACACATATTATATACTTCTAAGCACTTACTTGACAACTGTTCGAAAATGAAAATTTATAATGCTCTTATTCATTCAGGGCTTGATTACTGTAATATAATTTGGGTTAATGCTGATAAAAAACTCCTCAAGCCTCTGCATATACTCCAGAAGAAATTTGCAAGGTTAATAACAAATTCTAGTAAGTTAGCGCATGCTGCCCCTTTATTGAAAGATCTTAGAATCTTAAATATTTATGACATATTTAACTTGAATGTTGCCAACTTTGCATACCAAAATATGAATAAACCTGACAAGTTCCCATATCACCTTTTTAATCAATTCTATTCCACAAATGCTGATACAACATGACCATGAAACTAGAAATAAAGACCGTATACGTTCATATATGTTTAAAAACAAATTTGGTGAAAAGTCAATAAAGTAGAACTATCAAGAGTTTGGAATGGAGTAAATGAAAACATCATTATGTCTTCTACTTTATCTTTGTTTAAATCGTCTTTGAAATCACTTCTCCTCTCCACCTACATCTAATATCAAATATCATGTCATGGTTCATCTTGTTCATGTTTCATTGCTAACCTAGTGATCCTTATCATCAAAGAATGTGCTCTTGCTATATATACACTACAATGTAATATGTAATGTGGTGTAAACTGCACAGTATACGCCCAGCGTCTTGTGCAAAGCTTGTTATTCAAATTGTAATAATTATAATATGAAAATAAATATAACATAACATAACATTACATTACATAACATAACATAACATAACATAACATAACATAACATAACATAACATACTTTGACGTCTAAGCATTGTCACGAAGCAATGTAACAGCAAGCAAGTAATAGAGACTATAAAATGTTGAAAGCAGTGTTTTAAGAAGCATTTTATTTTGTCCAAATTCAATTAGTAATAGCCTATGGAAAAAGGAGACGTCCATTCATTCTCAAGTTTTGGGTATTTCAACTAAAAGGTTTAACACAAAATACAGTCAGATCTGTTGAACCTTTCAGAAAAAGTCATGACATCGAACGTCATGAGCAGAGAATATCATCCATCACACAGTACACCCCTGATGAATATCACAGTCCAGGTTTACGTCGTCCCTGGCAATAATACGCACTTCCTGTTCCTTTTCTATGACAGAGCTTGGTTTTTGGACAACCACACAGACCCGACAGTTGGATTGATCAGCAGGAGGATAGAAGAGTTGACAACATTTGACACCAAGTGGAGGGAGACAGGACCCTCCGGTGCCGAACCATTTCAGGTATATGTATTATAAATGAACACGAATGAAACATGAACATGAATGTTGCATAACTTTTTGATCTAGTAATGCTCATAAAAGTGCATCTAGTTGAGTTAGTCATCTGTTGCGGAGCTGTTCCATGGAGTCTAGTCTAGTAATATGCCAAACACAATTAGTCAGATCTCATGCAGACAGAAATGAAATGGAACAATATTTGGGTGGCATTTTTGTGTATTATGATGTAAAGCCCTTCAATCACCCAAAGGCATTATAGAAGGGTACAAGAATATAAAACAAAAACAATTTTATGATTGTGGTCAAGGGATTCATTCTTGGGGTTGGCCATGGGGTGGAATTCATCTATCTAATGTACCAAAACCAACATTTAATCAACGATATGCATTTGTATTTCCAGACGGTTGGCTATGGCATTGGAGGGAATCTTATGCCACATATGGACCATCATGTAAATAAATACAGTTGAATATAATTTAGAAATTACGTTTTAACATTGATCTTGAACATCTTCCCTTTCATGGCCCATATGTTTAATTCATGGGGAACGTCCAGGACAATTAGCAAAAATATTGTTAACTTTCCAGAATGCATCAAAATTCGAAAGAGATGGCATGATGAAAAACTCTGGGAACAGAATGGTGACAATGTTGCTCTATGTAAGTATATAACATCAACATAATGGAGTCGCAAATTCCATCTGACATAAGCGTAGGACACGTGAATCAGCTTTAAATTCTTAAAATGGCCGCCATGCGTGATGAAATTGCTAAAAGATAATGTGTCATTCTTGCATGTATCTATACATTTACAATATCAAGTATCCTTTCTCAAATTTCACAAACTCTGAACTCAATCTCTAAACTCTGCGCTTAGAGTATCTCGTATTTAGCTACACACATGAATTAACTTTTCTCTAAGAGGTGGGACGAATCATGTAAATCTCCAATCTCAATAAAATAGATACACGGATTGAGCCAGCTTTGTCCAAAACGTGTTGACAAACAGACATACGGATGGATGAACAGACAGAGGAAATGACCGAAGTTCAAGTTCACGACAAATTTATAACAGCTTGCAACAAGCAATATACTGAAATATTTGGAGTCAAAAAGGCTATGTTCACCTTATTATCATTTCTTAAATATGTATCACGTGAGCATATTCGTATACTATGGTTTACCAAAAATGTTAATAACAAAGCCTGTTTTGGTGCAAGTTGTTATTTGAATTTTCAAAAGAGTTGGCGTATTTTACAATCAGGAATAGGTACTGAACCGCTCAACTTTATTGATTTAAAATGTCATTCCCCATGTTCACATTTTGATACATCTTATCAATTTATACTTTTCAATAACCAGCAACAATGGAAAACATCATTCATGTATCAAAACCATTTGTGGCATATGCGACACTAGAACCAGATGGTGCAATTTCAATCTGATGTGAAACATAAAATTGTTCAATTATCGCTTATAAACCATGAAATTCATAATAATTCGAAAAGTAAGGTATGAAGTACAGGGTGGTAAAAACGGCAAGGCTAGTTTCTCCTATATCTTTGTCATTTTAGGGATTTACTCCCTGATATTTGTATATATATCTGTATATATCATTCCATCCATCACACGTCTACGATATTTCATGGCCATCAGAAAAACAGTCACAATGTTACAACACTTAATCTTTGAACAACATACGCCAGGTGGCCACAATTCAAGATACAGCTGTCTAAACTCGTCTCTGGTTTTCGGATGAACTCCTTTTCCAACTTGATTTACTGGTAAACTTTAGTAATTATATATTCTTGGGAGCATATCACCTGATGAAGTAGTGGAGAGGCCCATTCACACAGACAGGTATACAGTTTAGTATGTACTGAGCAGATGCCTTTGAATATTTTGAAGAGTATTTATAAGACAGGTCACCCATAGCTAGGCAAGGTGTGTCCAATTCCAGCAATTGCATTATACAACCAAGAACACTACCTATGTCATTTATAGATTCTAGTGTATTTAATGAATAAACCGATGAGCTGATCAATTTCATAGTTGAGTAAAAATCTATAAATAATATCATTGGAAATAACAAGCCAAGGGGTTATGCAGGTCAAATGTTAAGTGTTGAATGGTTGTCAAGGTGACAAGTTGACCCTTGCAAAGTTTCTTTAAGTCATTTCGTATCTTTTGAATAATGTTGTATAAATATTTTGCAATGTGAAAATAATTTAAGCCCAAGACCCAATGCAATGTGCAGTGTTCAAGGTCCTCTTTTTGAGGTGAAACTTGCAAAGGATGACACAATTAGTATAGCAACAACTTAGAGTCATTATTGATAATAGAACAAAAGTTAATTCTAGATCTTTACATATTGTTTTATTAACCCAATGTGTTTTCAATAAAATGTTACATTTTCAGCATTCATGTACAAGACTGTTTCTTTTCAATAATTGCAATCATTTTGCTTTAATTTCTCGCTTTATCTGTGGTTTACTGTGACAATATTGAGTGATATTTAGGATGTGATGACTTCTCAAACACAACTATACTGTCGTACATATGCATACTTTGTGTGCATCTTGTAAAATTAGTAACAGCCAATTTCGTATCTTTGCTATGATATGCATTTAGCTGGTCAATAAGATCTTTAGTGTATTCAATGAAAGTTCCTGACCTTTTGTATCCTCCATCAAATCCTGACCAATAAGCGGTATGGAGATCTTCCACAAAATAAATGCCACCATCGGGTTTCACGTGGTCATATAGATGATCAAACGTTACCTTTAACTGATTCATTGTGTGCCCACCATCATCAATAACAATGTCAAACTTTGGCAATGTTTTCAGTGCTTCAGTCCAAAATGTTGCATTTCCCTGATCTCCAATTATGATCTTCACTCTCTCTAGTTTATTTTCGAATCGTTTTGCTTTGGCATCAATGTCTAGGCCATAGATTTGTACACCCGGACCGAAGTAGTCTCGCCACATCTTCAAAGAGCCGCCGTTTCTCACTCCGATCTCAAGCAGAGTCAACTGTAAAGTAAGAAGCATGTTGGTCAAATGAGCATCTACTTGCGTGACATATGGCCATAATGAAATGATGTCATAATGGAGTATTTCACAATATAATAATGATGATATATTTAAGTAAATCAATATGAAGAGATGCTACCTTGAACTGATGCTTGACTATGAAGAGATGCTTCATTGAATTGATATCACTATGAAGAGGTGCTACCTTTAAGTGATGCTTGACTATGAAGAAATGTTGCCTTGAAGTGATGCTTGACTACGAAGAGATGCTACATTGAAGTGATACTTGACTATGGAGAGATGCTACTTTGAAGTGATGCTTGATTATGAAAATATGCTGCCTTGAATTGATGCTTGGCTATGAGGAGATGCTACCTTGAAGTGATGCTTGACTATGAAGAGATGCTACCTTGAAGTGATGCTTGACTATGAAGAGATGTTACCTTGAAGTTATGCTTTACTATGAAGGGATGCCACATTGAGGTGATGCTTGACTATGAAGGGATGCTACCTTGAAGTTATACTTGACTATGAAGAGAGATGCTACATTGAAGTGATGTTTGACTATGGAGAGCTGCTACCTTAAAGAGATGCTTGACTATGAAAATATGCTACCTTGAAGTGAAACTTGACTATAAAGAGATGCTACCTTGAAGTTATACTTGACTATGAAGAGAGATGCTACATTGAAGTGATGTTTGACTATGGAGAGATGCTACCTTAAAGAGATGCTTGACTATGAAAATACGCTACCTTGAAGTGAAACTTGACTATGAAGAGATGCTACCTTGAAGTTATGCTTGATTATGAAGAGAGATGCTACATTTAAATGATGTCACTATGAAGAAATGCTACTTTGAATGTCATTATGAACAGAAGCTTCATCGAGGTGATTCGTGACGTTGAAGAAATTCTATATTGAAATTATGTCAGTAAGAGAAGACGCTTTTGAGGAGATATCACTATGAAGAGATGCTGCATTGAGGTGATGATTGAATTTGATGAGATGCTACATTGAAGTTACGTCATGGCATACATTCATGGTTGCGCGGTATTTGTGATACGGGTGAATATGTCATACTCACCTGCGGTATATGGCATATTCCGCAGGTGAGTATGCGATATTCCGCAATGAATATGCGATACATTGATTTCAGTGAATACCCGATACTCACCTGCGGAATATGTTGTTACGCGGTATATGGCATACATTCATGGTTGCGCGGTATTTGTGATACGGTTGAATATGCCATACTCACCTGTGGTATATGGCATATTCCGCAGGTGAGTATGCGATATTCCGCAGTGAATATGCGATACATCGATTTCAGTGAATACCTGATACTCACCTGCGGAATATGTCATACTCACTTGCGGAATATGCCATATACCGCAGGTGAATATGACATATACCGCAGGTGAAAACGTGATACAGAAAGCCTTGATTTGATTGGTTGCGAGAATCGACTCTAAATGTAAAACTACGCTGGATTACCAATATAATTAGTGCGTCGAGTACTAATATATGAATCCTGGATTGATTGAGTAAGTTTATTACGCGAGATTGGTGACTGATACTTCTGCTAAGTTAATATATTCGATACACAGTACTGTTGATTCAGTAATCATTATAATAATTTATAACGATTTACTTGTTCGTTCAATCGATGCAACTGACAATTGCGTACTTCCGTATCACGTTCTCATTGGTTAGTGTGTATGCCATATACCGCAAGTGAATCTGTCATACACCGCAAGTGAATATGCCATATTCGTTGCGGAATATGACATATTTTTGTATCGTGTTTACCGCGTAACATATGTCATACTCACTTGCGGAATATGCCATATACCGCAGGTGAATATGACATATACCGCAGGTGAAAACGTGATACAGAAAGCCTTGATTTGATTGGTTGCGAGAATCGACTCTAAATGTAAAACTATGCTGGATTACCAATATAGTTAGTGCGTTGAGTACTAATATATGAATCCTAGATTGATTTAGTAAGTTTATTACGCGAGATTGGTGACTGATACTTCTGCTAAGTTAATATATTCAATACACAGTACTGTTGATTCACTAATCATTATAATAATTCATATTGTTTTACTTGTTCGTTCAATCGATGCAATTGACAATTGCGTACTTCCGTATCACGTTCTCATTGGTTAGTGTGTATGCCATATACCGCAGGTGAATCTGTCATACACCGCAAGTGAATATGTCATACTCGTTGCGGAATATGACATATTTTTGTATCGTGTTTACCGCGTAACAATCAGGAAGAGATGCTACATAAAGGTGATGTCACTATGAAGAGATGCTACATTGAAATGATGTCACAATGAAGAAATGCTACATTAAAATTAAGTCACTATGAAGAGATGCTACATTGAAGTGATGTCACTATGTAGAGATGCTACATTGAACTTATGTCACTATGAAGAGATGCTTCATTGAAGTTATGTCACTATGAAGAGATGCTACATTGAAGTGATGTCACTATGAAGAGATGCATATCGAACTTATGTCACTATGAAGAGATGCAACATTGAAATTCTGTCACTATGAAGAGATGCTACATTGAAATTCTGTCACTAAGAAAAAATGCTTCATTGAAGTTATGTCACTATGAAGAGATGCAACATTGAAATTCTGTCACTATGAAGAGATGCTACATTGAAATTCTGTCACTAAGAAAAAATGCTTCATTGAAGTTATGTCACTATGAAGAGATACTACACTGAAGTGATGTCACTATGAAGAGATGCTACATTGAAGTGATGCCACTATGAAGAGATGCCACATTGAAGTTATGTCACTATGAAGAGATGCTACACTGAAGTGATGCCACAATGAAGAGATGCTATATTGAAGTGATTCCTGTCTACAAAGTGAGGCTGCATGTGAATATAACTGTATAACAGTGCAGACATACTGTCATAAAATCGAAAAAAAACAGGACAATTACTAGTATTCTATACGAATTCTGTGTTGTAGAAATTACGAAAATTGGTGAAAACAAGAGGATGTACAGTATGGTATGCATTTTGTAAAGTATTTAATATATTCTTATAATGATAGATGTTTGTACCAACTACAATTTATTTTCAAACTTTTTATGGGGCAGCTACAGAAATTGGGAATTTTTATGCAATTCCCAGATTTTATGTAGACAATACCTGGGTCTATTGAAAGCCCATGGTAGAATACATATTGGTTCAAAATCAAAATCTTTCGATTAAATTTTCAAATGACAATTGTTTTTTCAACGTTTGTGAAAAGTGCAGAAGTACCTTTAAACATGGAAAGTGATTGACTATTGTCATGACACTAACTTCATAGAGGCTCATGGCAGTTCAGGACTCTTAAATAGAATAATTTCTTTTAAAATCACAACTTACCTCCTTGTTTCTGAACCTCGCAAAATGTCTGTGATATATATCAAGGTAATGATCCCATTTAAAAACATTTCCAAAATCTTCAGACTTTCTGTAAATTTTCCACCATGTATTGAATGGATTGGTATTTGCATCAACAGATGTATTTAATTGCACTGATGTTGATGTTGGACCATAAAGTCGCAAATAAGTGCCAATTAGGAAAATAGAGAATAACGCTAATAGGACAGCGATAGTAGCCTTTGTTTCTCTCATATTTAGAAAGTAACAACTAACCCCCGTTTACTATTAAATACTGTACTATCATCTAGTTTTAATCAATAATTGATCGCTAAAATTTGTATGTGTACATGGTATTCAAAAAGTAAATACACAAATGCTCTAACTTTAAAAACTTTCATTATTTGAAAATAAAATTACTACAAATTGTATAAGGATGACATTTTGGCATTGTCCATTGATGTTCTTAGCCAGTGCATTTTCCAAATAAATCAGTGCATTTGGAGAATATACCATGGTCAGAGCAATATCAGGTATCTAATAGCAAGTGATAAATCACATATTTGGAACAGGGATGATATCAGGATTAGAGGGATGACATCAGGGATGATATTGATATCACCCCGGGTAAATTCAAAAGATTTACATTTTTTCGAAAAATTTTCTATTTCCAAAAGTTTTCATTTTTTCGAAAAATTTTCATTTTTTCCAAAAGATTTCATTTTTCCGAAAATTTTCATTTTTTAAAAACTTTTTGGTTTAAAAATTAAATTTTTCAAATTATAACTAATATAACATTTATATAAAGTATAACATTTTTCTTTTTCCGAAATTCTCAATGCACGTTAGGGTGAGACAATATGTAGCTTTATTATTCCTAAGAGTCAACATTTTTCTCATTTTTTCCTTCCTTCTTCTCCTTCTTCTTCTCTTGTACTTGTTCTTGTTCTTCGGTTGAAAGACTGTATATATTATTTTCATTTGTAGACACAAAGTTGCCCGAAGAAGATAAAGAAAGATCTTGCAACAGAATCTTATTTCTTTTGTTATTTTGATTTGATTATTTATATATATATTCTTCTAAAGGCTCTATACATACTAGCAATTGATTATCTATTAAAAATTGCATCAGGTTTTGAGATCTACGATGAGCTAAAAAAACTGAAAAAGGTCTTTAGAAAAATCAATATGATGATATTCTTATGTAGTCATGGGTTAAATCATTTACTTACTCAGCTACCTACTCAGGTACTTACTCAGCTACCTAGCTACTCAGGCACTTACTCAGCTATTTATTACTTACTCAGTTACTTACTCAGCTATCTAGGTCAATTCAACCTGGAGTCTTAAATTGAACTATTTACCCTTCTACTTATTTTAAGTGATTACAGTTTTTAAAAACTATATTTAAAGAATAAAACATATATACAATTATACATAGGCCTAGTTACATTGTTTAATATCTATACAGTTTTTCTTTCTCAAAATTTGCATGTTATAATACTGCAAGTTTTGTCTCTATTAAAAATTTGTATTACTGTTAAAACTTCTTTATTATTTCTATACTTGTTTATTCCTATAATTTGTTCAATTTTTCATATATCTCCTATATTTGTACCCTCATAAATATTATGCTTAACATTGTCAATTACATTGCAATTTTCACAAAATGAAATATCTTTAATTTTGAAACGATTTAAAATCTCATTACATGAACATATATTGTGTAATGTTTTCCAATGAATAATTAAGAGTTTGGCATCTACTTTGCACTTGAATGCTCTTAGCCGAGTTGCACATGAAATATCCGCACCATTATAATGTAAAATCAATTTTCTTTTATCTGTACACAGCCTGGTACATAGTTTTCTAAAATCTGATGTTTCATAAAATGTTATCTCTTTACCATTTAAATGTATTTTGAAATCATCACCTGCTTTTCATTACCATAAAGTAAAATTACATTTCTACTGATACAATTTGAAAGACAAATTGTATTGTATCAGTGTCAAAGGATTCCTACCAATAATCCTAGATATTTCATCATATGTCATTACTCTATTATTAGTTGCAATGTCACTTACACAATTTATACCTTTTGCGATCCACTTTGTAAAACATATTTTATTTCCACTGATTTTTAACTTTTCTTTATTCCAAATACAGGGTGTTAAAAAAACGCAACCCAAAGAAATCGCGATATCTATTTTTTCAGTAAAAGCAAGAAGAGACTGTGTATGTATAGCTCCTGTTGTCAGTAAGTTGTAAAACCTGATGCCTTGGACACCTGCTCAGTGACAGTTGTACTAGGAAAATATGAAAACGCAGTCAGAGGTGACTGCCACAGCAATAAAACCAGGCCAAATAACTTTCTAACCATGGTGTTTTGGCACTTCAGATTTGGCACATATTATCCTCATTCAATATGTGGTGAATTTGTGGAGTTTCATCAAAATCACTCCAGAGACTTTATAGTCATGGTCAAAATGCCTTCTCAACTCTCCCTGAACCAGGGCATTTGACTGTGATTTGAAAGCATTTCAACCATGACAGTGAAGTCCCTGAGGTGATTTTGATTTCACTCTACAGATTTATCATACAGTGAATGAAGATGGTTTGTGCCAAATTTGAAGAGCCAAAACATTATGGTTAGGAAGTTAATTAATTTTTTTGCGGTTGCAGTCACCCCTGACTGCATTTTTCGCATTTTGCTAGTACAACTGTCATTTGAGCAGGTGTCCAAGGCATCATGTTTTACAACTAACCATTGACAGGAGCTATACATACACAGTCTCTTCTTTATTTCCTGAAATTATGAACATAATTGAATCAGTATTTTTCAAGATATAGCAATTTCGTTGGGTTGCCCTGTAATTGATTGGTCAGATTCCGTTTTATAATTTTGCCAAGTTTGTAAAACCAGTATACCAGATACTAATGAAAAAATGTCAAAAAGTTTAAGAACATATTTTAATGATAGTTCATCATGAACAAATATGGTGGTATCATCTGCATATTGCAATAATTTCAAATCGCTATCATACGGCAGTTTAACATCAATCATATTTTTATTCTAACGAATGTTACAAGCCAAAATTTCTGAAGATATGACATATCAAAGCGGTGATTACATATGTGATTACAGTTAAATGATGTGGAGAAAGGTGGCGCCACGGTATGGCCTAAGCTGAACGTTTCATTTTTTCCAGTGAAGGTTAGTTTTTTCACCAAAAACATGTTATTTTATGCTTATGATATTTTTAGATCCTTACTAAGTCAGGCCAGTAGCCAGGATTTGCCTGGGGGGAGTGGTAAAATATATAAGTAGTAAAATAATGACAAAATTAGTTTACCCCTAAAGTACAGAATGGGCCAAAATATGTTACCCTAATTACATTCTTGCCAGCTCAGAATGGGTAACAATTTTAGCTCACCCTATATTTGTAGAAAACATGGTCATTCACATCTACATGAAGTGAATGACCCTACGTGGGCAATCCAAAAAGATAAACATTTAAATTAATCTGCAAGCATTGGCTATATTGCATTGTTCATGCTGCTTACATTCAGCCACTTCACATGTTTATCTTGTAGAATGCTGCTGTATATTGGTTTAACTACAAGCGATCAGGAGAAGTTGACAGGAGATTGGTACATGCTGCTTGCCCAGTTATACTAGGGCATAAATGGGGTATGTAATTACAAAATATTTTTAAGTCCGAAGAATAGATAATTTATACAATACCATCCTATGGTTGTAATCATACAGGTTGAACATCATTAGAAGGTTATTTGAAATGTGGACAAAGATATAATATTTTAGGAGGAAATAGCATATGATGTGCATATGAAAAATTTACTAAAATTTTTGAGAAAAAAATCGTTGGCACAAACCTCTTCACTTTTAACAAAAACCTTCAAATGACACACATAGAAATATATAGCTGCCTAATAGCCCATGCTCATGTTACCATATTGTCACATATTGTTATAGTCTCCAAACCTTTGGCCTCGTTTCTACATTCCAGTGGCAACAAAGTGGATCCGAGAAAAGAATCAATTCAAATCCAGGCCATGTGGGCTGCATCCTAATTCAACGGACACATACCTGTACATATGAGAATACCTTAGTATTATGACATGTACGACAATATTATGGAGAACCAGAACTAGTGTAAACTATTCAGTTGTGAAAACAGAATTTGTAATGAGACTCATTTAAAACAATGCATTAACATGCAAAATGTAACCACTTCAAAATCATGCAGTTTTTCACCATTCTGAGCACTTGTTAAGTGATTTTGGCCATTTTTGGACCAAAATTGTCACAAGTGAATCCCCTGTCACAAGTGAGCCCCCCTTGGCACCGCCTGGCTACAGGCCTGTACATGATGTTTGTCAGTCTAGAATATACAGGAAGTATGTTATAATGTTTGTAATTATACCAGTGACTAATTTTGTGATAAGTTTGTGACTTCATGTACTGGACACCACTTGTGTTATTGGAGTTTAATCATTTGGGAAAATAAATTTACAAATAAAATATACATTTTTACATATAATTTATTTTGATGAGAAACATAGCATATTGTGCAGCAATATCCACATCGTTAAGGAAGTCTGCCTTAACATAAAGTATACCCTGACAACCTCTTAGTCTATACTATAGACATCACTCAATATCACTACAATCTCCTGCCTACTTCAAAACGGCAGACTTTATTGGTCTGATTGGATAGAAACACCTAAGAAACATCTAACATCCAATTTACCTTTAATAAGGAAAATGTGTGTTAAAACCCAGTATAATCATATGGGATTAGCCAATGGGTTGCATTATGAACATTTACTGCAAGGTATGAGGGTGTGGATAAACACCTGAAAATGTAACACCTAGTACTGTGATAAAAATCAAAAACATATTCTCTCTGTCAAATTTGATGGTATGATGCTGACTTTGACAAAATCGCTTCAATCCTTTTGCAGTTCAAGCATACATTTATGTACACATGGAAAATGACATGAATAATGATGAGTGTGGGAGTATGCTACTTCTGAAAATGATTTTTTCAAATTCTTTTCGATATATCAAATTGACCAAACTATGTTGAGATCTCTGCACCCTCATAATTTTAATCTATCTATTATTTCAAGATACGACATAACTTATGGCAACAGTAACTGCAATATAAAATGTAAATAAACTTTAAAGTACAAATAAAATACTAATTGAGCCTCAACACAGGAAAACATGTCTCATCACAAAAATTAAAATTGGACTACAAAGCCAAAAATGTGTCAAAGATTAAGAGTAATATGTGTTAAATTCAGTCTTTTTGGTCTATATCTGCAAGGAAAAATCGCTAAGACATAAGCCATGGTTCATTTGAAAGGTCTCTTCCACAAACAATCAAAATATTGAAAAGTCTGTGATAAGACCCCTTTTCCTGTGTCCTAGCTCAATGCAATCTGTATAAAGATACTTAATATTGATTCTTCATTTGTGAATGGTATACAGTACTCCAGTTTATCAAATAATATTTCAAACAATTCTAAGCATAAGGATTATTTAATAAAATTTCATACATTTTCATTTACAACAAGGAAACATTATCCAATATAATACTTCACAAATCACAGTGCTGCCCCAACTATGGAAAAATATTAAATATTATTATTTCACTATCTAGCTAGCGACAGTATGATTGGTCAAAACCGGGTCACATGTAGTGGGATATCTGGTGATATTCAATGGCAATGCTAATCAGATAAGACAAGCGTGAGATATCTAGCGATATCCCACGCTCCCGGGAATTTTCAAAGAATTTGTTTTCGTTCAGTGTAAATAATTTAGTTCAGTGTAAGTCAAAATGGCAGACGAACCGAGTAGATTCGTAAAAATATCTGAATGTATGTATGTATTTCAATGTTAACCTATGACTTAATAATATTAGGGACGTGATATAATAAAACAAATATTTCACTCTATTTTCGGTGAATACCTGTAGCACTTTCACAAGGTGATATTCCACTTGCCCTTCGGGCTTCGTGGAATATCACTTGTGAAAGATGTACAGGTATTCACCTCAATAGAGTGAAATATTTGTTCAGTATTACAATTTACATGATTTACAAATTATAATAAATACTATTTTTTTTACATTAATACAAAGATAATGGCAGTATGGATATGGCCAAAACATTTTAATCAGAGAAATACATAATTGTATAGTCCTAAGCTGGTACCGAATATGTGCAAATTAACACAGACTATTTAGAGGGGGAAAAAGGAGTCAAAATGCAATAAATCATCTTTTGTTGATGGGTATTAACTGATTGACCATACCCCATTGGTACATACATAAATATATATGTAATAAATAAAAAAAACAATTGATAGTTCAATTGGTAACAATTGATTAAAAAACCAGTAGATTTTCGGGTACTCAGAGAATATCAAATTATATAACATAGACATAAACATTAAAGCGACCTAAAACGGACAAGTTGACACTGGAGTTGACATGATTATTCGAGACCCCCATGCGCCAATTACGCGACTCTAGGACTGTTCACTGCACTTCTATGCTATAATATTACATGAGAAGTGCAACATATTGAAAACTATTAAACATATAGTAGTGCACTACTACACATACATTTACTGTTTATATACCTGTAGTGTCATACATACATATAGTATTACTTGTGACTATATGGTATATGTATATTACACACGTACACAAGTGTATGATACCACGATTGGGTAGATAGCAACTTTACATGTTTGCTACTGATCCTGACTGCAGATTGATTACTCTGTAGCAGTTACTGCCAAAATATATATCTACCAAAATGCCTCCTTATTTCCAAGTAATATCTAAAGAAATTTGCAAGGTAAACTGACATCACAAGGAATGATTTTAGTGGATATTTGAGACATATTTTGGAAAGGTGGCTTACTACATGTAGCTCCCAGTCTACCTGTAAGTCACTGAATAATATAGTGTTTAGTCATATACCTTTAAGTCATTAAATAACATCTTACATCATTAACTCATCTTCCTTCTTGATCAGTGTTCTGATCATCTCTCTTTAGAGAAATATTTTGGTCTGTTTGTTGTGTTGACACATTCCATGTGTCTTTTGACACATCTGGTGTGTCATTTGACACATCGGTTGTGTCATTTTCATGTGTATGCACACAGGAGTCACACAGTTCAGTATCACTTTCACTTCCCATTATCACACATGTGTCATTAATGTCACTAGGAGAGTCATCTTCACTATGACCTCCTATATCTACTGCACTATTAGAACAACTTGGCCCCATTTTGATACTATCTATTGAATCCTGGCCCCCTTTGGTTAAATTTGGGGTTGTATTTTCTGCAAGTGTCCTTGTAAAACTTTGATTGCTAATGCCCATGGTAGGGGTGCTACCAGTCTTAGGGGTAGGAGAGTCACTAGTTTCCAGGGTAGAGTTTGTGCCTAAGCCAGGGTCAGTGCTATGGCCTGGGGTTGGGTTTATGTTAGCACTAGAGCTAGAGTCTGTTTCAGCACTAGGACTTGCGGAAATGTCTGTATCCGCACTAGAGCTAGGGCCTGGGCTAGTGTCTATGTTAGCGCTAGAGCTAGGTCCAATATGTGTGGTCCCAGTCACCGCCTCAATGCCAGATGTGACAAGACTAATCATCTCCTCTTTGGTGAGGGCTCCATCATCACTTTCATTCTCACTATTACTATCACGTCTTGCTACTTTCTTAGGCTTTCCACCAGGGCTGTCACAATCTGGGCTCCTGGCTCGCTTGCCCGATCGTTTGTTCTCACTTTGCTGCTCATGGGGTTGTAGTAGCCATGATAGGTTGTTAGCCAGAAAGAGTTGTAGGCCAGGGGGCAGCTTTAATGCAGAGATACAGTCCAATGGAGGTGAGATGTGCTTGCGTAACACCTGACAGCTCATGAACTGTAGAGATGTGGGAAATGAACAACAGCGTATCATCTTCATACCACTCCTGGCTGCTGTGGAAGAAAGCATGGGATACAGTTTCTTCCCTTGTAGCCCTGTGTAAGCAATACCTGCAACATATCATATTTAAGAGTTAATGAACTAGAGAAATCCCACAGAACAAAACATATCAAATTTAATTACAGAAATAACAAGGCAGTTAACGCATAAAACACCATGCAAAATAGTCCATTGGAGATTAAAATTGTTTTAAGTCTTTAAACTGTACTGTATTAATTAATTAACATAAGTCCATTATTATTACTCACCCAAAGGCTTCCTATTTTTGTAAAATGCCAGTGTGCCTCGCCACATATCGAGGTGTATCCCAATAATCGTGCCCTGGCCATACCTGTTTGAATATGTGCGTACTTCCCCTCTGTGATGCAAGGCACCTGCAATGATATACATATTGATGTACATATTATTCTCAAGTAAATGTAAAAATGTTGTAATATGCGAGATTCCATCAATACACAAGAAACAATGCATTAACGTGTAAAATGTCACCACCTGCCATTTGTTATGGCATTTGTTGTCAGACATCAACCACCGAACACCAACTGCCATCTACAAAAATGTTGAGACTATAACAATATGTCACCACTTGTGATGATGACATAATAACTTAACAAAATATATTACCTTTAGATTACTAGTATTCATTTCTATAAGGCAGTATCAAAAATGCAACATTTTCAAATTAAATTTTTCTGTCATTTTCCCTGACTTTAAGCATGAAATTCCACGACCAAAATTTTGTTTCATCGACAAAAAGAAAAGAGACAATATACCTGTATAAGACATTCCCCAGCTCTCAGAGTCTTTGCCAAGCAGACTACAGAATGTATAGCGGTATTTATTCAGGTCTGTGTTCTCTGTGCCGACACCTACCATCTGAATATAAATCACACACAATATGTTATACAATCATTGAAATATACAGACATGAGAAGACTTTATGTATATCATACATAGGATCAAATGTATATACAGTTCCTCTCATATTTTTCTGATAAATTAATCAGATGTCATGCATTGATAGAGGTGTCACAGATACCTGGTTTTGTTTTGACCCGCAGAATAAGGCTCTTGAGTCAGAACCTGGAAGAACATGCATCATTTCGGTTCAGTTACGGAGCAAGAAAATCTTACATTTTCAAAGCTTTTCCCCTTTTCACTGAAGAGTTTTGAGGAGCTTTCCGAAGCCAAATCGAACCAACCTTTTTTATTCTGTGACACCTCTAGGCATTGAGTTCATTATCCTTAGCAATTAGACTCTGTGTTACTACTTGTTTTCTTGCAATGTTGTACTCCTACGTAAATATAAGCAGGGCACTTGCTAGGCTTTTAGACTGTGGCGCAGCACCACAGTGTATTTAGCTCCCACCACATCCTATTGGCAAATACTGATATTTCCCACAGTCTAAACTTGACTGAATACACAATAAATAGCATGTCAAAAGGATAAAATATAACATTAATAAGATTTGTCACAATTGAATGGTTATGATAAAGATGTTTTCACCACACCCTAAATATTTTCTGGTGAGAGCCCTGATAAGCATATGCAAAAGTTTTAATTCAACAGATAAGAAAAATTTTATATGTCTAGTCTGCAATTCCAATAAAATGTATTGCATGCAGAAAATAGCTCACCATATCAGTGCCATAGACAGCAGAAACCATCTTGATTTCCCAGAAGTATTGATCATGCATCATTGGTTTATTTCCTCTAACTGCTGCAGTTCCAGAACTGTAGTCAGGGTGAAATTGAACATTTCTTTTGTCAGATTCTATGACCGTGCCCTTAGATTTAGAGTCCTCATCCCATACCCATTCAAAATCTGAAATGAACAAGTTTGTTAAATCCATAAGGCCATTTCAAGATATAATGGCAAAAATATTATACAGTGTAATTGTTATATCATATGAATGATCAAGAGGTTATATGAACTTAATTATTACCTTTATTAGTTTGAAAATGTTTACTGTATATTATACCATTATACATACATTCATCTTCCTCTCCACAGGAGCACTCTCTTTCACTTTGTCTATGGCAGTCACAGAAAGATTCTCCCTTCACTGGTACAGATGAACCCTTTAATATAAAGTAGAAAAGATGTAAGGATCAATGATGTCATATCAAAGTGTAAGGAACTCCCAAACATTTCGGAATATCTTGTGTGATTCACTTTTTGAATTGGCCCAAAGGTTAAACCCATGATGAAGTATCAAACCCAATATACTACCTTTTTCATGGCCTGACCAAGGGCTTATTTAATACCCGGGGGATAGTTGTGTACCAAACGAAACGAGAAACGACGCGACATCCGGGGCTTTGTTTGGTCTTCATTAGACAATGGTGTATAGAGGGGTAGGATTTCTCAGACGTAGGTACCTTTTTCTGTACCGTTTTGCGGTTATTTTACTCTATGGCATTGCAATCCGTTCCCGTCATTAGCTACATAATTGATTAACTTAAATATATGATATGTAAATAAGGGTTAACACTAACAGAATAAACAGGAAAATGTACTTGAAGTGGCGATTGTGTTTTCTGTCAGTGAGTCTTACCCCCCTTACCCAGCTCTATAGCGAAGTATAAGGTGACCTGATTATGCAAATGAGAAGACCCCGTTGGTTTCTCGTCAGCGCAATCAAAACGGAAGCGGACAATCTTCGTTTTAACTGTTGTATCCGAACGGTTCGTGACCGTTATTCACTAGACTATCGAAAATAGGTTACGTTATAAGGATATATTGCTTTTACTTACCAATCATCAACATGTGCTGACATATTCAGCTCTGGACTTAATGTCCAAAGGGGGGTAAGACACATCGTCAGAAAAAATTTCAAGTTATCACACCCCGATCATTTATTGGCTAATTCAAATCGGATGCGGTAAAAAACCGAACGCCAATTTGCGAACGATCCGGGTATTACGTTCGCCCTTGGCCTGACTGCGTTGCTATAATTTGAAATATAAGAGTTACCTAAAGATTGGGAGTCTTACTTACCTTATTGAGGTTAGAACAAAAATTTCAATGAAACCCTATCACCTTTGTTACGTCAACCATTTAGCATTTGGCACAATATTCAAAAAGTAAAATATGAACCGTTAAAATGAGCGAATTCCTTGCAAGTTCCGGGAGTTTCAATACGAAAAATTACCGAACATGTGAAAATTGAATGCTTTTTCTTTGATTTACATGTGCGTTTATTCTTCTATATTTTGGTCTAAATTATAAAGCATCAAGAACGAGGCCCTACTGAATTAATAGACTAGTACAGCAGATGACCCATTCATACTTTCTCCATAGCATTTGGTTCAGACCAATTGTTCCACTGTAGATCATGCAGATTCTTCTATCTTAGAACAGGCCATCCTCCTCTACCAGTTCCTAAACTTGTCTCCAAACGACCGCAAAACAATCTTTTTTAATATTCTATTTATTTTCATATCAGACATATTTGGTTGACATGTCACCAAATTAAAATTCAAGGGTCAATGCATCATTTTGTGATATGGGCAACGCCTTCCTGGAAGTCAACACTACAGTCAAAACAGAAATGTTTGTGACTACTTTGAATATAAAAATAAGCAATCAAATGACCATATTGAAACAGTTTATGTAAAAATAGAAACATTTATATTTATCCTAACTTTTGTATATTTCAGATAGTAATGTATAATGTGCAGCAAAGCTGTGGCTTTTTGTAATTTAGGAAGTTTCAGCCATGTTAATTTTTTGGAAAATAACATGGCAGAGAAGTATCAAAATATAAGAGGACACAGATATGATAGCTAAACTACAAAGCAAACTAAAATATACAAAAGTTAGGATAAATATAAATGTTTCTATTTTTACATAAACTGTTTCAATATGGTCATTTGATTGCTTATTTTTTAATTCAAAGTAGTCACAAACATTTCTGTTTTGATTATAGGAAAAAGGTATGAGGTTCCATATCCATCCGCCAAAAGGTATGACCCCTATATAGTCCATTTAAAAACCTGTGGTATCGTTCTAAATAACGCCATACAGTGACGTAGCCAGGATTTGGTGACCGGGGGTTCTATTTTTATGTTATTCACAAATCATTAGGGTTCCTCAAATAATGCAATTTGTACAATTACACTCCCTCCAAAAGTTTGGCAATCCTAGTAACTAACCCATTAAATTGGATTATGTATTAAAGCATCTTTAAGTTTAAATTCTTATATGCATAATCTGTAAAGAAAAAACTATTTTGGGAGGGGAAATATAATTCATTTTAATACCTTCATTAGCTTAAGTCCACAATTGAATTTGAATTTTATTTTAAAAAAATGATGTCTCTATTTACGTTAAGCAAAGTCTGAAAGTAATAGGCTTTATCAAGAAACCTCTCCCAGTGAAATAACACAGTACGTAAAAATGATTTTCAAAATTGACCCTGTAGCTTTGTAAGGCAACGTGCAAAAAAGTCAGACAACTTCGGTGAATTTTCTGCATCAAAATATATTTTGTACTGAATACATATCCTGAAATCTGATTTGCCCCGAATCCACCATTATTTTTGCGGTAGATTTTTCAAAATGTGGTAGTTTTTGCGGTATTTTTCGACAAAAATGCGGTAGTTTCACGGGAGATTTTGAAAAATTGGTATTTTTTGCGGGACGTAGATTTTAGAAAAAACTGTACTTTTTGGGAATTTTTTAAAAAATGCAGTAGTTTTGCGGTAGATTTTGAAAAAGTGCGGTAGTTTTGCGGTAGATTTTTGAAAAAACAGTTTTGTGGAAGATTTTATAAAATACGGTAGTTTTCCAGTAGAGTTTGAAAAATATTGTCGTTTTTGCGGTAGATGTTTGAAAAAACGGTAGTTTTGCGGAAGATTTTGAAAAATGCGGTAGTTTTACGGTAGATATTGAAAAAATGCGGAAGTTTTTGCGGTAGATTTTTGAAAAAAACTGCAGTTTTGCGGAAGATTTTGAAAAATGCGACCTAGTCTTAAGGTAGATTAAAAAAATGCGGTAGTTTTTGCGGAACATTTTGAAAAAATGCGGTACTTTTTGCGGTAGATTAAAAAACTGATTTTGGGTAGATTTTGACACACTTCAATGAATAAATAATTAAGTATGTTTTTCTAACACAGCATTCATGGAACTCTTTCATAAAATATTTTACGGTAGATTTCGGTAAAATTACGGTTGATTTTTTACGGTCGTTTTTACGAGAAAAATGGTAATTTTTACGGTAGTTTGTCATTTTTTTACGGAAAACGAAAATTTTACGGTAGATTCCCGTAAAAATACGGTAGGCAGGTATGGTATTACTGATGAAAATAGCTATTATTCAAGGAAGTGGGTCTCGGTTTTATTGTTTTAAAAAGTTAAAAATATTTCTTTGGACGTCCCCAGAGCTCAGTGGTTACTCCCCCGGAGCAGATCAACTGCTGATAATAAAAACGTTTTGGTGGATATAAATCATATATAAATACAAGCGACTGTTCGAATATAAAACGTATTTTGTTAAGTTCAGACGGCTTGATAACAAATTAGTCCTTCATTATTTGAAGATTAATACCATATGTTTTTTATTATGTAATTTATTCGCTAAACATACCATAACATTAACATAAAAATGGAGAGCAAGTTAACTGGAACGATAACAATTTGAATTCTATACAATCTCTTAGATAAGTGGAGTGTATCTGAAAAAATAAAATCATTTTTTGCAATGATTGATTTTTCTTTGGAAAAGTGATGGGTAAATAAAACTGAACAAATGAAAGAATGAATAAATTTGAACAAATACTTGTGTTTATAAATGATTACGCTTTCAAATAATTCATTTCGCAACGTTTTTAATTGTTTAACGCAATTGGTTTCGGGGACTTGCCAGTAGGGACGTCCCAAGAAATATTCAAAATTTTAATTGAAATAAAACAAAACAGAGATGTAGGCCTACACATTTAAAAGAACATGTGTTTCATCAATATTACGACTATTCCAGATATTTATTCGTCAATGTTGTAATAACGTCTGCATTGTTTTCGATAAACGGCTTCAATAACTTCGTATTGGACCAGAACTGGCTTAAAACAAAATTCCTACAAAGCACTGACTTAGCCATTGCCCAATATGGGTTATTTTGTCCGAGAAGAAGCAGCCTTTAAGTCAATTGTTCGAAATTATTGTTATTTCTAAATGTAAAATCTCATGCTCTGGTGTCTTGCCAAATTTAAATCTCACCCCGTGCCTAAGGTTGCCAAACGTTTTGAGGGAAGTGTAATTTCACTATGACATGTTTTTAACAAAATAAGGCTCTCGTGTTCACCATAACATTTATATCAATTCATTTACTGCTCATATGCAGTTTTCAAATAGCACAGTAATTTAAAGTTTCTGGTTATGCATTTTTCCGCAAAATGATATTTTGGGAAATCCTGACCGGGGGTTCGTTCGAACCCACCGAACCCCCGCTGCCTACGGCTATGAACCCATAGTTGGCCTCTAGGGTACCTAGTATGCCCCTATTTGGTATCAAAATAAAGAGGAGGAGTTCATCTTTCATTTGAATTACGAAAATAGCGATGTAGGTCAAAATAGTTCCGAACGTGAGCATGTTTACTACGCGTTTGCCTGTCATATCAGAATTGAGGAAGTGGTAGCAAACGCGAGTTACAATAAACGGACGCTGATATCTCAAAAAGTAACCTGACTCCCTATAATTCGATGTAGGTCAATCGAACCCCTATATGAACAGGTACATTTTGATATATAACACTATGGGGGTAAGCGTTTCATAGTTGGTCACGAACGCCATATGTGCAAAGTATTGTTATGAATTTTCGAATTTGGTGTTGGATTATGGTACTCATACCAAAATGGAAAAGTCCAAAAAGCATTTACACAAATTTTGATAAACTAGACACCTGTGCTTCATCATCAAGATAACAAAGGTGATGGAATTTCATTGAAATATGTGTTCTAACCTTTAGAAAGTAAGTAAGACTCGCAATCTTTAGGTAACTCTTATATTTCGAATTATAGCAATGCAGTCAGGCCATGAAAAAGGTAGTATATGGGGTTTGTTACTTCATCATGGGTTTAACCTTTGTTCCATTCCAACATTGGCTTATAAGTTTTTTAAACAAATCGAAATCTCAAATGGGCAAGATCGTAAGGCAGTTCGACAACAAGTAGGGCGAAGGGGTGTAACGTTGGCACCATTTTGGGGTAACTTTGACATGTGGGGTAACTTCGACACCTTGTTGTTTATTTGCTCTAATTTCCGATCTAGGGGGAAGCCATTTTTTTTCTAGCATGGATCAAGATCTCGCGAGATTCTAATTTTTCCAGAAATCAAACATGGCGGAAAACGGAAATTCTACTTCTAATACGTAAGTGTCAAAGTTACCCCGTCTATTATGTCGACATTACCCCATACGTCAACATTACACCCCTTTGCCCTAGTAGGACAGTTCGACGGAGTACCACTGTAGACATTAGTACCAGTTTGCAGGATGAGCAATACAAAATTACCTGTATTTGAGGTATACGGCGATGGAAAGCTGATCTAAAGGCAGAAGTTGTAGCATGTGTTGTAGAAGGGGCTGATTCTGAAGGTGATGAAATTGGAGTTCTCCGAGAAAATCTTGGGCGAATGTCTTCGTCACTTTCACTTGAATTTCTCACCTCTGACCCTATTAATGGCGGTGATACTCTGCCAGCACTAGTGCTATTGTCATCTGAATCGTTGCTCGACATTCTTAGTGCATTTATCCCACTAAAAGCGAAGCAATCAAGATAAATATGTGCAAAATTTGTGACGACTTTCAGATTTCAAGACCACCATTTTTAATAATCTCGAACCAAAAAAAGTTCGAATGACCAATGAACCATCGATAACACACTTTCAATAATAAGAGAAATCGATTAAATAATATTCCTTTATAGTACTGGTAAGACAATTAACAATACTATTGGAGAAATAACGATCAAAATATAGAAATAAGTATGAGGTATGAGACTATTCAGGGTTCAAGGTCACGAAAAATTTACAAAACCAAAACATTGAGGAAACAAATAAAAAGGTAAATATAACATTGAGGAAACAAATAAAAAGGTAAATATAACTTATCCAAGAGCGTGTTTAATATAAGTGTGCTAATATAAGTGCTTTGTGCCATAGATTTTGGCCAGATCGTGCGTAGTAGGATCTCATAGGCTCAAAGAATAATTCTTTGAGCTTCTGATCCTACCACAAAAGAATCTGGCCGGTTTACTTTGTGTACACTAATATGTGTGTAAAACACTATTGTCTTTATAATTAAAGCAACGAAATGCAAACATAAATGCTTTAGGCTTTCTCCTCTCAGACAATGATGTTTTCAGTAGGGTATATGTAAAGGTAAATACTTTTTGTAACGCTGTTGCAACGTTGTGTGTTTTAGCTTTTCACAATCACATCATGTGCATGTTCATGTGGGGATGAATCATACATTTGTAACTGGATGAACCTATGTCGGATAATAATGCATCTAATTTTAACATTAAATTTATTGTTGAACTTCGTTAGTCTGTTGAACCCAAAACAGAAATAAAGCTTGATGTTGACATACATGTATAATGGCAGTAAAATATACAAAGTTTAAAAAGTTAAATGTTGTATGTATAATTTATTTACCTCTTAAATAAAAGAGAGTTACATTCATACAACATGTTGTATTAACATGTAGAGAAAATTAAGTAAGATTATAAAACATATTTGTGTTACTTGATGTAAGGTAAAGAGGATAACTAACTTTTATCCATAAGAAATTACCCATGCCTGTGTAACTTGGACACATGCATAGCTATAAGTAACAGAGTCTCCTTATCATCATTGTATATATACAGTTCCTAGGATCACTTTAAGAATAAAATCGTCATTGATTACATTCAGATTACCCCTAGCTAAATTGAGTAAGGGTTTTCTAACATCAGTAAAAGCTGGACAAGTAATCAAGAAATGCTTAACACAAATCTCTTTCGTTAAGATCACAAAAGATACAGATTTCTGATAAATTTGTGTCACTCTCACGGGTCTACTGTTAAAATATGTCGAGGATAATAATTTGACCATCATTTTACAGAGGTAAAATACATTGGGGTTATCTTTTACGATCACCCACCATACATTTGGTTTTAGCAGGGTTTTCACTAGGCTTTTAGACTCCGGAGATTCTCTTCTAATGTCTTAAAACCCTCTTGCTCCAGAGTCTAATAGCTTTTCCAGAGTCTAAAGTGTTTTTTCTGGAGTCTAATTTTACATTTTTGTCACATTATTTGTGGTAAAACTCTTGAAAAAATACATAAAACTGGATACAAACAAGGAATAGGAAGTCAGAAACCTTTTAGAAATAAATATTGGGATTAGAATAGCAATATCATCTTAAGAAGTATGTTAAAAAGTATACTAATAGGATATCTCTGATCTCACATGGGGGAGAAGTAGTCACGATACCGCAAAAAAAGTAGTCACAATACCGCCAAACATCCAGGGTCTAAAAATTTCCTGGTGAGAACCCTGTTTAGGATAGACATCAATCCCGTTTAGATTTTTATACATTAATGATGATAAAACAGTACAATAATTGTGAAAACTCTTGACACATCCGTAGACTACAGTTCTAAATTCTTGTTTTGAAGGAATTTCTGCATTAAAAATCATGTTCTTAACATAGTCTATTATATGAGGTTGTACTGCACAACAGTATCCCACATTTGAGATAATGGAGATTTCAGACCTTGAGAAGGTGATTTTAAATACATCATCCATATTAACCTTTCTAAAGAAATGACCTTATAAATACAGCTTACAGGTAGCCTTAACAACATATACAGAAACATCAATCTATCACAGTCAATTTTTGCTTTAACAGACATCCATCCAAGCAGACTAGTGGTGACAATGTCTGGCATATTCTTTGGTAATGTCTGAATGCATTTTCCGACCTCTTTGTGCAGTCCTTCCATTAGATTAATGTCATTGTTAGTGTAAGGTATTACATTATTAATATTACCAATAAACATACTGTATTATAGTGATTATCACACAAAAGTTATAGAAGATGAAACACACTTTTTATTCAAATGTATTTTTGTATTCCAACCACATTTTATTAGCCTTGTCAACGATCTTGTGATTTGAACCACACCACTTTTACAAACTTCTCATATTTACTACTGAGTTTAGCCTGTATGGCTTCAAAAAATCATTTTTTTAGTAAGGTTAAAATAGTTTTGATTTCTTTTTTTAAATTTTTTTGTACCGTAAGTGAACTGGATGAAAAGAGCATCACTAATTGAATTCCCGGAAAGGATGTTAGAATGCTAACTTTTTAGTCCAATGACCCCCTCCCCCTATTAAATGTTAATACAGTTATTTTTCCGATATCTTTTGATATGCTCCCTTACTGTTATTGAAGATTGTATGTTGGATGTACATTTGGCCCTGAAAGGGCATCAGTACAAATAAAATCCTATTACCGTATAGTATGGTGAGATTCAATATTATTCAATAATCACAAATCAACGTGATATTTTATTCCAGGTTCACACATTTCTTGCATCTTAATCTTGATATTACAATTAAAGGTAATAAGGCGGGATTCAGACCAATATGGGATTAGGGCAATTAGAAGTGGGTTGAATGGGATTCAGACAATTGGTATTCGTACCAATGGGAATTTGGGCCAATGAGGCGACTCCCTTTGTGGCAACTGTTTTAGAAGTTTACAATAAATTTTGTCAACTGCCTTTTAAGGAAAACTGTTCACCAGTTTTTTCTTTGAAGAATACATTATCATCATCATTCAAATTCATGCCTACTTGGAGGTATGATTTTGTAATCACATCATTTGCCTTGTGCAGAACTACCTTAAAGCTTTAGCTTTACCTTTTCATGCAGATTTCCTTCCTCCAAGACTGAAGAAAATCACAACAAACGTTGAGTAAGACTGTAGAGATGTCTAAGATTGTAGCTAGTTCTTCTCTCCAGTTCATCATGCTAGAGGGCATCTCTAGCTCTACCTGCTTCCTGATGCTCCACTATAATTTAAACATATTTGAGTACATAAGGAGTTACAAATGAGGTTGATAAGCTTGTACCGAATTATGAAATTAATAAGAACATTTCATCACATAAGTATGTCGTGTTCAGAAAATTTTTCTTCGTTTTGCTCATGTGGCCTTAGATTAATGTCTTAGCTTTTTGCAGCGGCAATGCTTAGTATTCTTTTTTTGGGTTTGATATTTTTCTGTTATTGGTACCTAGCATCAATCATGCAAGTTTGTACAATATTTTCATATTACCAATATTTCACCACCTAGAAGTGGTAACATATTGTTATTGCCACCTTTTCCGACCAAATTCAATGTTAAACATTGGTGGTTGGTATTTGGCATCAGTAACAAACTGTTACACTTTTGTCATATTAAAGATTTTCTTTTGCTCTGTACAGTTAGATATATTATTATTGTCCAAAATTAACCTACTTGAGTACATGCCCGTAGCCAGGGGGAAGAGGGGGGTTGATTGGTTCGGGCGAACTCGTCCGGCCAAAAATTCTTTCAAAATCATGCAGTTCTTCACCATTCTGAGCACTTTTTAAGTGATTTTGGCCATTTTTTGACCAAAATTGTCAAAAGTGAACCCCCCTGGAAATTTTCAAAAAGTGAGCCCCCCTTGGCAAATCCTAGCTACGGGGCTGATAAGTAAAAAGTTTAATTGTTGATTTAGTAGATGGTCTAATCAAACTGTTTGTATATATGTACCCTGTACTTTAATACTTACTGTACAATCAAATGTGTCTTTGATTTAAAATGCAAATCTTTCATATAATCTATATTCCATAGAATAGATATAATCAGGCAGCATATTAATATGTAATAGGAAACATATACAATAATCTTATTTGTTTTAGTGTCATTTTACATCCATGTCATCATGAACTATCAACTGTTCTTTATTTGCTATCTCTAATTGTACTGAGTACATATTGTATGTTCTATTATATATTATATAATTCAATATACATGTACATGTAATACCAATTAATATATATATAGTACTATGTATGTCAGATAATATTCTTATTGATTAATTATGATCTGAACAAGCTGCTAGTGCTATATTTATCGCATGATCTGTAAAATGAAGCCCTCTGATTGGTTAGTTCTTGTGCTGTACCAATCTGTATTGCTACTGAGATTGTCCCCGTTGATCATCTCCATCGCAATACAGAAAATATTGGTACGGAGGGGACAATCTCAGTAGCGATACAGAGGATCACACGATAAAAACGTTATTGAATGATTTGAAGTGCAATACAGGATATATTCTGTCTCGATATTCTGTATTGGCACTCGACTTCGTCTCGTTCCAATACAGAATTTCTCGAGCAGAGTATATCCTGTATTGCACTTCAAATCATTCAATAACTTATAGTATTGGTTTATTGTCTCCTATAACAAATATCTCTTACTTGCAGGAACTGTAAGTGAACTGCATGTGCGGATCTGGGAACCAACAAGGGGGGGGGGGGGGGGGGGGGGGGGGCCAAATCTCAGGTCAGAGAAAAAACCTCTGGGCCTCTAAAATAGAAAAGTGGGCCCATTTTCTTCAAAATTTGGCCTGAAATTAAAAAATAAGGCCTAACAAGGCCTAGTAATGACCTTTAGGCCTTTTTTTGCCTAACATTTTTTGGGCCAATTTTTTTTTCTTGGCCCACCCAAGGCCCCCAGCCCCCCCCCCCAGATCCGCCAGTGAACTGTTAAAGTTATA